ACTTTTCTTATTTACTTCTAGTATAACTAGAACTATAGAGTATAGGCTAATCTTAACTTTTATATTTATACTTATAATAAGATTCGTAATAAGCTTCTTAGTAAAGTAGAGCTAGAAACTCTAGTTCTAAAGAAAAATAAGAATTAATTCTAGTATATAGCTAAGAAAAAGAAGCTCTATAATAAAGCTTAAAAGACTATTTATAATATTATTACTAACTTTATAAAAGCGTTAGTTAGTAGCAAATAATTATTAGCTAAAATATACTATATTAGCTAAGAGAGTATATTAGTTTAGCACTAAGTACTAGTATTTTCGGAGATACTTTCGGTAATTACTAAATATAGCGTAATTACGGCTTTCTCGCTAAATTACCGGCGATATTAAGCCGTAATAGCTATAAATACTCCAATTAGATACTCACTGAAAACGATATGGTTTTGCTCATTTCTTACCAGGATCCACAGGCTACATAACTGACACGAGAGTTGCAAGGATGCCAGGGAGATGAGATCTGGAGTGTGTCCCGGGATGGCTCGGAAGTGATGCGATGTCATTTGCGGATGTCTCACTTCGTGCTCGCTGTAGAGTGCAGGTAGGACTTTCGCATCAGACGAATCCTGGCCATGACAGAGTCATCACCTTTCTTCCAGAAATAAATGTAAGAGCAAGATAGAGTGATGAATATTCAATGCGGTGGAAAGTTGAATGCGTGCCAAGCGAAACCCCAGCATTCCATGTTGATCTCACGACTGCAGGCTCTTTCTCTTCTCCACCATCCACCTTCAACTTTCGCGCGCCTCGCGGGTCAGCAACACCTTCACGCATCAGCGGTGACTAAATACGGATATCCTGCTTCACAGACACCCGCAGAGGCAACGATCATGGCCACGCTGACTGCACATAATCGATGCCATAACTCGGCCTTGCTCGGCGAAAGACTTCATCATGAAGAAATCACCGCGGCAGAGCTCGACGCTGAATAAAACGACGGACCGGACGACGGCTTCAGAGGTGACACAAGCGCACGTGAAAGTCCATGTGCTAAAATGCTTGATGGCATTTAGGCTGAGGCGTGCGCGTCTTGGTGGCGAAAGAAGAGAAATCCATTCCACAGACAGCCCACAGAACCGGTATTCTTGCGCCACGGCAAGCGCGTGGCTTTCGGTGACGGTGCTCCTTTCGGTTCACCTTACGGGTATTGCAGGCATCGTACACCTAGACGTGGACACCACCTGTGGCATAGAGCCATTTACGTGTCGGTCGCGGCAGTGCAAGTCGCTTCAAGGTTGGTTCTCTTCTGCATTCACTTTGCATTGTGGCTGTTTGTTTCGCCCAAGGACGTTTGTTCGCCTGAGCAAAGTAGAGTGACAGCTGTTATGCCATCACTGATCAAGATTGCGGCGGCATTGTCGCTCGCAGGCTTCGCTCATGCGAGACCTTCGAATGTCGAATCTCGCGATGTTGGCCTCTCAAACTCGACTGAGCTGCCGATAGTTGACCTAGGCTACGTACTTCAACGAGCGACGGTCTTCAACGACACCGGAAACTACTACAACTTCTCGAACATCCGATACGCGCAGCCTCCAGTCGGTGATCTGAGATTCCGAGCACCATTGCCACCTGTCGAGAACCGTACGGCTGTCGAGACAGGAGAGGTCGATCGAATTTGCCCTCAAGCGAATCCAGCTTGGCTGCTGACTGCCACACAATTTGTTCCTTCGTACCTAGCAGGCAAGAGGAACTTCACCGCCGCCGACTTCAATGTCAGCAGTTCTGGCAGCGCCAGCCTGCCCGAACAGGATCCTCGAACTACAGAGGACTGCTTGTTTCTGGACGTTCAGGTGCCAAAGGAGATTTTCGATAGAGCCGGAGCCGATGACTTCGAAGGCGCGCCTGTTCTTGTGTGGATCTATGGAGGTAGTTTCACTGGTGGCTCGAAGCAGGGCGCAGGTAATCCAGCAGGCCTTCTGGCCAGGGCGCAGAATGAGAAGAACAAGGGCGTGGTTTACGTCGCCATGAACTACCGCCTGGGCGCTTTTGGATGGCTTTCCGGACCAGATCTCCAGGCAGACGGCACCACTAATACTGGGCTCTACGATCAGCGGCTCGCATTGGAATGGATTCAAGACAACATTCACAAGTTTGGAGGTATGTTCCAAGCCCTGTGTCTGCGGTGCTTCTGGTGATACTGACCAGACTTCTTCGCACAGGTGACCCGAAGCGAGTAACGCTTGTTGGAGAGAGTGCAGGTGGGTCATCGATCATGCACCAGATCACTGCTTTCGGCGGCTCAAAGCCAGTGCCCTTTCAGCAGGTTGTTGCTCAATCTCCAGGATTTCAACCGATGCCCTCAAACATTGAGCAAGATAGCATTTTCAATGCTTTCCTCGGTCTAGCTGGCGTCAAAACTATCGGCGAGGCTCGTCAGCTTTCATACGAGAAACTGCAAACCGCAAACATCATTCAGACAGCACTTTCTCGGTACGGCCAATACACGTGGGGTCCAACTGTAGACGGCATCTTCGCTCCAGAGCTTCCTGGCCAGCTTCTCGCCAAAGGACGATTTGCCAAAGACGTCAAAGTCATGGTCGGCCACAACCAAAACGAAGGACTGCTATTCGTCAATCCTCTCGCCTCGAACTCAAGCGGTTTCGAAGACAACATCGACAGCCTCCAGCCATCGATCAAAGCTTTCCCGCTGTACAAGAACTACCTCGCCAACACACTTTACCCCGCCGATGCCTACCCTGGCCAGATCGAGCGTTATGCAGCGATTGTCGCCGACTCAGCCTTCGTCTGCAACACTTTTTACCTAGACAAGGCGTTCGGCAACCAGACTTACGCTTACTTCTTCGTTGTGCCTCCTGCGCTTCACGGCACTGACATCGCATACACGTTCTACAACGACGGCGGACCCAGCAGCGATGTTATCAACGTTGATGTTGCAATTGCGTTGCAGGAGTATATTACACATTTTGCCGAATTTGGGTATCCGAGCGAGACTGGTGTGCCGCATTTCCCGATTTATGGTGAGAATGCGACAGTGACGGTGTTGAATGCTACGAGTATTACGCAGGCTGTTGATCCGGCTGCGAACGAGAGGTGTAACTGGTGGCAGAAGGCGCTGTACTACTAGGCGAAAGGTATTGATTCCAGAGCTTTTGACCGAGCTGCCAGGCTCTAGTGATCTTCGACAACACTGAGAAAGGTAGGCTGTCAGCGCATCTGGGATTCCTGTCACCTGAATACAGTCTACTTGGTACAGCGCGGGTTGCCTGTTCGCTTCTTAAACTCTTCCGAATGGAGACACTTCCGTGTGCGCTCATGCACTTGCGTCACAGCAACTGTCTGTAAAAGACTGTCACAGCGACTGTCACTTTATCATCCACAGCCGTCTCTACCAACAAGCGGCAATTATACAGCCCTGAGTGCTGTGCTAACAATCAGTGCTCTTGTCTGGCTCGATGCTTCCATATCATTGGCTGAGAAGCGCCACTTCGAGCGCAGCCAACGCCACATGGTGTGAGGCCTTGGAGCTGAGCCTTGCGCCCGCAAGCATTGACTTGTACATCATGCCCCGATATCACGGGCTGTTCACATTCCAACACTTCCAATATTCTGGCCGGTAATCATAGCAAGGACTGTTCTGGTCTTACTCTCAGTGTACCACATGACCTGACATGGCGCCACTATACAAGACGCTCCCTCCCGTCAGCCGACAAATCCGTCTTCTGAGAGCCAAAACTACTGGAAGAGTCAAAGCAGTCGAGGCCTCATGCGTTCAGGAATGCCCTCAATTTCAACTAGAGACATTTTTGCTCGATCTGCTACCCTCATACAAAGCATTGTCGTATTGTTGGGGAACTGAAAAGGCCGACCAAGTCATCCATGTCAACGGGGAACCATTTCTCGTGAATCCCAACCTCTTCGAGTTCTTGAAGCTCATCGACGCCGACAAAGACGACGGAACGGGGAACGAATGCGTAGGATGGATATTCATCGATGCGATCTGCATCAATCAAACTAATCTGGACGAGAGAAGTTCACAGGTCACGCTAATGGGAGATGTCTACAAGCAAGCGGAAGAGGTCATCGTTTGGTTGGGTGTCCAAGAAACAATGGTCAACGCGTCCACTGCTTTGGACCCAGATGCCTGGCAGGATTGTTGCGATATAGTGGAGCTACACTTCGTCACAATGGCAGCGATGCGGGTGATTGGCACGCCAGTGCAAGAGATCGCAAGTGACTTCCTGGACGCGCATTTGGGCATAGAGACTGCCCGTGCACTTGTCATGCCTCTCGTGCGGCACTCGTTCTGGTCACGACTTTGGATTGTACAGGAGATCGTTCTCGCGCGAAATTTGTGGATCTGGTACCAAGGCTTGCGTATCTCCTGGTTCACCCTGTACGAATGTCTCAAGTACGGATGGAAGAATGTGATAGACCCTTTATCCACTGTCAAAATGGTGGATGTATCGCCCTTCCGACCCGAGCAAGGCTTAAGGCTCATGCCTGGCGACTATCACGAACGGTTCAAGGGTTGGAGTGATGCGCTCCAGACTTTTAGCCTCCTCCAAGACAAAATTCGGTCGACCGATTTGGCTCGGGCGCGCAAAATGGACCTCAGTACTGCCAGCTCGAACTTTGTCAGGCGAGACGCTTCCGTGAAGAATGACAAAGTTTATGGCTTGCTCGGCATGACTTCTAGCGTTGTCCCAGTCGACTATCAGAGCGATGCGAATGCAACAGAAATCGTACACCGAATGGGCATATTCCCGCTACGAGATCAAGGAATCGTCGTAGTGGAGGAAGCAATCTTGCGTATCGAAACATATTTGGCGACGTTGGAACCCCCTCACAGCCCCCAGGATCGAGCTCACGTCGAACTACTCGAAGAGCATGTCGCAACTCTCCGAAAGCGCATAGAATCACAGCAAAATGCAGATCAGGAGGCACGTAGCCCGATGTGGCCAGACAGAATGCAACGACAGCATGACATCCGCTCTATCGCACATTTCTTGAGCGGACACAAATTTATTGACAAGCTGCGGGAAATTCTTCCAACTCCGGCCCTTTTCAAGATTCTCGAACACGATCTCTATAAAGCTCTTATACTGGGACTTAAAAGCTCGGAGGACGTAGAATCTAACAGTGCGTATATCTCATCCAATTCCGACTTTCGCACATGGGCTGTCAAGATGGCAAAGGAATACCCGGAGCTTGGACGTTTACCAGAAAAATGCCTTCGGGTCCCTCAGGAGGAATATCCTGTCCCTTGAATGAATGTGTTCTGAGGAAACACAAAGCTGTGTGTACTGGCTTGCGTGGGACAACGTAACCTTCACGATGACCTAGGAAAGATCGGATGCACATGTCGCTCTGCCCATAACGCTCGGTACAACTAACCGCAGCCCTATGTATCACATAATCAGCAAGGCTTTGAGTCAGGACCGTTTCTTCCGCCAAGGGAACATACAAATCCAGATGCCTCCCGCATAAACAGGAACAAGCCGGATCAATATCGGGACACTTGAGTAGCGTTCCAGCCAAACTGTATTCGCGAGTGATACGACAAGGGAATCAAAAGATCAGTAATCGCGCCCTTTTTGTTTCGTGCCATGGGGAAACGCAAAAGCACCCAGACCGTCATGCGTGGAGAGAAAAAGATTGCAGTCGCTTCGCAAACATGATCAGGATTTCTGCCACAGCATCAACACTCAGTATCAGGGTCGCACGATCATCACTCTACCTATGGTGCAACACCTTGGACTTAGTGCGCGTTCGATGACACCGAATAGCAAATTGGGGTTTCTCAAGCTACGCCAGGATCCCATGCCACCATAATTCGAAACCGGAGGACTCGGGCACGCTGGACGAGGTCTATGTATACATTTGAGTTGTGCTCACGCAACTTCTCATTGCTACACCTTCCTTGTTCATTCGCTCTTTTGCATAACACATATGATTCAAGACTTTCGTTAACATGCAGTCTCTTTTATTCTATTCATTGTCTCTATTGAGTACATTCCAGAGTACTTTTGCTTCTCCGCTGCTCAGCATCAATGGCCTCCAGCAATGGCCCAACGCGACTGGACCACAGGTATGTTGCAGCAGTGTTCACGAAACTTTGTGATAGACTGACAATTGCTGTCAGTACGGCGGAACTCCGGATCCACGATGCCAGTACTGGATGGAAGACATTCAGCATCAAGGAATCGCAGCGTTCAACCGCAACCCTTCGAATTACACAGTCTTCCGAAATGTGAAAGATTACGGCGCGAAGGGTGACGGTCTCACAGATGACTCCAAAGCGATCAATGCAGCCATAACCGAAGGAGACCGCTGTGCGCCAGGCGTCTGCAACACCACTACGACTACCCCAGCGGTCGTCTACTTCCCTGCTGGAACTTATATGGTCAACGCGAGCATCGTCTCTTACTACTACACTCAGCTCATTGGAAACCCGAACTGCCCACCTGTCATTCGCGCAACGCCCAGCTTTCCCGCCGGCAGCTTTGTAGTGGATGGCAATCAGTACACCGACAAAGGTCTGGGCTACAAGCCGGTCGATACCTTTTGGAGACAAGTTCGTAACTTGATCATCGATACCACTTTGGTGCCAGCCAATACCTCTGTTACGGCGCTACACTGGCCGACAGGACAGGTCAACCAGGTATCGAACCTGGTCTTCAATCTCAGTGACGCGCCAGGAACACAGCATATTGGTATGCTGTGCGAAGAAGGCAGTGGCGGCCTGCTCACCGACCTGGTCTTCTATGGAGGCCTGATCGGGGCGAACATCGGCAACCAACAGTACACTGCTCGAAACTTGACTTTCAAGAACGTAGTCACTGCTATCAACCAGTTATGGGACTGGGGTTGGACCTACAAGTCAATCACAATCGACAACTGCACTATTGGTCTCAACCTCTCCAACACTGATCAATTCGGTCTTACTACTGGCTCGATCAACTTCATCGACTCTTCGATCAGCAACACGGCTACTGGATTCATAACCGGTCGCAATGAGACATCTTCGCCTGCGAGTGCGAACACTTTGATCCTCGAGAACTTGCAGCTGGACAATGTTTCTGTCGTAGTTCAGGGACCTTCGGGGCCACGACTCCAGAATACTAACTACGTTGCCGGCTGGATTGATGGAAACGCATATCTTCCAAATGGACCCAACAGACTCGAACAAACCTTCCAACCAGATGCACGACCTGGCGTGCTTGTCCAGTCAGATGGCAAATACTTCGAACGTTCGAAGCCGCAGTACGGAGAGTATCCGCTGTCTTGGTTCATCAGCGCTAGAGATGCTGGAGCCAAAGGAGACGGAAATGCTGACGACACGGTCGCGCTTCAGAATGCAATCAACCGTGCTGTGAATGAGCAGAAGATCCTCTACATTGATCACGGTGACTATCTGGTCTCTAGCACGCTTTACATTCCCGCAGGCTCAAAGATCGTCGGAGAGACATATTCCGTCATTCTCTCGTATGGATCGTACTTCGATGATATGGAGAACCCAAAGCCAGTCATCCAAATTGGCGCAAAAGGCGAGGCGGGTAGTATTGAGTGGAGTGATACTGTGATCAGCACTCAGGGCAGACAACGAGGTGCCATCATGTTTGAGTACAACTTGATCGCTCCTGCGGGCACACCAAGTGGTAAGTGAAGCGAAAGGCCGAAATTTGCAGAGACCATGGACAGTCACTAACACGGATCTTCAGGCCTGTGGGATGTACATGTCCGTATCGGAGGCTTCGCAGGCTCCAAGCTTCTGAAAGAAGACTGTCCCACGACTCCCAACACGACTGTGACAATCGATACTGTCGAGAACAACTGCATCTCCGGCTACCTCTCCATGCACATCACGCCAGAATCTTCTGGTCTCTACCTCGAGAACGTCTGGGTGTGGATCGCCGACCACGATCTTGAAGACAATGCCAAAACTCGTGTGACAGTCTACGCCGGACGTGGACTCCTCGATGAATCTCAAGGCCCAGTTTGGATGATCGGAACTGGCGTCGAACATCACGTTCTGTATGAATATCAATTCGTCAACGCAAAGAATGTTTGGGCCGGATTGATTCAGACCGAGACTGCATACTACCAGCCAAATCCGAATGCGATTATTCCGTTCCCTGTAGTGGAAGAGTTGTACGATCCAGTGTTTGAGCAGCTCACTGTCAGAGATCCAATCCTGGAGAGGAAGAACTCTTCCCTGCCAACAGGACTCAACTCGACTACAAGCTGGAATACCACCACCCCAAGCACTCGCAACAGTACCGCGATCAACATTCCCGCAGCAAATGGTTGGGGTCTTCGTGTCGTTGATTCGCATGATATTCTCATCTACGGTGCTGGATTGTACTCTTTCTTCAACAACTACAACACTTCTTGCTCGGATCGTGGCAATGATTCCACATGCCAGAGCCGAGTGGTCAGCATTGAAGGCAGTTGCGACGTGTTGGTATACGGTCTGGCAACTGTGGGAGTACACTGGCCGATCACAGTGGATGGCGAGGATGTTGCGTATTATGCCGACAACCAGGCTGGTTTCCCGCAGACTATTGCGATGTTTCAGAAAAGGAGCAGTGATGTGAGTGTTGAGATTAGTATAGGCAAATGATGAGTGCAGTGCGAACGTTGTAGGAAGCAGCTGCGGTGATAACAGCAGTGGTGGAAGGCGACCAATGCTAGGATTCTTTTCTGCTCGTCTGCTCAATGTCCGCGACAAAGACTCGTAAACCTGTTCTTATGCGCAGCTCAGTCGATGACAAAGACATCCGTAGAAAGTCCCAGACACTCCGACTTACAATTCAGTTCACTCCGACATCAGAGCCTTACTCTGCCTCCACATGCTCACGTCCCTTCCTTCGACCCCGTGTTCTCTCACGGAATCCCAGTCGCTCAGGCATAACAACATCGATTCCAAACCTCCACTCTTCACTTTCTTGCTTGGCAAGCAAAGTCTCTGAAGACTCCGCTTCATCAGTAGCAGGTGCATCGCTGCTGTTGGACTTCTTGGTCTTACGCCACCACCCGAGACTAAACATCCAACCACTGAATAGCTCAAGTTGCTCTTGCTTACTCAGCGACAGAGCATTATCTGGTATGAGAGGGTCGGGTCCATCGCACAGATCTGATCCGGCTAGCAGAGCCATCGTGCTGGCTATTGAGCACGGATTTCTTGGTAATGTGCGTCGCAAGTTTGTCAACCACCAAGCTCCGAGTCCGAGAGCTGTCATGGCCGCGAGCATGATTTGAAGGGCGAGCTTTGAAGTGGTGTTGACTTTCAATCGTGATCGCTGGACCCACATCGTCCCTTGCACCGTGTCGCTGTCGTCAGCGATCTGATCATCGGGACTGATAGGCTCGCGGAACTTCTTATCAATGACCAGGCACATGTATCTATTGTACAAGTTTTGTACTGCTCGACTGAGTGTGCCTCGATTTGCAGGCCCAGCCATATCTTCAAGGGCAGTCCCATTCGGCCCAAAGGTGACATGGTCGAAAAAAAGGTCAAGAGGTTGGTGGTTCTCGTACATCAAGCTTTTGTTGAAGCGAGAGAGAGATCCACCAGGATCGGACAAGTAATGCTGCACCGGCCATGAGAAAGTCTCTCCGCCGTTCGTAACATTCATTAGATATGTTGTTGACTCGTGCAAGAACATATGCGGATTCCGTGTATCAACCAGTGGCCGCAGCGAGCCATTCCGGTAGTAGATGGAGTCGATGCTGACCATTTCCAGCTTCTGCGAGCATAAGAGAGCTGTTATGTCGTTGTGTTTGGGGTCGAAACTCTCATTAGTTTTGACAAAGACTATGCCGATGGATGGACAACCTGGATGAGCATCCGGAGTTTGAACATGAACATCACGGTCTGCTTGTTCTCCTGCACCCACAATGTGTTCACCAAGCCGATTTTGCGCAGTTTCTGGCCCTGAATCCAAATGTAGATCCAGAAAGCGTCCCACGAAGCTCGGGTCTTCAATCCCCTCGAGGGGTACGCTGATGTTCGTAAAGCTGTCTGTGTCGTACTGTCCGCCACGATGGCAGCCTGGAGGCAATTCTGGAAGCACTTCAATCTTGATGACCCTCAATTTGTCGTCCTTAACAATGATGATGTTACCGTCGGGCACGATCTTACAGTCCAACTGTGGACGGAGCGCATCCACCCGCATAGTATAGTTCCTCGTTCCTTCGACTACAACATACTCACCAGTCGGCGTCCGGATGTATCGTAACATGGGAAACACAGTGTTGTTCCAGATCGTTATGGGCATGGTATTCATCCCGTGCTGCACTTGATCCAACAGGACGCCTGCTCCATTATCGAAGTTGGTCCTCGTGATGTCCCAACGACTTTCCAAAGTGACTCTGACTGGTGAATCAAAAGTTACAGCGTGGTCTACAAATAGCAACCCAGATGCTACCACTGTGAGTGTACTCCCAGTCATGGCCGCAAAATTTGAGAACACCGAGGCAAAATTCTGTGCCCGGAACGATTGCATGATTGCCACCAATGGCATGCTTCCGAGTGGATGGAAGTGAATGGACCTGCTTGCGGAAACGGCGCCTTTGCATAAGAGACTGAATGATGCCAATGACGAAACCAGAAAGTCAAAGTTGTTGAAACATGTAGCGATCAACAGCATCACGAGAGCTGTGGCGTAACGGGACACAATGCTAGCCGTGTCCTCGTTTGTAGATACATCAAGGATGCCGTTTCTAGCCACGGAAATCCGATTGAGCACTTCGAGGACCACGATCATAGCCAAAGGCATCAAGAACATGAGGCTTATCATGGGGTATTTAGCTGCGAGAGGAGCCCACAGCTGCTGCTTCGACTTTGGGACTTCTCTCGCCAAGCCCAGCTCGGCGGGCGTGACTTCGATCTTACACTGGCGATGAGGCAGGACCGTGAACTTGTATTTGTCGAGCAATGCGGTCAATTGGCTCGTACGTGACATTCCCGCGGTGCGAAGAATATCTTGTAGGTCTGAACTCGCCCGTAGTATCATTGCTCGAGTTGCGAGCGAGTCTGTATTGTCGGGAGGTTGGACGGATGACATGGTGAGAACGAGGCACAACGTGCACAAGACCACCATCAGAAAACCTGTCGTCATGATGCTCATCGATGTCAGACCAATACGAAGGCGTTCTTTCTCGTAGATTGCGCGCCCTTCTGACAGGATATCGGTCGTCCTGAGGTACGACTTGTGCATGAAGTGGGTCGACATGCCGGCGTAGCACAGAGTAGCAGCCTTCTGCAGGCTCTCCGGTGACAACAGAGGTTGCATTGAGTTGTTGTGGCCCAAAGTTTGCTGCAATAATGAGTAAAAAGAGCGAGCACCGGATCCTTGGTATCCGCCCGTTTCAGTGACGAATTCGTCGGATTCGAAAGGCAGGTTGCTGGCCTCCATCAACGCTCCGTACAGTATTTCACCAAGCATGACCCCTGTGTGGTCCTCCAGGTGCCGCTCGTCTGTCAAGGACCCCAGCATGTAGGTATCGCTATGAGGATCATGAGTTACATTTGCCCGACTGATGGTGTAATCGACTTTGCAAATCACGGCGGCGGAAAGTGGTTCGTGCAATATGACATTATACGTAGGTTGTTTGGCCCCCGCTTCTTGCTCGACTTCTTGTCCAGAGGCAAGTCTCGATGTGACGGTTCCAGTCACCAAAGCATAGCGAAGATTATCTATTGTGCTCGCATCTAGCCCGAAGTCTTCGACGTACTCGCCACGCATGCCCACGTTGGAGCAATTGACCCTCTCCCAGACGTAGATGAAGTGCGGATCCTTACAAGCCTTAGATTCGCAAACCCGAGTCGTCTTTTCGTAGTCGAATCTAATCTTGTCCTGATGCTCGAAGCCCACAGAGCAAGTCTCGCTGCGAAGTGCAATGTTCTGATGGTCCTGCTCCTTTGTGAGATCTGGTTCTGCTATCTCACAAGAGATCTGCGGCTCGAAGACATCTACCTCTGTAGAAACGGTACGAACAGCAGTGTCGTCGTCAAGCTCAAAGCACTGGAAAGTACGCAATTCTACTACAGTCTTCGGCGTTTCAACGTCGCCGCGCAGTATGCCGTAGTACGTTTGCACACAACTTGCTCCCACGGCGCGGTATATTGGTTCTTTTTCGTCGAAAATTGGCTCAAATTGCACGTAGTTCCAGAATTCTTTGCCATCAAAACTTGTGCTTAGCTTGATAGAGCGTGTATCTTGCAGAATAGTTGGTTTGAGTACGAAAAGACCAGTGGAGAACAACACAATGAGCTTTAATATCGCAAATCCGCAGATCGATGCGATCACCGCTGTATGTCGGTATCGAATTGCTTTAATAAGACTCGTTGCTTGTAAAGGGGAGATGTAGTCCAATAGGATACTACGGTCCGCACTGACTGAGCCGTCATAAAGCTCCCTCCAAGGTTGCAGCATCTTGCACTGGTAGTCAACTTGCCTCCACAGACTGATGACTACGACAAGTACAGCTGTAGGCGCGTAGGTCCACGCGTACTGTTTAGACCCTGATGTAACGTGGAAACCGTTCCGGGACTGGTCCAGGGACCACAGGCTGAGGAGAGACACTGCCATAGCAACAAACACAGCAATGAACAGGCACAACGTGCTTTTCCGGGTCCAAAACGGCTCCCGGGTTTTGTGTAAGTCCCGCGAGTTTACGCGTTTCTCGTTTAGTGTCATAAGCTCTGTATTGACTCCTGCTCGGCTCAGGTCCTGGTCGATCGCACCGCCAATGTTGCTTTCTTGTGGCACATGGCTGAGCCCCAGAAACTCATCCTCATCGTGCTCATGGGTGTTTCGCTTTACATGAGCCACTAGCTCGTCACCACCTGAGTCCGTAGGTCTCGTTGAAAGCGGCTTTCTGCGCATAACTGGGTGACAGTCGCTCGGATGGTCATTTTGTGCAGGATTCAGCCCGCCTTGATGGTGAGGGGCAGCCATTTGATAACATCTGGCAGTGAACGAGCAGGCTCTGAGCGTTGCAGAACCAAGTATATGGGTGGCGTGTGCAGGAATCGTCGTCGATTGAGTTGCTGCCCGAGTCTGCTGCTGAGATCGCTGTGCTTCAGATGCGCTGAGCGACAACGAGTAGAGGGAATTCTAGCTTGCAAAAGAATCGGAATACGAGATGAGACAGCTAGCGCTTGATGCTGGACTGAAGGATTCGACGCAAATGAAGGTCTGGCAGCAGTGCGCTGTGCCACGGCCTGCAACCTCATTTTGTATGGGTGTGCAATGGTGCACAAGGCTGAGATGTTGTGGCTCCAGGCAACCTCGGGGCGAGTATACATTCCATTAGGTGACAAGACCAATGCAGTGGTTTCTGCCGCTACTGAAAGAGCTTCTCTGAGCCTCGCGTGCCATATTGTGTCTAGTGGGGATAGCACGTAGCCACAGGGAGCAGCCAGAGAATCACGATCTGAGATGATGTCAAAGAGAACTAAGCTGCAATCACAGACCGCTGAACTTGAAACTTGGTATCAGCAGAGCATGCGGTGCGACGAGGCATGCGTACAATCAGCCCTCTGCGGTGCGGCTGATTGAGTGCCTGCAAGATGGGCATATTCATCGCTCGAACGCGCAAAATGTATCTGCTCCCGTGCAGCAAAGGTGCAATGAGTGAACGAACGAGCAGAAGCGGCCACTGTGTAAGCAGATGAGAGGCCATGGAAGGGACGCAGGGACGTTGCGGATCCTGGCTTGGCATTATGCCTAAGGCATTACAACACCTTGCAACATTGTCTCGCGAGTCGCCCTCCATAGAAAGCCACTTCCGCCGTGACACATCATCGCTCCTTTCACCTAAGACGAGCTGAGAAGGATGCATGACCTACCTCCTTAGGGTATACTCTATGCTCAAGTCACCAGTCCACCGGCGTTCCTGGTTTGGAAGCATAATATCTATCTCCACAATCGAAAATCCCGGCCGCAGCGATTAGAGCTGCAGGAAAGTTGAAGACACAATGAGCGGATCGAGAGGACTTGGTGAGAATGACAGATGTGACAGAGAACGTTTCTTGCTCATTGAACAGTGGTCGAGATTGCGGTACGCTTGCTCATTGCTTGAGCTATTGTGCAGCCCTGTTCGGTCTCATGATTAAACACTCAATCTTCCTTCACCTCAGCAGCACGCTTCCTATCCGCATACATCTCGCTCGTCACCTTATCCTCGATCATACCAGTAACGTTGAAAACCACGAATGTCCAGACCGCCAGAACCAGTCCTGCCGGTTTTGCCGTCCAAATGGCACTTCCCAAATAGGAGATGGCCTTGCCATTGTACATCGGCGATGCAATGAGCCCATAGGGAAATGACTCTACGTATTCGAGAGGACCGAAGAAATGATCGCCATGATAGATCCCTTTCCAGCCCAGTGCCCACATGGCCGAAAAGTGGATTATATTTCCGCCAATCCAGCAGCACATGGCGATCAACCTAAAGAATGTGTGATCCATGAGAGACGAAGATGGTTGACGACGAAGGGCGTACTCGAGACTGAGCCAGTGGTCAACATTGTGCTGCTCACGGGAGTGCGATATTTGGCAAAGTGTGCAAGAGATCTACCTTGAATCACGAATGACAGCCATCAGAAGACAGGTCAATGCCCAAGCGATATAGGCACGTGTAGCATTGCCGTTAGCAAGCCTGGTCAAAGTCTTGCTCCGACGCTCTTCTGCTGCTCAGCACGATGTGTGAGGCTGGAGCGATGACACCGTACGAGCTCACCTAGTCTGGAGACGAAACTGGATGATCGAACCTTTTAGCATTGAAGTATGCTGTCACATTCTCAGATGTACTCACATCCAACATGCTGGCACGCACGCTATGGCGACGAACGAGACTGTCGATGATGATTAGCTTATCGGTGCACAAGCAAGAATAAGTTGGATGCAGACGGACGACAAAAGGATTGCTCGTTGAACTCAATGGCAGACATAATGCGGAGTGAAAACTGCGGTGAACCCCCCAGAGTTCCTCTATGCAGCCATGCGTAAGTGTATATATCTGTACGGGAGAATGTTGAGAGCCTTAGGCAGCCGTTTTGGGATTCTTGGCAATCACATGTAGACGGAGACGTTCGCACTTCGCGCCATCGGGTTTGCCTCCACACACCACACCTCCCACCCGCATCGCCTTCCTGACGACATATCATAACACCCGCAGCTCAGTCTCGGGTGAGTGTGCATCACACTGCGGGTCTTCATCCTCCACAAGTGGATTGTTTGAGATGCATACGCTGCCGACCACGCCCAAAATGGCGAATGCAGTATACATCATCCACACGCGGTCGAGGCTGCGGGCCATCGAAGTTCGGAGGGCGTGAACCTGCTCCGCAGACCCGGAGAAGCTCAGAATTATCGTCACGTCATGGCTCAAGCTGTGTGCCGTCTCAGTGGGGACGCCTTGTGCCACCAGCGCCCGAGTCCGCGCCTCCAGAGCGCTCTGTAGGACGACTTGTCCGAGCGTCAGACTGATCGCCGAGCTCAAGGTGCGGAGGAAGACATAGAATCCATAGGCACGCGGGATATCTGCGTGCGATATGGACGTTTGCAAGCCCATTAACGGTGCCTGGAACAGAGGCGAAATGCCCATGGCCGCACTCAGCTGCGATACCACCAGCCGCCACACGCTGATCTTGACTGCCAGGCCAATGAACAAGCCTGTTCCGAGCGCAAGTGCTGCTGCGGCCACGATGATGAGAGTACGGACGCGCTGCGTTCGCTGGATGACGAGAGCGGCGCAGATGCCAGCAACAATTGTCGGCACCGCGATAACTAGTGTCCAGCATCCCACGGCAAAGGCATCCAAGTCGAGCACCAGGGACAGATAAACGGGAAGGTAGAATATGCAACCAATGTACGTGACGCCGTGCGAGGCACACACGCCGAGGCACGCCGCGCTGGACCGCGCACGAAACAGTGCGAGTGGGACGATGGGATGGCGGACCTGGGTCTGCTCAACAGCAAATGTCGCCAGAGCCGCAATACCGCCGAGCAAGAGCGTCAATGTCCTTGCCGATTGCCATGTGGTGGAGCCACCGGACTGGAGCCCGAGCAGCAAGAGGAGTGTACCGCCAGTGATCAGCAGCATCCCGAGCCAGTCCACTGTGCGCAGCTTCGACCAGTCCGAGCCACTTCCAGCTCCTTGATAGCCCACTATGAGCAATACGAGTGCAACCGCACACACGGGAAGGTTGATCCAGAAACACCAGCGCCAGTTGGCATACTTCGTGAGCACCCCGCCGAGGAGCGGCCCAAAGGCAGCTCCCATGCAGCTGACGCCCGAGTACATGGCAATGTAGAGGCCTCGCTCGCGAATGGTGAACAGATCTGCCATGCTGACGTTGGTCACCACCGTGAACGCACCTTCACCGATGCCCTGTATTGCACGGCCCATGATGAGGATCATGGAGTTGCGGGCGCACGCCGAGATTAGACTGCCAACGAGAAAGAGGCCCAGACCAGCAAGCATGACGCTCTTTTTTCCCAAGACCTCCGACACAGGCTCCCACACAGGCATTAGGCATGCGCATCCCAGCAGATATGACGAACCGACCCATGCATATTCCGTCGCTGACATCGCAAAGCTGTCCGAGACGAAAGGAAGAGCGACACCGATGATCACCGAGTCCATCGATACCAGAGCCCCACCAGCACAAATTGCCAGCATGATCATCCAAATGCGATTTCGTCCCGGTTCTGAACCAGGTCTCGACGCTTTCTTCAGGCTGAGGCGGGTCATCTTGCAGGGTGTATAGCGCTCAGAGCTACTCGTGGCCATCGTCGTCTTCAGAGATGTTTGGGATTCCGCCAACTGAGTTGCAGCTATGTGCGCTGTTAAGCACGATTCGATTGATTTGCGCAGCTGGTGACTTGCAGCACTAGAATCTGTTTCGTACAGGAACGATGTGTTGCATCGACCTTGATAACCAACCTTCGGGCCATTTATACCACACTTACATTCTACGACAACAACTTCTGGTTTTCGGCACACAGTGTACGACAGGACTTGAAGACTAAGATGCCGATGCAGTGGAACCCAAGCAAATCATGCAGTGGATCGAACGATTCTGCCAACCCCGGAGGCTCACATCATGGTGTCGAGATTCGCATTTACATATCGACTCTGCGTACATTTGCTTGGTAAAGCAAGCTCTACCCCCCGGGGCTGACCCAGATCAAGACACATGGTGGATGATCTCGAACAGTGTGCCCGATGGATCCCGAAATTCTGCATCATGGAGGAGACCCTCGGGCGTCTCCTCAAGCAGCCCGTCGTATGCGAGATCCTCTGCTCTGGTGACTTCCCTCACCACCTGCAAGCCATTTGCCTGATGATTTTGATGTGCCGCTGTCCCATAATACGCTGTTGCTTGGACGCGAGCGACTGCGCTTCCGTGAATCGTGTCACTCAGTCCCAGCAACTCTTGCGTCCGCGCATTCACAAATGCCTCCAACGCACGATTCAGGCAATTTGTAGCCTCGGTGCTACGATGATGTGGCTTGATGTAGAGTCGACCCGCGATCCATCGCGTCTCGAGTCGTCCATCCACTGGCGCTAAAGCGGCATCTCCGAAGAAGTTGTACTGTTTGGCTGAAAGTGGTCCGTGCATTGCACAAATCCCAACCCACTGACCTTCTTCTAGGCTACTACTGCCGCTGATTGCATTTGGTGCCACCAAAATCCAGAAAATCGATTCTCCATTAGTGGCCTCAGCAGTCCAGTCCTCCGTGCTTTTCAGGAATTGGGGAGCATACAGGAGTATGCGTTGTTGAATTGCACAAATAGCTTCCACATTGATCAATGCAAATTTGCGGATCAAATTTGCCTCCAATTGCCGAGGGACTTGAACGGCGGTGTATTGTGTCGTCGAAGATGTCTTCATCACGAATGGTGCCCGGAACTGCTGATTGTGTTCTACAGGAATCTTGATACGGAGCACTTTGTGTATCCGGATGAAGGGTCCGTGGCGTCTTACGGGATACATGCATGATATATTGTATGCACACCACAGTCGGCCTGACTGGAGAACATGGATATCAGGAAGCGAGCATGTCCTTGATCCGCAGTTCCGTTCCCTTATGTGCACCCGAACCGGGTACGCGGGACATGCAGGACTTATCGTACCTGTGGCGAACAGAAGGCAAGCCTCAATGTCATTGATTCGACTTTGTGACTATGACGAACATATGCTGAGGTCCGCCTTCTGGAGAGTGATGAGTCCACCGCTGCACTAAGAATCTGGTCGACGCCGTATCAATCGACATCGATTCCACAACCATGGATCGTACAAACGCCGAACGAGTTGCCATCATTGGCATGTCCTGCACTCTACCAGAAGACATCAACGATGCCGATGGTTTATGGGACTACTGTGCCCGTGGTCAATGTTCAGCCTCGGAGATTCCAGCGTCGAGATTCAAGAGCAAGGACTTCTACCACGAGGACCACTCAAAGAGGGGACACTTCAATATTACGGCTGGCAGCTTTCTCAATCAAGATGTTTCAGCCTTTGATGCTCGCTTCTTCAACCTCAACGAAGCAGAATCCACAGCCATGGATCCGCAACAAAGGCTTCTGCTGGAGTGTACATATCGAGCCCTTGGAAATGCTGGTCTGGAATTCGATCAGCTGGCTGGCCGTTCAGATGTTGGCGTCTTTGCTGGTGCGTCCAAAAGCGATTACGAAGACAGAATGAATCAAGATCCGTACACCGCATCTCGCTATGCTGCGACAGGCAATGCGATGACCATGTTCGCTAATCGGCTTTCATACTTTCTGAATATACACGGCCCCTCAGTCACCGTCGACACAGCATGTTCGTCCAGCTTGACGGCGCTACATCTGGCTGTACAAAGCCTCCAACGCGGAGAATGTTCCTACGCAATCGTCGGCGGGTCCTTCTTGCAGCTATCGCCAACCATGTTGAGCAACATGGGAAACCTCGGTACGCTGAGCAAGGATGGAAAAAGCTACTCGTTCGATCACCGAGCACAAGGTTATGGACGAGGAGAAGCCGTCAGTTGCATTGTGTTGCGAACAGAAGCACAAGCAAAAAGTTCAGGCGACCCTATTCGAGCCATTGTCAGGGCTACTGGCGCCAATCATGGTGGCAGGTCTCCTGGAATTACGTATCCTAATGGAGAAGCACAAGAGGCCCTCATACGCAATTTGTATGAGGCCGTTGGCTTGGACCCGGCAGATACAGACTATGTTGAAGGCCATGGTATGCATCGCACGGTTCATGGTGTGTCACCGGAATGCTAAAATATCGTTCAAGGCACTGGCACTGAACGTGGTGACCCTATCGAAGCCAACGCAGTTCTATCTGTGTTTCGCGGCGAGGGCCACGCGCGCAGCCGCCCTCTCTTCCTCGGGAGCATCAAGTCAAATTTTGGTATGATTCAGAGTCTGCTTGCCTCTTGCTCTGAGCTAAACAACCAGCTTAGGCCATTCTGAAGGAGCCAGCGGCATTCTATCAGTCATCAAGTGTGTTCTCATGCTCGAAAGATCTGTCATCCTACCCAATGCAAACTTCGAGAAGCTCAATCCAGACATAGAGCAAATTGGCCATGCTCTGGAAGTTCCAACGAGGTGTATACCTTGGCCGAGAGACGCGCTTCGCAGAACATCGATCAACAACTTCGGCTTTGGCGGCTCCAATGCACATGTGATCTTGGAGCAAGCTGCAGATCTACCGTTGACTGCAGTTGACGCTGACGTAGAGCATGCGCCGGCCCTGTTCGTCCTCTCTGCTAAGGATGCAGAATGCCTGAAGTCGTGCATGTCAGAGCTCAGGCAGTATCTCCAAGAGAAGGAAGACTACGACGATGATACTGGCTTCCTGCGACGCTTGAGCAATGCTGGCTGTTGGGGCGTCTCCGTCGGAAATCAGTCCTTTGATAGACAGTCTGACAGGCGGGGTTGCTTCGATAGCATGCTTCAACAGCCCTAGGAGCTTGAAAGTCTCCGGTGATCATGCGGCAATAGTCGAGCTAGCAGAGAGACTGGATGCAAAGTCCATTTTCAATCGAATGTTGAACGTGAATGTCGCATATCACTCTTTGCAGGTGGTACCTTGCGCGCGGCAATATCTGAAAGACATTCAGCCATGGCTTGACGGGTGTGATCATGTGGATGACGCATCTATAGTGCTCTACTCCTCTGTCACCGGCGCCAAGGAAGTTGGCAGCTCTGTACGGTCGCCTTGGTACTGGACAACCAATCTGATCTGCCCTGTGCAGTTTGTCAAAGCGAGCCTGGTCATGATGCAGGATCTTGCCAACGACAATTGCGGGAAAAGCGTGTCTGTCATCGAGATCGGACCGCACGCGACACTTTCAGGGCCGCTACGAGAGACGGCGAAAGAGACACTTCCGCAATATTTTTCTTTCTCGTACCACGTTTCCATGCGAAGGAACAACACCAGCACGGACGGCGTTTTGGAACTCGCTACATCACTGGTCAACAGCGGCGCCCGGTTCAATGACGAGTTCTGGAAGACAATGCCCCAAATACTCGGGACACGATTGCTGACAGATCTGCCGCCTTACCCTTTCAATCACAGCCAGAGCCTCTGGCACAGTAGTAGGCTTGCAGACTCTCATGCATTTGGAGGCTCTCCATGGAATGTCTTACTTGGTCATAGAGCCACAAACAGCGTCGGAGACTCAAGAGAATGTCGCAACGTCTTCACGCTTCAAGATATTCCTTGGTTGAGAGAGCATTGTATCCACGGAGCTGTTGTCTTCCCTATGGCAGGGTATGTTTCTGCTGCTATCGAGGCCATCGCACTGGAGAATGTCGATAGAAAGCAAGGAGTGGAAGCCTGCCGCATCAGAGAAATGGTCATTGGAAAAGCTCTGATCTTGTCTGATGACCAGGATAATGAGCTCTTCACCGTCTTGCGGCCGCGAAGACTTGGCACCAGAGTGACGAGCCAGACCGGAGACTTTGACTTTACGATCTCTTCTTGGAACAAGGCTGCGGGCTTTGTGGAACATTGCTCGGGAATTGTTTCTGTCGTGGAAGTAAAAGCGCCGAATGCTGAGGACGATGCTGCGGAGAGGTCTCGAAAGCACTTTGACAGTATGCGCCATTCGATCGAAAACGAAACCACCAGGAAGATTGATGTCAATGCTATGTATCGACAGGCGAAGCAGCAGGGCATGGAATATGGACCAGCGTTCCGTTTGATGTCAAGCTTCTGGACAGGCAACGATGCTGCAAGAGGGATGATCACGACCACGACAGCGATGGAGCACGAAAATCAATTGATCATAAATCCTACAACGCTGGACGCAGCTCTTCACGTCGGTCTGTGTAATCTGAACAGCAACCCAGGCAGACTGGCAAAACTGGTTGCACATGTGCCTATCTTCGTGGAAGAAGTGTATGTCTCAACCGCCGCGATATCGACCACAGGCCCACTGGAAGTATACTTCCATGACCCTCGCGCGGAAGCTATGGGTGAGTCTACAGTTGGCAATCTCAGCTGCTTCGTGGGGCCCAATCCCGTTATCAAGATTCGAAACTTGCGAATGAAGAAGATGCAGCAAGCCAAGGAAGAGCTCAGTGATGCGGAAAGCATCAATCCGATGAAGTATCAGTGGTTCGAGCATCCGAATTTCTGGTCAGATGAGATTTTGAAGAGGATGCGAGACAAACTGCCGATGATGCGAACTGAAGTCCTAGAAGAACTGGAAAGGATCGAAAGAGCGGCGCTGCGTTACATGCAGAAGGCTCTTCAGCAGTCTTCTGTACCTGAATTACCCCACTTGGTTAAGATGAAGCAATGGATGACCACAGTCGTCGGATTAGACAACTTGAACGAAGACGATCCCGACGAAATTGATACTTTGATGGCCACATCCTCAGTAGACATGCGCTGCATTTGTGGCGTAGGCCAGCAACTTCCGGAAATCGTGAGAGGAGAAGTCGACGCACTCTCAATTCTAAAACAATCTGGGCTCGACACCATCTACGAAGAAAGCAGAATTTTCTCTCACAGCGCATCGCTCCTCGCACATACCATTTCTCAACTAGCCTTTGAGAACCCCAGCATGCGCATACTAGAGGTTGGAGCCGGAACAGGAGGCTTCACGAGGCGCATTATCGAAGAAATGGACTCGTTGCCTCGGATCCCTAGTCGATTCTCAGAGTACTGGTACACAGACATTTCTCCGGCATTCATTGGTCCTGCGCAAGCGAGATTCGAGAAATGGTCAGCGAAGATGAAGTTTCAAACATTGGATATTTGCTCTGAGCCATCTCTGCAAGGGCTCGGCGTAGGCGAATTCGACCTTGTCATTGCTGCGGATGTGGTTCATGCAACGCCATCAATTCAACAATCGTTGCGGAATGTCCGCAAGCTGCTCAAACCAGGCGGCACGTTGGCTTTAGTGGAACTATCTCGTTTCTCGCCGTTCTTCATGCCTTTTGCCACGCTGCCGGGATGGTGGTCGAGGCCAGAAGGGCCGATACTTTCAAACCAAGAGTGGCATGATGAATTAGTGGAGGCTGGGCTCACGGGCTGTCATGCGTATGTTGAAGATATGAAGAGCGGTGGCACTCATTGTTTGATTTGGAGCCACGCAAGACACGAAGTTCCTGATGATTCTCCGGGCAAGGTTTCAATTATCTGTGAGCACGCAAATGCTGCACGTCTGTGCGAGCAAGAGCTCACTCGTGCGAAATCAAACACGGACCCGGCCATCCACTCTTCTCTGGCACAGATCATTGACACAGATATGCGGCTATCGATCGTGGTCGAAGAAGCATCAAAATGCAGCTTATTGAATCCAGAACCTGGCCAACTCGAAGCGATACAATACATGTGTGCCAAAGCGGAAGGCATACTGTGGGTAATTCGATCTTCCTCAGAAACAGCACAGGATTCTGCTGTCGCCGGCCTGGCGTTCGGCTTCGCGAGGACAGTGCGTTTGGAATACCGGCAACTCAAATTCGTCATGTTGAATATTGTCGATACTGGGGAGCTGGATGCCATGGCTGTCGTTGGCAAGGTCTTTCGGCACACCTTCATCGACAAGCCGGGTAGACAAGAGACGGACATTGATCTTGTGTGGGAAAAGGATCGCTTGCTCTATCCTCGATTGTTGTCTTGCGAGTCTGCGAGGAGCGCATTGAGTGCTTTTGACGAATCTTCATCGCCGCAGTTGGGGGAGTTCTGGCCAGAGAGCAGGGCCGCTGCAGCTCACAATGGACCGTATCGGATTGCTTGACTCCCTGCATTTTTCAGCAGCTCCGCGAACGCTTCTAGAAGATCCACTTGGAGATGACGAGGTCATCATCGAGATCAAGGCCACTGGCCTCAATTTTCGAGATGTGCTTATTGCTCTCGGTAGAGTACCCTGGACCTCTCCTGGCAAAGAGTGCAGTGGCGTTGTCGCTGCCGCAGGCTGTAAAGCAGGACTTCGATACCAGAAAGGTGACCGCGTAGTCCACCTAGGCGATGGATTATTCGCGACGCATGCGCGTTGTAATATAACCACCATCGCCAGGATCCCTGATGGTTCAAGCCTTGGCTTCAGCGAGGCAGCATCAATTCCCATCATCTTCTGCACGGCGTACGAGTCATTGGTCTGTCGTGCAAACCTACAACCGAAAGAGAAAATCTTAATTCATGCGGCTGCAGGTGGCGTGGGCCAGGCTGCGATTCAAATCGCCCAGCAGCTTGGTGCAGAAATCTACTGCACTGTCGGATCCCCGGAGAAGAAGAAATTCATGATCGATCACTACAATATCAATCCTAGCAGGATATTTTCGAGCCGTTCCACTGATTTTGTGGAGGGACTTCAGTTTGCAGCTGACGGCGGAGTGGATGTCGTGTTGAACTCTCTGTCCGAAGACCTTCTTCAGGCTAGCTGGAGATGTCTTGCACCGCTTGGAAGATTCATCGATATTGGGAAGCGAGATGCGTTAGCTAACAGTGCACTCGAAATGGCGCCGTTTGACAAAGGAGTTACCTACTCGGCTGTGCAACTTGATGTGTTGATGCTGCAAAGGTCAGACAGGACAAAGCAGCTGCTAGACACAGTGATGGAGAACTTCGCGCACGGCACTTGGAAACCTGTCCACCTGGCAGAGAAGTTCTCAGTGGGGCAACTCGAGAGCGCTATGCGTCTCATGCAATCTGGGAAACACATTGGTAAGATTATCATAAATAACGATCGTGATGCACGAGTCCCCTTGCGTGGTACGAAAGCAGCAAGAATGTCAGAGATACGAAGAGATGTGACTTACCTCATCACTGGCGGTACGAGTGGTCTCGCAAGCTCGCTCTCGAGATGGCTTGTCGAAAAGGGAGCCAAACATATCGTGTTGGCATCAAGAAGTGGGGATGCCCGGTCTGCAAGCGCTCAAGAATTGATGGAGTATGCTCGAACCAGAGGTGCGACCATCTCGATGGAGCAGTGTGATGTTGGATCCGAGGCCCAAGTCGCTGATCTACGCGAACGTATCGAGAGGGAAGGAATGCCAAAGTTGCGAGGCGTCATACATGGCGCCATGGTTCTCAAGGTGAGTCTATTTAGTTCCAGAGCCACAGTCAGATCTACGCTGATCATTCGTCCACTCCCAGGATACCATGTTCTCGTCCTTGACAGCGGGAGAGTGGAATGCTGTGCTCCGGCCCAAAGTACAGGGTGTGCTGAATCTCTACTACTCCCTCAGAACCCGCAGCTTGGATTTCTTCGTCTGCCTCTCCTCGGTCGCGGCTGTAGTGGGTAACGTCGGGCAAGCTCCATATTCTGCTGCAAATGAGTTCATGGACCGTTTCTGCGCATGGTGGAGCCGACAGAATGGCCAGAAAGCTATTTCGATCAATCTTCCGTCAATATCAGACGTAGGATACGTTGCTGAGGCCATTGAGGCAGGCATCACGGCATTTTCGGACAAGGTCTATGCCGCGTCGCTGTCCGAGGAGGCAGTGTGTAAGGTTATGGACGCCGCTCTCCAGGACAATGGTAAGAAGAGTGACAGTTGGGATCATCAAAGGAGTAACAATGTGGTCGTCGGGATTCCTCAAGTCCCCGCTTTAAGGCCCATCATCGAAGAAGTAGGACCGGCACTTTCCATCATGAAGCACAGCATGGATGCATTATCTCGAGAGGAGAGCCAGGGAAGCTCTGTGTCCATCTCTGACACTACGAGGCAATCCGTCGCAGCTCAGCTCTCAAATATTCTGGAGCCAGCGGAGAGAAAGTCCGTAATACAAGCAAATCTGCGCAAAAGAATTGCGGCCATCACGTTGAGAGATCTGGAGAACATCGCATCCGAAAGTGCCATTGCGGATCTTGGGCTGGACTCGCTCGTCACTGTAGAACTGCACAGCTGGATCTTGAAGGAGCTCGATGCCAGAGTCACCGTCATGGAAATCATCGGATTCCAAACTTTCAAGCAGCTGGTAGACATTTTGTGCGAACGTTCACCATTGATCAACGGTAAAAGCTGACTTCATTGTGCTGGGTAATGATACTACGGTACATGGGCCTCGACATAAGCTTGTATAGTGCAAAATGCAATGCTCCACTTGCAGTGTCCAACAATCGACTAAGCTCTTTCGTAACTACAGTATCCTAAAGAACATAAATACTATTGGGAAGGTTTGACTTCGCATCACGTGCTCGATTCATCACGTCGTGACCTCCGCGTCATGTTCATCACTTCTCTCCCCCAATCTCATCACTCAACATCTATTTCCTTGATTCCATGCAGATATATCACTGAGCAGGCAATAATCGCTCATTCGTGGCCACAAAAAGTAATTCCACAAGACAAATCATGACAGTCAGCTCCGGCGATGACTACACCGCATACTTCACCCCAAAACAATCAACACCAGTCGGTGCCGCACTCCTAGATCCCGAGCATGGCATCACAGAAACCACCATAAACACCATCTTCCGCCCACTGACAATCCGCGGCATAACTTTCTGCAACCGCATCTTCGTCTCGCCCATGTGCATGTACAGCTGCGCAGGCGACGGCATGATGACCGACTTCCACGTAGTCCATGCTGGCCAATTCGCCTTACGCGGTGCAGCTTTAGTAACCTTGGAAGCAACAGCCGTGCTGCCATCGGTATGCCGCTGAGTGGCTCTGCCAGAGGACCAGCAGCTGACCAGCTCAGGGCCTAAATTCTGTCCAAGATGCCGGCTTATGGTCTGACGAGCACATCGCACCTGTTAACCGCGTGGTAGACTTCATACATTCACAATCGAAACATGCAGCGATCCAGCTTCAACACGCAGGCCGGAAAGCAAGTATTTGTCCTCCATGGCTTGGCCTCAGAACTGTACCAGAGAAATATGGAGGTTTTCCCGATGGTGTTCTTGCGCCGACTGCGGAATCTTGGAACGATAATTATGCGAAACCAAAGGAAATGACTGAAGAAGAAATCTGGGGGGTTATCGAAGCTTTTGGACAAGCTGCTCACCGAGCAGTTAAAGCTGGATGCCGAATCGTTGCAGTGCATGGGGCTCATGGTTATTTGATTCATTCTTTCGCGAGTCCTGCGAGCAATAAACGTACTGATCAGTGGGGAGGCAGCTTCGAGAATCGTATTCGTTTCGCGGTGGAGGTTATTCGGAGCATCAGGCGTAATGTGCCTCCCGAGACGCTTCTTTTCTGGAAGATTTCAGCGGTAAGGATAAATTTCTGACGATACATAGAGGCTGATGAACTCCAATAGGTAGACTGGCTACCTCTCGGCGAAGGCTGGGAGCTGAGCGATACTCTCCGCTTCGCACCCATTCTCGCAGCCGAAGGCATCGATATGCTCGACGTCTCAAGCGGCGGTACCGATCGAAGGCAAAAGGTGGAAATGGGACCACAATACCAAGTCAAATTCGCTAAAGCAGTGAAAGATTTGAAAATTCCAGGTCTCTACATTGGCGCTGTAGGTTGGATTCGAGATGGGGCCACCGTTGCTGATGTAGGTCTAAACATCTCAAACTCGGCAATGAACGACTCCGGTTGTGTTGCTGACCTCGCACAAAGATCATCGAAAATGAAAAAGCAGACTTCTGCTCGGTCGCACGAGAGTTCTTACGAGACCCGAACTTCGTGCAACGTGTAGCATTGGAGGTCGGTACAAAGATCGCTTGGCCAGACCAGTATCATCGTGCCTCAAGTACAACTCCTGTCTCCTTGAGCGCAATTGCAATATCTGACATTTTCGTAGTGGCAGGAAGCTACGTCGAATCAACAACGAGCATATCCACAGACGCCAAAGCCCACGTGCACATTACCAAAGACAACACTTTGGATAATGCAAAAGCACCGTCTGCGCTGGATTCTAATGAGCCTAGATCGAGCAGATAGTATATCAGGCGCTGATGAGGACAAGAGTCCGCGGTCGATAAGAGCCAGGTGAGTAACCATAGCACTGCACCGGGACAAGCTTCTACCAGAAATCCGTATTGCAGTGAAAATCTAAGTTAGACTCATAAGCTTTCACTTGCGCCATAGCACCACGTCCTTAGGAAGGTATATATGGATCCTCCCGAACGCCACTGGCACTTTTTTCCCGTCGTCGCTACTACATCCTTGCTCCTCCTCTGCCTTCCTTACTCACAAATAGTAGAACATCTAGCCTAGCGTCAAGCATCACCGCAACCATTGGCGCAATGGAATCCGCGATGACTCTCGACAATTGTGCTTTCGTCAAGCTGCCTACAGAGCTACGACTTCAGATTGCCGGGTACCTGGACGAAAGCGATCTAACCACGCTACGTACACTCTGCTCGACTCTCGCCCACGACACCGCCGATAGATTTGCCGATCGCTTCTTTCGAACTCGACGCCACCGATACGTACCCTCTTCACTGGGAGCCTTGCTTGAAATAAGCACGTCCCGATTCGCCAGTCACCTCCAAGTCCTCGAGATTGAAAGTCGCCGACTCGACTTCCTTATCCCACGCCTTCCTGCAACACTTTTCGCAGACATGCAGGGACAGCTTCGGACTATACTGAAGAACTTGGCAACGACAAGCACATGCAAGCGAATCAATGTAGTGGCTGGACCGCGGTCCACTCATCATAACATTGCCTTGAACGCAGTCCTTCTGGCCCTCATCGAGAATAACTACGACATCGATACCCTTGGCTGCGATTTCTGGGGACCTGAGTACTACCCACCAAACTCGGACACTCTGAGCCAAGATCAGCTTCCGTTCAACCCTCGTATCCGAATAGATGGATTGGTACGATTCCTGTCCTCGTTGCCATGCCTGGAATTTACGGTTCCTCCGTTTAGCCAACATACTTTTGACAACGCAAAGACCTCCTGCAATGAGCTCCAAAAGGCCCTCGCTTTGTGCGACACTGATCCGAAGCTCATCTTTCGTGGACACAGCAGGAGAGAATTACAATGGGCGCGAGAGGACATGTGGAGGTTGCCTCTACATACCATAATCCTGGAAGGTATTACAATCGAGCTAAAGGAGGATCTCACGTCTTTACTCGAGGTCATGGAAGGTTCACTCAGGGTCTTGAGGCTGGATCGAATAAGATGTCGTGGTGAATTCGGCTGGCAACTCATTCTGCTTCGGATAGGACAGCTTCTGGCACTCGACCATGTCAAATTCGAGGGACTTGTCAATGTTGACTCCAGTGACCATCCTACCAGTCCGCAAGAACTTACAAGCAAGCCCTATAGCTACGAAGAATTTGGTCGGGAGAAAATCCGTACTCATCTGCTTCAGCTCGACCTAGACAGCGAGGACTGGGAGCCACGTCTGAGGGTAGGCGAAGTACAGAATTGAACAGAAAGTGTACAGGAGGTGGCTGCACATTCACAGAGCAACCCAGCGACGTTTGCTTAACAGGTCCATTCACAGGCCGGATTCCTGACGATTCAATATTTTAACTAAGCAAATGCTCTTCGCTCAACCTAAAGTCTGAGCTTGTTGGGAGGAAGATGAAGCGGAATTCGCCACTATCCCAACAAGTAAGATAGGACTGCCAAATGCACTCGATGAATATCTAGAGAAGCGATGCTCGTCCCGCAGATCCATACAAAGGAAAGCTTTTCTTGGTCCCTGCATCGCCTTCAGCGCTCCTCTCAATCAAGGTCAGACAACCCCGGATGACTTCTGATCACACCAGCTAAGTCAAAAGAGTGACATGGATTTTTCCATTGTTCTTTCCACATCCAGTGTGAGTTCTCAATCAGCAACGCAGAGTATTGACCCTCACCCCATATACGCGGCTCCCTTCCCTCCAGAGATGGTCACGGCTCAATCAGCTGGCTCCTTCGCCTGTCTTCGATCTGCAGAAAAAATCAGCCCTAGCAGGAACTAGCTCGAAAGCATCCGCAAAAAGAGAAGAAAAAAAACACAGCTGTTTGCGACTAGGAAAGACTTACCACGGACACTTCCCAACCTCCGCCCATCTTCCCCCAACACAACTCAAACAAGGATGGGCGTTGAAATTTGCACCCGCGCGGGGCGAGCAATAGCATCCCCTTGAACACCCGCCGATGCCCCTATACATGGCCGTCGGAATAGTAGCACAACGAGCAGTCTGAGAGGCAGTGCTTGGCCGCTACAGGCTGTGAAGCCAAAGCCCAGAGAAGGAGAAAGAATGCAAGAAGCATCTTCGATCGATGATGGTGTCAATGGAATTTGGTAGATTTGTTGGCGAGCAGCTTTGACATTCTCTTCTTCTCTGAGGTAGGTTGTTGCAAGCTCTATATATCCATTTCACAGCGTACCAGTAAGCGTAGAAAAAGACAGCATTGTTCACATTTCGAAGTCCGCTTCTTTGGTTTGATTTGGGTGCAAAACAGGTTCCTGTTGTAAGACAACAGAATACGAGCTAAGCTGGCATCATGGGAAGACGGAATAATACGATGCTCTCGTAAGAAGTCAAATTGGAAGAACGACTGCGGCAGATCCAAATCTTCCCAGGGATGGGATATCTTTCAAAGGGAGCAAGCAGGAGGCACCGCAAATTTCTTCGATGTCATGTTTTCGGGAGCATGATTAAGCTCGAATACCAGACTACGCATCGACAAGCCCAGATAGAGATCCAAAGGGAAAATTTCATCGTGAACGCCAGCTTCCCTTCCAATAGATAAAGTGCATCGTCAGTTCGAACTGTCGGTTGGACGGCTCATCCAGGGCTGGCTTTCGAGCGCTGCTGCCCTTGCCACCCCCTGCCCAAGGGTGATGTGGCGGCAATGCAAAGAGACGGCAATTAGAAGTTGGATGGCAAACTATGCACATGGAAAAGGGCAGAGCTGTTGGTGAGATTCGAAGTCCATTAGCCTAGAGCAGGAAACGCTGTACGAAGCCCTATCGCGAGCCCTAGAGTCGTAAACACGCCACTTCCAATTTGATTAAGCACTGATGTGCATTTTCAATAGGTGTCGTTCCGTGTGATAAACTTTTTGTCATTCATCTTAGGGCTCGCAGAGAAGCTCCGATGCTATTTCCTCGTCGTCAGACCTCGTGGTTTGCACAGTTTCGAACTCCAGGAGCGCACGACAAGAAGAATTGGCAATGCAGTGACGAGAGGGAATCGAACTGTTGACACAATTGGACCGACATGATGGTCTGTCTCTGATTCGATTCAAGGTGCGATAAGTACGCTCTGACTTTCAAACGCCATCGCTAATGCTTTTCTTGCCGCATGTACCCTTCATGCGTGCGTGTCATCACAAGTCGTAAGAATCGTAAGCTGTCCTCTGTTGGTCCAGCACATCCATATTCCATGCCCAAGTCCCAACGTTCAATCCACGACCTTCAACATCCGGTAAGCATCGTGCCCAATCGCCTTCTTCATCATCGCGATTGGATCATCTCCCTTCTTCTCCTTCACTTCTCCATCTTCCCCGACCTCGACCATCTCCTCGTCCTCGCCCCCGTCAAACTGCCCCTTGTCCAAAAACATCTTCAACTGTCCCTGGCTGTACCCCGATACCAATGCCGTGCCCTCCTCAGCAGCAGTGACCGGCTTCGGAGCCGTAGAATCCCCACCTCCAACTTCACCAGCACCGTCATCATATCCCGCACGTCCACCCGCCAAGTTCCAGAAGATGAGCTTCGGCATCTCGTACCCATGCTTCTTGAATTTCTTCTGAATGCGCTCATACGAGGTCGTCCAACGATCCTCCTGCTCATATCCGCGAGTCGCAGAATCAAACTGCATGTCCGAGAACACAAAGACCTGCTTTACCATATCCTCAGGCTTGACCTTGCACTCAACAGCCCTCGGCAGGATCAGTCCCTCAAAAACAGCGACGAAATCTGTGTTCATTCCCCAGGGCATAGATTTAATGTAACCGACCTTTTCCATGAAGCTTCTCTCATCCTCTGCTCCACCGACGTGGAAGACTTCCGGACGAGCATGGAAAGTGATTATCGCACCGTCGAAGGGAGGTTCTGTAACTTCGGCGATGAGAAGCGAGAGGCCGATTGCGCTGTCCATGGGGCAGGTTCCGTCGCGGAAGACTGGGGAGGACATGCTGCCTGAGACGTCGCAGACTGCAATGGAAGAAGTGAGGGCTCCGGAGTCTTTGATGCGTTGAACGAGAGTATTCCACTGAGCTCCGATAGACTTGGCGGTGATTTCGCGAATCTTCTCAGCGACGAGAGCGTCAGCTGGTGAGGGTCTCGAACGGCGGCCACCGGAGTAACCAGCGCGCGAGACTTCTTTGACAAGCGCGGAAGGGAGGAGAACGGCGCCAGAGATCTTGGCTTGGCCTTGGGCAACTTTTTCGATGTAAGCATCGAAGTGGTCCATGTCTTTGCGGGCGAAGAGTGGGGTATATTGCTTCATGGCGAGAGAAGGCACGCGGTCATACTTGATTTGGTCAAATGTTTCGGCAGTCAAGTCGCGCTCGACGATTTGGAGCTGCTTGCGCAGTTTTGACAAAGTCTTGACCTGGTAGGCATTGCGCGCGTGCTTGATGTACAGCTCCCGGTCTGCGGGATCTGCATCTGGGCAGACACTCCCGAGCGGGTGAAGCAGCTCTGCAATGCTGGTGACGATGGTCGTGTGCTGATCATGCATGCCTTTGTTTGAAGGTGCCCACTTGCCCGCAAGAGTGACCTTCTTGATCTCTTTCTTGTCGTTGGATTCCAGACGCGCAAGATCAAGCTCAAGTTGCTCGGCGAAAAGACGTGCCACGCAAAGATGCAACGCCCTGTATTTCTGGTCTGATCCGAGCTTGGCCAAGACAGTATCGTGGCGTGCCTTGTTGATCTCCTTCTTGCGGCCCTCAGTCCAATTGCGCTTGTACTTCTTCGCGTTGGGCATCTCAGTGTTGAGGATGCTGGTAGGGTTGCCATCGGCCTTCAATTGATCGTTTGCGGCAAGGGCCAGCACATTCAGAAGGTCTTTCCAGTAACCATGTGCGACACCATACTTGACGTCGAACTCGGCATCGGCAGACTCGAGTTCAGAGAGCTTGCGCTTCTTAGGGTCTGTCGTGCTCGTAGGTGCCGTCTCGCCATCCACCATTTCAAAGTCATTGTCTGCGTCCTTCTCGTTGGCGTTGTCGACTGACTCCGCCGCGGTAGATTTCTCGCCGTCCTTGGGGACTTCCGTCTGGGCGGATTCGTCCTTCTTGGGTACTTTCTTCTGAATGACAGGTCGCACAAGCCACTGCAAGTTGAACAACAGAGTGCCAGGATGGTTCTCGTACAGCCAGCCCAAAGCTCGGTAGAAGGCATTGCGGTTGCTCTTGCCGAGATGGATGGAGCGCGCGTTCCAGATGATCTTGAGTGCGGCATCCTTGTCCTCCGCCCATGCCTTCTCCAGTCGCGTCCGCAACGCAGCTGCGGAGATGACCTCCTCGAATTCGTAGAAGAGATCGACGAGTGCGCTGCCGGACCGACTGTAGGCGACGTCGGCGTTCTCAGTGAGCATCTTGTCATCGTGTTCATCGAAGGAGGGCACGGCCTTCTTGTCCGAGAGCAGAGCGTTCATGAAAGCCGACTGTGGTGGTGGTTCTTTGTCAGCGGGCTGCTTCGAGTCGTCCTTATGGCCTCCAGCAGACAGCTTTTCAGGTGCGGCAGGTTGCTTCGCGCTCAATGTCTGGACGTAGGCAGCGAAGTCATCCTTTGACAGCTTGAGTTGAGGCATGTCCGGAAGGAAGACGGGGAACTTGGACTGCAGCAGCGAGTGCTGAACTTGCGGTGCGTCGGTCATGGTTGCGGCAGTTCTGTACGATGTGATTGAGGTTGTTGTAATGAATGTCGTCTGTGGGGGGCGTCTGCGAAGCAGGTGTTGATGGTCGGTGAGGAAAGGGCAAAGGAGCGGAAGTAGGTGGAAGAGGAGAGAGGGGAGAGGGGCTCTGCGTCGCGCTCCGTTTGTCAAGTGAAGCGCGAGCTGCAGAAGACTGCGTTTGCTTGCAGGAAATGTGCAGCAATTGTTCTACCAACCTACTGATTTGCGTTTGACTCATGTTGGCGGAAGTTGGTGAACCAATCGAGACACCGCCACCGCGTCTGCTTGACCGATTCTACGAAGACTCCTAGATCGAGCGATGCACTGCTTGCATATTGAGAAATACGCAAATGCCAGACGGAGACCTGCCTGTCGCGAGTACACCGCTGCTGTTATCGGATAGATGCATGAAGTGGTGTCGGAAGTCGCGTCGCAAAAGCGGTGGTGTTGGGTGGCGAATCCGGTTGAGCTTGGCGCGCAAAAGACGAAAAGAAAAGGCAAAATTGCATCGAGTGCACAACTGATGATGAACAAAAGATATAGAAAACATTCGGATGCAAAAGAGATGTCGTGGGGACAAAAAGTGCAAAATTTTGACAAAAGGTTCGATTTCTCGAACTGTGGTGTTTCCAAAGATTGAGAATGCGGCATAGTGCGCTAGCCCACGGATTCATCTGGTAAAAGGCAAGGTGAATGGTAGGTAGACTAAGCGCGCCGTCATCGAGCTCACATCTTCTGCACGATATGTACCTTCAACTTTAGCCGCCGCATCGGCGTTGTGCAGCCCCGCTCCGCTCCGCCCTCAGCGAATCCCAACTTCCGCCATCGTCAACTCCCTTGCCTTCTCAACAACATCGACAAGCACCAATCTGCTGCTCGGCAGTCGGCGTCGCGCAACGGCGGAGTTGCACATTGATCACTACGCAGCGCCATTGGCTCACTGCCTGCTCTATTGACGCGCCTGCCGCCTGAATTCGCTCGCGCACAACGGCCTTGAGCGTTGTCAAGGCCTTGCGCTTTCTCCCCGGCGCTGGTAAGTGCTGTTTCTCACTTCATTTTGTCGCGTACACTACGCGCTTACTTTCGCATAACGCGTGCTGCCTGCTACTCGACAAGACTCGTCCACCGCTACCTCGACTCAAGCACACCGTCGATCAGATGGGATACTCGGAGGTCCTTTGCACCATTTGCGGCGTGTCATTCAATATTGGGCGCGTTCGACGCAAAGATGAGCCAAAGTCGGCTGCGTGGGATTGTTACAACGCACCAAACTCGTACCAAGAAGCAGACGTCCCCGATGGGTTCTCAGAATGCGGCGAGACTTCCGGCTGTACTTACTACTCTCGTAATCTTGACAACGGCTGCTACAAATCACCATGGCACAATCCTGAAGCCGAACAGGATAGGAGTGACCCAAGTAAGTACCCATAGCTCTGATCATCATATCCACTTGCAGTGTCAGGATTAACATCAGCAGGTCTCGAACACATCGCGGGGCCGGGATGTAAGTACGAATGCGCTTGCGGAGGCGCCTACACTGGAAACGAAATTTCCTTCGAAGAGATGCAAGGCTGCACGACATTCCAATGCCTGGTCCGGAAGAGGAACGACTGGAAACCTGCCTGTGATGACGAGGAATTCGAACAAGACCCCAACTTTCCCATGTTCCTCTCGGGCCTCCATGATCGCATGCCCGAACGCGAGATTGGCTACGTAGACGCGATGCATCCGATGCGGCACAACATGCAAGAACATAGCCCGGATGATGTATTCTGGGATGATGATTGGGAGCGGAATGATTATTCCAGCTTGCCTTTCCATCCTTGGTGTCTAGAGGTCTACAAACGTGCTTCCAAGACTTGGTTCGATGGCAAAAATGACCACATGGTGGGACTGGTAAACTGGTGGAGACATCGAACATCAAAAGAGACTTTCTCAGGACGTTTCTCATCTACCAGTCGCTCCGACGACGTTGGCCGTTTGAATGATCAATGGTGGAATCATGAGCACGGCACAGAATATGCCGCCGCCAATCCACCCTTCATTCCGAACCTAGCAAAGGTCATTGCAAACGCTACGGCTGCAGAGCCCGTAGACGGCAATTCTGGGGTGTTCGATTTACCAGCAGACACCAACCTCTCGCCCTCACCCGGTGATGGTTTCGCAAAATTGCCTGCAGAACTGAAGCTCGAAATCCTCTCCTCCCTCTCGAGCGAAGACATCTGCAATCTCCGCCTCGTATCCCGCAGTTTCAGACAGCTCCCCTTAAGTCTCTTTCGCGACATGCTCGCGACGAATCTGAACTTCTTCTGGGAAGCTTCGCCTGCCAAGGATCAGACACCTTATCCTTTTCTGGCCACGACAACAGCGCAGAAATTCGTTGACAGTCCTCCAGACAGTCGAAACCCCGTACCGGTGCCGAATCTGTTGGACACCTCAAACACGAACTGGTACAAGTTGTACTACAGCCTTCGACGCGGAATGCGCAATGGCGAGCTCAAGGGTTTGGCGAACAGGAATCGGATCTGGAATGACTGTCAGTCAATTCTGGAGTCAATCGTGAAACACTGGGACGAATGGCAGAGTGAGAGAGACTGAGTGTGAGAATCTGTGGAAACACCGCAGTACCCCATCAAGAAGCCCTCGGCACCGCCCCATTACACATCTCCTCTGTCGCCTTCACCTCAATGTCCTGTGCTGCAACGCCAGCACCGAATTCCCGCACAGTCGCACTCCCCAACTCCTCATATGGCTTCCATCCTACACTCGCCAGTCCGTTCACCGGGTCATTTGCGAAAGCCACCCAAGCATCTTGCATAGCATGACTGGTCTGATACTCCAGTTCCGTGCTGTTGCCGCGATAATTGGGATGTGTTCCAAAGATCAACGGCAACTCAGCTGAGTGCCAAGCACCCATCCAGCCTCTCGGAGAGATGTTGGTGAAGTTCCCGCTGTATAGGTAACGGTATGTCAAAAGATCGGTCTCTTGTCGGAGTCTGGTCGTCTCTGTCGCGGGACAGAAGAATGCTGCCAGTGTGACACCATTCGCTGTCGCAACATTGACTCCATCGGGATTGTAGGGTGCAAATGGCACCCCGTCTTGGGCGTTAGTTCCGATAATGGCAGGCTAGGAAAATCAATGAGCAAAAGTCGCTTCACGAAATCATCAACTTCAGTGACACTCACAATCTTCGCTTGTCCTCCTTCCAGTGCCCTCTCCGTATAATTCTCAAACACCACCACGCCGTCCGCAGCAGCACCAAACGTCAAAGCCGGCTGCGCTCCACTCCGTGAATAATTCGCCACAAAATTCTCCAACACCTTCCAATCCACTCCTCTCATACACTCCACCATCTCCTCGCCTTCAGCTCTTCCACCACAGCCCACACCCTCCGCCACAGTAGTGAAATTCGCTCCAGTATTATCCCCCGGCAACGACGCATTCCTCCCCGCCTGCACACTCAAAAAACTCGTCCCCGAATCCATGATCAACCCTTTCACAATCGGATCCTCAGCATACGTGAAACCATAAAAGTCAACACTCACAGCTCCAGCAGATTGACCCCATAGGACCATTTTTTCGGGATCTCCGCCGAAGGCTTGGATGTTTTGTTGGACCCATTGGATTGCGAGGCGTTGGTCCAAGAGGCCGAGATTTTGGTCTGGAAGGGAGGAGGCGAAGGGGAAACCGAAGAGGTTTACGCGGTAGTTGAAGGATACGACGAGGTGGGAGGAGGTACGGGAGACGAATTGATTGGGGATTTGGTAGGGGACGTTTTGGCCGCCGGTTTTGAAGGAGCCGCCGTAGATGTAGATGAGGACGGGGAGGAGGGTTTCGGAGTCGTATTCTTCTTTTTCGGTGCAGTTCGGGGCCTGGTGTGAGTTTTTGGTTTTGCTGTCACTTTCGACAGTGGGCGTCCAGATGCTTAGTGTGAGGCAGTCTTCGGATGTCGGGCCGGTTTCGTTTAGGCCTGCGAGGTTGAATTCGAGGACGTCGTTTGTGTAGACGTCTGTTCCGCTTGGGGTAAGGAACTGGGGACAACTGAGTGGGAGCTCGGTGGCTTCGATGTGCGTCCTTGGTTGGGAGAGCTCTTGAGGAGCGAGCCATCTGCGTGGTCCTGTCGGAGATTTGGCGTAAGGTATTCCAAGGAATTGTCTGACATCGCCATACGCTGAATCGACTTTGCCGTGGACGCGACCTGATGTCGTCGAAACAGTGAGCTGGTCGTGTTTGTGTGGTCTTGCTGGATGACCGAGAGCGACGGCATTGACTGCTGTCACTGCTGCCGTCAGTAGTAGACTGCAGCTAGCAGCCGTGAGGTGAACCATGTCGTCCAATGCTTGAAACAAGAGAGGAAGAAGGAAGGAAGAAAGTAACGTCCGACTCAAATCTCCACGGCACTCGCTCCTGCCTAAAGAGTGCAGCTTGGCCACTACTTCACTTCGTGGCTACACTGCTACTAATCCGAGCCCTCGGTACACGACGACAAATATGATGCCCCAAAAGGACGCAGGACCAGAACCGGACATGCGAAGTGCTGCCGACCCCTCACTCTAGCCAATGGAGCTCGAAGTCCGGATTCTCCGGCAGGGATGTTGGTATAGAGCGTCTTTGGCGCATTGTGAATTCGCTTGGGTCTCGCGGGGCCCCGGGTACAAGACGAAGATGGCAATTCTGTTCGATGGTCGGGATGTGGACACGATGCGAGTTGTTCGTGGTGCTCGGCCATCTTTCGGGTCCGTCTTATAGTAGTCTCATTCAATGGGCATTAATTAAATCTGCCGTCAAATACTGGTCGTTCTAGGGCAGCAAAGCCGTCAGATCCCGCGATGGTCAGGCCACTAAGACTATCGCTGTGGGTTAATTCCATCGTGATGGCAGTGACAGCTTCACTATAGGTAGAGTATGTCGAAATGTCAAGAAGAGGAGGACGAGCAGAGTTTGATGACAGTCGGGTGGCCAAGACAACTCCGCTGATTTGCCGGCCTGGTCCTGCTTGGACTTTCTCACCTTCTTGTCTTTCTACTCCTCCAACGATATACGACCTGCGCATTGAGGTCTGAGGTCTATACCCCGAGACCGCTTCCGGTGGAGACTGTGCCAACATGCGCACAGGTTCACATCACTCCAAAGCAGAAACCGGCATTCCAGATCGCATTGGGGAGGCAAGGTTTCCCTAGCCAGTATCCAGTCAAGGATAAGAACACATCAAAGACGGTATCAGAACTCATCGCTCATCATATTGTCTCACTAGAAGCAAGAAGACATTGTTTTGCAGGCAGACGCTTCTCATAACGCTTCATTATCAGGTCTGTATTCCACAAGTATCATTTTTAGGGCATTCATTCATGCTTCTGGTATCCTTGCTGGCACCATTGCTGCAGGCTCGTACTCTGAAGGATCTCCAATCTACTGCTTTACTTTGTCCTTGGCGTCCTCCGCGGTCCTCGCAGCTTGGTCCTTGACGTCCTCGGCCTTTCGCTGAGCCTCCTTCGCGCCCTCGGCGGCTTGTTCTTTGGCGCGACCGGTCAATTGCTCTGTTCAGGCAGGCAACGTTAGCACTCTGTGCGAATGACATCAATGGCTTTTCGATTGGAACCAAGGTAGCTCCACGTAGGATGTGGGAGTGGAGGTGGACGTGAATATGAGGACGACGACTTACCGCCCTTCTCAATGCCTGCGACAATGGTCGACGAGACGTTCTTGTCGACCTCCTTCAACGTGTCTTTGGCGGCCTCGACCGGGCCCTTCTGGACGCGGACAGAGGTGCTGAAAAGGCGGACGTTGCGGGCGAGCTGTTGGCGGAACATTTTGATGATGGTGTGTGTACTTTGGTGGGTTTCAAGGTGAGTGTCTGTGTGTTTTGCTGTTCGTTGCAGTTGATGAGAAGAAAAGAAGAGCTTGAAGGTGGTTGCTGTTTGTTGTGCTGTGAAGCTCCGTACGTCACTTCCACGCCAGAGCGTGGAGCTCCTCTTTCCTGTTCAGGCGCCTGCTACGCAATTGCCTCGGGACCGTTTGCCGAAGGAGCCAAAATGAAGGAAACCACAAGCGACTGTTGCACGCTGCACGTGTTGCTCCATGCATGTGAAGAACACCACCTCCTACATCGACCGCCTTGCTATCTCACCATCCAGGTACAGTTGCTTGTCCCGACCCCAGATCATCTGGCTGAACGACCAAAATTCCGGCTCCCATTCCAACCTCGCAGCCAGCATGACTAGGACAACGTGGTTCACGAAGAACAGTGGCGTCACATAAATCACATAATCGGGTCGAGGAATCCACGTTGTGCTGAACACGATGCAGGCTATGAACCAGACGCTGGCCGCAACGACCTGCATGCTGACCGCGACGAATATCGAAGTGAATCGAGGCTGGAACATTGCCACCACGAGTGCAATGCTGGCGACGAGTGTCGCGAATATCGGAACCAGTGTGTTGAGAGTCATGATTCTGCAGACGTCGTCAGATTATCAATTCGAAGTCAATGGGTGCCTCTGCCTACCTGTCGACCTCCGTATCCAACCACTGCCTCACCCGGGCCAGTCTAAGGCAGCTGTACGGAAGGACCGGCAGCAAGAGGTTCGTGGTGAACGGAACCCAAAACATCGTCTTGCCGCCATCTCTCATGTTCTTCAGGACGATTCGCCATGGGAACCGACATGCGGGAAGCGGTGCACCGACGCCAGGATCAGGTGCGTCCCAGTATCTCTGGGCATCTGTTCAGCAACTGATCACGAAAACAAACAGCTCCTTTTTCTAGCACTTACTGGCGGCACCGAACAGACTTCGGCGGCATCGTCATCTGGTTCCAGTGTGGCGAAGTCAGGCAGCAACCCATCCGACTGACGATGACTTTCGAGTGCTATCGACAATGCCGAACCGCCAGGCGTTTCTACCTCTTGGTATTCAATCTGACCCGGTTCACTCAACTGAATCGATGGGCCATACAAGAGACAAGCGGCACGCAGGCCAGTCAAGCCGTGTACGAAGCATACCACAGCCGGAACAAACCAAAGGCCAAGTGGGAGCCAGAACAGAGCCCTCGCGTCGTGCCGCCAATAATCGGCCATCACTAGCAAGCTGCATGTGATTAATTGCGCCGGTTGAGTGATGGCGAATACCGTCAACCTCTTCCTCTCATCCTGAAGATAGGAGAATAGTCTGAACTTGATCCACATATGCGGTGGACCGTTGACGCCTGCCAGAATGAGAGGAATCAGGGCTGCCCACATTTCCCATGTCGGGATGTTGGAGTTGCGGTGGTATGCATACATCGGCACACCGTCTACTGGGCTGACTTCTGGACAATCGTACCTCGATTTCTGGGCATTGTACGGACATTCTCTGAGTGTTTGGCTACCGTCCCATTTGTCGAAGCCCCAGTAATGATTTCTAGGCGGAAACTCCAGTTCCAGGTGAGGCAATATGGGCAGGATCACCGCCCAAGCAGTTGAAAATATGCAATGCACGAAGCTGAGCCACAGTGACCAGCTGCTCCTGTGTCGTGATATGTAGCGCTTTCAATGCCATCAAGAAAGCCCAGGACGTCCATTTCAAACAGCGCTCCTGGCCAGAGTCAGGCCGCTGTGGAGGAAGAGGATACAGTTCAGTGAAACACCAAGGAATGGTAAGGCTGCAAAGATTCCTGGCAGCTGCAGACATTCAGACTTCCCGCGCCTGCATGTGCGGCTGAGGTCTAGAAGATCTTCAGCCACCACCAATTCCGTCACAAACAAGGCTGAACAGGCAACCTCGGAATGTTTCGAACGACTGGAGGCGACACAAATGAGCAATAACCATACCCCGCCGATTCATTCTCCTGGTGAACTCGTTACATCATCCTCGCCGACGGCTCATGGTCTCGGCGAATGGATCTATGTTCTTCCTGCCAGCGCTTCAATCTGCATACTATAGCCCAGGCGCCTGGAGCAACATCCGCGTATCGGCTTTCATCGATTCAGCAATCCGCGCAAGCTGGGTGCGAATTCTGTCGACTTATTGCAGTCGCGCTCCAAGCACAAATTGCGCAATTTCCAGTTCCTTCGGTAAAGTGCTGGGTTCGTGTGAGAATACCAATCGATCAGAAGCACAAAGCCAAGAGGCAGAATGGTCTTGGACTGTCCGAACTCGAAATCGTGTTGGCAGATTCCGCTTTCCAGTCCAAGACAGAGCGAACGAGTGGGAGCGTCTTCCTCGGCATAGCAGCTGATCCGGGTGAGTTGAAGTTGTCCTAGATGAGAAATGCGCTGAGTCATTTGAAGACAGTTCTGCAGCGTCTTCTCAAGATGTTGTGGAAAGATATCACGGCGATGACCCCGATTCTAGCCAACATGTGTCTGCAGTCTTGGAGTGGCTGACAATGTGTCTCTCCCATCCTCAATGCTGCAGGACCGCCTCTGGAGCTTCCAGTGTTCATCCTCAGAATGCGAAATTACCATCACGTTGCGTCGATGTTTCTGGCGAAGTACCTCGTCTTGAGCCAACTGCTGGCAAATTCGGAGCGTATGTGGCATTGAGTCATCGATGGAATGCAGGCACAGAAGAGAGCAAGACCACTACCGCCAACATCGACCAAAGATACTCTGAACGAGGTCTCGGCTGGCAACCACAGATTTTCAGAGATGCCATGAGGATTACCAAATCACTCGGTATACGCTATATCTGGATGGATTCGCTTTGTATCATTCAGTCTGGCGACGCTGGCGCAGATTGGCTGCAAGAGGCATCGCTGATGGCACGCTACTATCAGCAAGCGATTCTTACCATCTCGGCCCCGGGCAGCACCCCATCCCGAAGTATCCTGACTAGACGTGCCCACGACCCATTTCGATCATTGCTACGGATGCCATACCGCAACTCCAAGGGAACAGTCCAGGGTAGTTTTTATCTGTACCAACCTTGCACTCGCTCTTCACAACTCTACGCAAAACATGTTCGACAGAGCGAACTGCTTTCCCGAGGCTGGATATTTCAAGAATGGTTCCTGAGCCGCAGAATAATATATTACACGCCACAAGAATTGTTTTTCGAATGCAATACGGATGATCCTAAAAGCGAGCGACAGCAGTCCATGACGGCAACACATGAGCACGACTTGTCATCACGTATCCGCTCCAGATCATCTGGGTTCGAGCAGTGGTATCGACTAGTGGAACTGTACTCCAACACCAAACTCACGCGGCCTGAGCAAGACCGCATCATCGCACTTTCGGGTATTGCTCACGAGTTCCGAGAAGGTCTCAAAGTCAGTGTTAGTAGCGAGCGGTTCCTTCTCGGCTACGCAGCTGGACTCTGGACAGCCGACACACACCGCGGCTTACTGTGGCAGTCTTCGAGCCAGGACGGAAATATATGCAGTTGTGATGCACCCTCGTGGTCGTGGGCTACACACATGGATGGAGTCACATGGCTCCCACGAGCTGTGAGGACTACCAAACATCTCGAGGTGATATCATTCACCAACGCACTCGGGTCTCACGTTCTTTCGGAAATGGCTCCTCACAGGACAGTATCAGATCGTGATGATCCTGAGGATCCTTCAACCAAAGACACAATAGGCAAAGACCTCATGAGCGCAAGTGGATCTCTCACCATTAAAGCCAAACTGAACTGGGTCTATATCGACAACAACCTCGAGTACCCCAATCACGATGGCTCCGGCATCCGAAAAGTTCTAGATTATACAACCGTCGAGACCCTCGCCCGCGAGACTGGCGTCGATCTCCCCGAAGACTACACAGAATGGAACTCCAACCCCCTCTGCCAAAGGGCCGGCGACTGGCGCTTCATCTGCTCCATCTCACAACAAGTCATCATTGGCGGCTGGGCACTCTTTGAGAATTCTGACGCGCGCCTATCCAATCAGCTGGAGAGGTATGGAGGTTTCACAATCCGTGCTCTCCACGTTTCCACGCGACATCGTATTGCACCTGGTGGAAGAAGTTTCTCTACGAAACTTTACATGTACAATGATGTGTACGACGTTTTGTTCGTGGAGCAGCTCGGGGAAGGTGTCTTTCGGCGGGTTGGCATTGGGAGAGTAATGAGTAAACAGATTGAGAGGGAATTTGATGGGGTTGAAGAGGAGATTTTGATGCTGGTTTGAAGGTGTGCTGACGGATCAGCCATCTCCGTCGAGCCGTCGGCTCTGCCATTGACTTTGACGACTGCAGAGAAGCTTTCACAGGCCAGCGCGGCGGATCAAGCAACCGAGCCGACTCTTCGTTATCCTCGTACCTTATATAGGTACGATCTGTCATCACCATAGGCGGATCCAAGCAATATAAGCTGCAGAACCTTTCGGGGTTCTGCTGCCGACATACTACACTAAATTGGCCGTCAAAGAAGTTGCGGATGCCCAGAGACCAAAATATACCCTGGTATCCGATCCCCGAATGTAGCTGACAGGTTGTCTGAAGAACGGCAAGAGCCTTGTCTTTGTGACGATGATCACCTCGTCAGGCAACTGTATGATGCCTCACCTGCATTCGCGGAACGCAAGGGTAAGCTTCAGACTAATCAGAGCATCTATCAGTTACGTCCACTCGATATCGACCCAATTGTCCGGCTTTCTAGAATTGTCCGGGTCTCTCGTTCCAATTGAAGTCGGATGATGGACGCCATCTGCTCTCGACTGCCAAAAAGGATGCAAGTGCCCAGAAATCGATATATACCCTGTCTCCCGTTCCTAGGTCTGCAGGTGAGGATGGTACCGATGCCGATAAAGTTGAACCTCCCTTGCAAGGAAGATTGAGGTTTCGGCCCACAACACTCCGTACTTTATAGAATTTCATGCACAGCTATGGGCTCTCAACACTGCACCAGGAACATGCCAGCCAGTAAGTTCCTGAGCTATATCATTGTTGCTGCACAGAGCGAGCGAAAGATAAGAACTGAATGCCGCTGCAACGCTGTTCCAGAAAAGAACTACACTTTTCTGCTTCAAGACAGCATAGCCCATGAATCCAGCCAACATGGATTCGACGATCTTACCAGCACTCAATCCGACAAGCGCTCTAATCATTGCAACCATCTTACTCGCTCTACTTTACTTTTCCTCGCACATTCTCACAGCCGAGAATTGGGCCCACAACGTCCCACAGGCTCCCCAAGAACCCCTCTATTCCCGCCTGCTCCAAGAGCCCTCACATGATGCACTAAGAAAATGGGCAGAGACCATTCCCAACTCTGGCCTTCTCCTTTATCGTGGCCTGTATAACAAGCCTAAAATCCTTCTGACCAACACAGCAGCCGCCCAAGAAGTCCATCAGAAGAGAAATCAAGAAAATGGCAGCGGCTACAAATACGAGAAAGAAAGCGTCGTGCGGAAAAGTCTCGCTTCGCTGCTCGGTGAAGGACTCGTGACAGCAGCTGGCGAAGAGCACAAGGTCCAACGGAAACTTCTACAGCCTGTGTTTAAGTTGAGAAATGTGAAAAATCAGTATCCGTTGTTCTGGTCCAAAACAAGAGAATTGGTGGCGGCTTTGCAAGAATCTGCGAGTCAAGACAGCAGCGGCAAGGTCGAATTGACCGGATTAGTAAATCGAGCCACGCTGGACATTATCGGGCAGGCAGGCTTTGGTCTCGATTTCGATTGTTTGGCGAATCCGAATAATGAGCTCTGGGAAGAATATGCTGCTGCCTTTCGCGGCGCGGGAAATGGGTCACAGCATACGGGTCTTTTATGGAGCACCTTGGCGCGTTTTCTGCCGAGGAGAGTAGTGGAGATGTTGCTAAGTCGACGAAATGAGCAGACGAAGAAGGCAGTAGGGGCTGTGAGGCGGAGAATTGGGAATGTGATTGCGAGGAAGAAGAATGATGCAGAAAGGTTGACGAATGCAAGGAAAGACAGTGTAGTCATCTACGACGCCAAGGAACAGCAGTCGGAGCTTTTGGATGCGAACGAAGAAGACGTTAACAACAACAACGACATAATCTCGCAATGTATCCGCTCAGGAATCACAGACTTCGAAATGCTACTCGAACAATCTCTCGCAATCCTCGGAGCTGGACACGAAACAATCGCCCAAACACTCTGCGTAGCAATCTTCGAACTCAGCAAAAACAAACCCCTTCAAGATCGACTTCGTGCCGAAATCTATGACAAGTTACCTTGGATTTCTCAGTCCAGAGAAGAGCAGAGTCCCACAGAATCCGAACTCGATTCCATCGAAACTCTGCAGTTGCTAAATGCAGTCTGCAACGAGACGCTCCGAATGTACCCTATCATTCCTTCTTTGGTACGAGAAGCGGCATGCGATGTTGAACTCCTCGGCCACAGAATTCCAAAAGGAACTGTGATAATGACTATTCTGCCGATTTTTAATCGCAATCCGGCTTTATGGGACCAGGATACAAGTCTTTTCAATCCAGATCGCTGGTTGGTGAGTGCGAATGGCGGAGCGAAAAAGAGGTCAGCGTTTATGACTTTTGGACATGGGCCGTCGGCTTGCATTGGGGAGAAAATGGCGAGGTCGGAAATGGCGATTTTGTTGGCGGGTTTGGTTGCAGCGTTTGAGGTGGAGTTCTTTGGGCAGGGGGTTGATGGGAAAGAGAAGAGGGAGGAATTGGAGTTTGAGTGGGGGGTTGTGTATATGATTAAGGGTGGGTTGTGGATGCGGTTGAAGCCTGTTGGCTTGGAATGCGAGAATTGAGACTCTCTTCTTCGCTGTGAAACTCAGAGCAGAGAGAATGGGATGTAGTGATTATGGCTGGGCCTTCAGGCATATGACCCTGCCTCAGGTGATGTTGGGAGAAGCAAGCCTTGGTGCCCAACCCGAGCAAAATCCGGCTGCGGGAAGGGCATTAATACGGGTGTGAAGAGAGAAAACCAAATTGTTCAGATCGTGTGGGAATGACTTCGATTAATTGGCAAACATGCAGCCTCATACGTACTACCTACGCTCTGTGAACTTGGAGACTAACTACTAGGAACAAGTTAGACCAGAGTGTCCGTAGCAATAAAAACGTAACGACTTTCTGGATGACCTCTAGCCCACTTCCCTCTGTACGCCAGCAAATCCTTGTAGATTTGAATGTAAGGTTGCAGCAGCTGTCTTCGAGGCTTTCTGATTCTTATTCAAATTTTTGCATTGCTGACTCTGTCGTTGTGTTGTCTTGGCACCCATGCGCATTGCGTATATTCTATGGCAAACCTTCCCCGCAACTGTACACTTGACACTTCTACGCCGCGCTTGTGCAACACACCATTTGCATTTAGAATGCCACAGCATACTACGTTTGCCACCTCACCCATACTACATCAGGGCTGGGCGATGATCGTGCCTCCAAGACCCGACGTTCGGACTTTGGCGAGGATGTGTCCCGTCTGATGATGCCTCAAAAACAGCTGCTCAAGCATGTACAGCGAAATCGATAATCTGCATGCATGTCGAACTCGCTACTGATGTATTGCGTCGGAGGCGCACTGCGGAGCTGGCTAGGGCACGCTGGCACGCTACCATCCTTCAGCCTCGTGCATCCGGGAAGAGGAGCAGGTATTGCAATTCAGCCGCGCCTGTGCAATGGACTTTTTCACTACACTACGATGAAATTCCGATCGACTTTGACTGCCTTCGATTCCGGTACACAGGCTAAGCGAAGACCTGTGCTCCTCAGTCCACGAAAGACATTCAAGTTGATTGAACCTGCGGACAAGCGAATGAATAGATACTGATATCTACCTGGGACACTTGTGCCGTGCAACACGCTTCAGGAGAGCAGAATTGTACCATACTCGTCAGCGGAATGGCTCAGATTGCCTTGGTGCCGTATGGCAATGCTGGGAACCAGATCGCCGGTGCTTACGAAGGTCTACTGTCATACCAGCCCTTGAATCATCAAAAAGATGAGATCAGACTTCTGAGAGTCGATCTCTCGGAGTCTGGCCACCACGAGCTTGAGCTGAAGTCTAATATATCTTTGCGCATGAGTATGCCGCGATATACTGCGTTATCCTACCCCTGGGGCACTGGGAGACGTCGAATATGTATCGAAATTGACGGCTCCCGGCTTTACATATCCCAGTACCTTGACGCTGCGTTGAAAGCTGTCAAGAAGCACTGGAGATCGATGGCCAATACGCCAAAGTATCGATATCTATGGGTGGACCAGATCTGCATAAACCAAGCCTATGCTGCGGAGAAGAATCATCAAGTGGCTTTCATGGGTACCATCTATGAGATGGCAGAGGAAGTCATTATTTGGCTTCCAGTCGCCCGCGACACTCCAGTCCGTGACAAAATTGACGCAGGTTTCAGCACGTGGCGCGACTGGCGAGACTACCATCTTGACTATTCATCACCGAGGAAGTTATGGTACGACAGGAACTTATCGACGCACCGTCCCGAAGTGACTGTTAGTCGAGCCTCTCTGCGAGTGTGGACGAGGATGCACCGCATTGTTCGAAATTCTTGGTGGGAACGTGCATGGGTTTACCAAGAGTTCATGCTTTCTACACGCGCGACATTCTTGATATCTGGCCTGGCTATCCCGTGGCTGGACTTCCAGAAATTCCTCGACAAGGTCTATTCAAGACTTCCAGCTCACGTAGCTGACAGTGAAGCAGCAATTGCTAGTCTCAGGCGGCAGAAGAAGCGTCTGAATGCTATGACATGGAACTCCCCGACACTTTGGAAGCGCGTGTTGGGAATGGAGAGCGCGGATCAGAAATGGGCATATGAAGAGCTGGGCTACGTAAGAAGAAAAATCGCAGACTTGACGGCCCACAACACAGCCATGGCGGAGGCTCAGGAATCATGGGAGCTGGCTACATTCATGATGCGAAGTCGAGCGGCCCGCTTGAGTTTTGCAGGGCGCACATATCAGAAGCTATCAGCCTTGATGTACCATGGGCGTAATTGCAAAAGCACAGATCCTCGCGACAAAGTCTTTGCGTTCTTAGGACTTGCCGACCCCTGATACAACATCAGCTTGGACTACAGCACATCTCGAACCATGAACACAATCTTGACTGAAGTCGCTGCTCGGATCATCACTGTAGAAGAGCGCCTAGATATCCTCGCCATGGCTATGGACGACAAAGACATATACTCAGTGAATGACTACCTCCCAACCTGGGTACCGAACTGGTCGAGGCCACCAGACCTCAATTCCGAGTACAGGAGATTTTTGCGCAAGATCGGCTTCCCACTTGCTACTCATGATAATCCAAAGCCGTGCCGAGCATCCATGGATCTGAAACCCCAAATTGCTTTCCAACCGGACCGTGATGGGAACCCTGACAAAATTCTTTGCGCGCGGGGCATTCGTGTGGCAACACTGGGGAGAATAATCAGAGACGAGCATGATGCACTGTGGCGTATGTTCGAGAGCACAGATTCCGGACTTCGAATTACTGCTTCGCACTTGTCACGACCCGGTGACAGAGTCTTCGTTCTTTTCGGAGCCGATGAGCCGTTTGTGTTGAGCACTCACCCTAACTCTCGCATCTCCCACCTCCAAGGGCATGCTATGCTTTGGTATGACGGCAAGCCATCGACGATTTTGCAAGGAGCCTTGATTGGGCAACTGCAGCAAGGAAAAGCTTTGGTGGAGTCTGTCTATATTTGTTGACAGAAATTACCTTGTTGTCGCACCTGCAATGGGAGCACGGCGCGGCGAACTTGTATATGTTGTCCAGTCTATCTCTCTGCGAATGTAGCGAAGCGAGATGCTCATTTGACATGCTTCTGTTGATGAGAAGACGTGCTAAATTCGTCTGGCCTCTGACTCTACATCTCTCAAAAAATGCTGGAAAGCATGTCAGAAACCCTCTTCCTGATCTGCAGTCCTGCCACCGAGCCGTCTACCCCGGCTCCGGCTCCCGCTACGACGCCTACAGAAGCTGGAATAGGCACAACAATCTGTGTCACAACCGCTGGGCTCGCTTCACTTGCTGGAGTCTCGTCCGCGGGAGCAGCTGGCGTTGCGACATCTTCATCAGCTGGCAATATGCTCGGCTGAGCTGCATCTTCTGGTGTGTCGCCAGGGGAAGGGAAGGGAAGTATAGACATTGTTGGTTCATCTGCTGTTTCTTCGGGCGCCGGAAGAGCGGTTTCAGCTGGGACTGCGGCGTCGTCGGTTGGCGTAGCTGGCGTAGTAATGTCCCCATCCGCTGGTAATATGCTCGGCTGAGCTGGTTCATCTGCTGTGTCCCCAGGGAAGGGGAACGGAAGGATAGACATTGTTGGCTCATCTGCTATCTCTTCGGGAGCTGGAAGAGTTGTCTCAGCTGGAGCCTCAGCATCATCGGTCGGCGTAGCTGTTTCGGATGGCAATGGGCTTTCTTCCTGTGGTGCTGCAGTTGGTTGCTCGATTGGCTCTCCGCTTGGATCCTCTGGACTCGTGGCAGTCGGGTCTGCTGATTGCTCGGGTTCTCCTACTGCCGTGGGAGTTTCTTCAGGCAACGTGCTTGCCGTAGGCTCAGCAAGAACTGGCGCAGTTGTTTCCTCTGCTGGCTCCTCGGGATTCGAGACGACTGGTTCATCTGGGAGAGTAGGCTCTGCCGTCCCTTCAGGCTCCTCTGCCGGTGCGGGCGTCTCTACTGGCGGGCTACTCTCATCGTCCGGGACAGGGGCTGAAGATTCACTTGGCACCTCTGTTGTCTCCTCCGGGACTGTGGGCGCTGGCGCAGCGGTCTCTTCGGGCTCTTCTGAAGGAGTCGAGGGCTCTGTCGGCACGCTACCTTCCTCTTCCTGGGCCGGGGTCGTCGATTCGGCCGGCGACTCTGACGTCTCTCCAGGATCGATCGGTGTCGACTCAGCTGGCGACTCGGCCTCTTGAGTTGTTGTAGGTCCTTCTGGATCAACCAAAGTCGGCTCGGCGGCTGCCTGAGTCGTAGTAGCGTCCGGTGCGATGGTGCTTGAAACGTCTTCTACCAAGGTAGTTTCCTGCTCAGGAAAACCACCCGTGCTCGTTGTCACCTCTTCCTCCCCCTCTTCGGCATCAGGGCTAGCAGTGGGGGTTGCCTCAATGGGAGCCTCTGTACTAGTCTCAGTCGGCTCGACATCGTCGCCTGGTGGGGTGGCAGTCGGCTCTGCCTCAGCTGGTGCAGATTCAGTTACAGGACTCTGTTCCGTATTGGTCGGCACAATCTCAGTGAATGTCCGGACGGAGGACTGCGGAGAGTTCGCCGTTTCAGTGACAGTGACAGTGTTATCGACAGTGACGGTCTCGGTCGGGGCAGTGCCGAAGACGGTGGTCGTGGACACCTCTCCGTCTTCTGTGACGGTCTGAGCCGGAGAGGTTCCAAAGATCGTGGTCGTGGATACCTCGCCGTCCGCCGTAATGGTCTCAGTAACAGCCGGCTGGGTCACGACTCGAGTGACAATTGCAGTGGACTGTTCCTCTGGTTCGAGAGTAACCGTCTGGGTTCCAGCTGGAAGAGTCTGGAAAATCGTAGATGGCTCGCCATCTACTGTGATCGTGGCCACCCGTGTCACAACAGAGGTGTCGTACACTGTTGTCACCTCTCCATCCTCAGTGATGGTCTGACCAGGAAGAGTCCTGGTGCGTGTAATCGTCCTAGGTGTCGCAGCCGGCTGGGTGTAGGTGACAGTGGTAGGAACACCAGCACGAGTCACGGTGCTCACTCGTGTAACAGTCGTACGCGCGACAGTGGAATACTCGGTCTCGGTCGAAACTCTCGTGGACGTCCGGACAGATGTGGTCAATACCGTAACGGTAGTTCTTCGTTGCCGTTAGCTTCGACACAGGGTCATCTCGTCCAATGCGCTCACCTTGCAACGGTTGTGGTCTGTCTTACTGTGACAGTACGAGTGGGCTGCGGTGGTGGGCCACGTCCACCTCCTCGTGCAATATCATCTGGGTCCTCTTGACGTGCGACATGGAAACGGGAGATGTTCCATGGGAAGGCGTATGTGGTCAAGAAAAGCAGCCACCAAATTGCAACGATGTGCTGCAGCTTGCCTGCCATGATTAGCGGTTTCCGTGAACGGCGAGAATGATCGTGGTATACTGGCCTGCAAACAGACAGCTGCACTTCAACTGATATAGCAGTCCATTTCTCCAGCCGTCTCTGACAGTGCAACGGTGCCGTCCCTCCAGCCACTGTGCGACAAGCGGCTCAGATTCTAGACATGGAGTGGGGAAGAATGCACATTCCAGCATACGCGCAGCGGCGCCTATTGGTGAAGCCAAGACTTTCCAGCTATCAAGGAGGTCGTTCTACATTCTGATCATGCAAGAACGCGAATGGAGCGTGGACAGGTTCCATGACAGCAGATTTGTAAGTGCTATTTCTGTCAATTCAGCGAACACATGTTGCTTGTCACTTTTGAGGTGGCCTTCCCGGTCTACTGTGGCATCATCCCCAGAGAGGCTATTGGCTTTTCGATCGTCCTCTCTGTTGGCATTCTGGTACATTCAATATCTCGAATCACTACCGTCGTCTGGAATCGGCTTATTGCCGTGCATCAGTACGTAGGTACTAGGAGCTGTTATACTGAACTTGAGCCCCTCCATGGGACTACTTGACGCTCGCGACACTATGAAAGTCGGTCAAGAGATGGAATCTCCTCTTTCTCGTTCAAGAAGACCCACAGAAATGTCCGACGGGAAAGAGGCGGGAGACTTGTCGACGCATAGCGATCGTTTCATAACACTCTATCCATGTGGTTGTACAGAAACAGCACTGTTGAAACAAGTTTCACATCTCTCAGGACGATGAAACATTCCTCATGAGTTGTTCAACAGCTGTATGAGAATCAGATAGAAATATCAGCATTATTTGCACTTCGATTTACTCAATTGATCACCTGCATAACATTAGCAATGAGCAGAACCATGAATCGCGGATCGTAAGAAACCATTCTCGAGTCCCAAAGCACAAATTCTGACATTAGATAGCGACATCGAAAACAAAATCTCTCCGCGGCCAAACATCAGCCCCATCATCTGTCAACCAGACTCCTGCATCCTACTCTCGAAACTTCCTCGTGAATTACGAGACGAGATCTGGCGATACCTCGTCGTTCCAGCGCGCGACATCACAATCTTCAAGCCCAAATCTAACGATGTCAGCTGCGAGACAGAGCGACCGAATTGCTGCTACACGGTCCCACAACCATTCACCATCAACACCTGTCGACAGATGCGCACGGAAGTGTCTCGAGCCTACTACGCCTTCAACACCTTCCGCAGCCCGATCGACGACAAATGCAATATGAAACTTGTCTATTGGATCAGATCATTATCCGCAGATGACAGACGAGCGATTAGAAAGGTTGTTGTTGAACTCCGATTGAGCTATGCGACGACGCCTCGGGAAGAGAAGCAGTTGCGGATGCTAGCAGACCTGCGGGATTATCCAAGTCTGTGTCTCTTCATGGAGACAATGTCGGAAATTGATTTTGATCATCGTAAGCTGCAATATGATAACGGCTCGTCAGGTTCGCAGGACAAGTCGGTTGTGCAGAAGTGGTTCGCGAAGATGGAGATTTTGAAACAACAGGCAGTTGAAGCTGCTGCGTGGCGGGCAACAGAAGAACGCTTCTGGCAAGTTGTAAGATTTGACGTGGATTTGGTGGGATCAAGGCGTCCCTCAGTAAAGCAATCATGAGAGATTCGCCTGCCCTCCGACAAGGCGAGGATTTGCAAACGAGCAAACAGGTCCGCCGCGAGACTTCCGACACAGTCTATTCACTAGAAGGATTCAACTTCTGTATCTCCCAGTCTCTTCGTTCCCCAATGGAGCTCAATGCGACGAGCTGGCGAGGCACTTGTGGCATGTTCCGGAGGCGATCGCCAAGAGTAATTGTCCAGTCATCGTGCGCTTGAAGGACCTCTTTGTTTTCAGTATTCATGGGACGTCAGAAATCATGATCGCCATTGTCAACTCCCCAGGAATCATCGCCATCAATCGCGTTCGTTTTGCCGTTGCTGAGGGCGAGGGAGACAAGTGCTACAAGCCAGATGATATCTGCATCGAGGCAAAGTTTGAGAAACCCTGTGACGCTCTCCTCAACCTGATGGTGGAAAACACTCATCAGTGCCAGCCCAAAGTATTCACTTTGAGTATGCGTCGTTTGCGGCAGTTGGTCTTCGAGGTGGTCTACCAGGGAGTTTCGCTACTATGCTGACCCCATGGCTCACTCATCAACTCAACTTTACAAATCTCAATCCTCCTTGCTCGAATACATGCAGATCCCCAGATCTGCACGAATTTGAGCACAGCCGCAAGACTGGAATCGACATCATAGTAAACTCATTGCATTCTTGATCAGAATTAGTTAGCAGGAAAGCAGCGCCATTACTCATCAATGTGCGTCAAAACAAAAATGATCGCTTCCAATCGCCAGTCTTTGATCGTACACTTCCCCCCTCTTATCACACCGCTCGCTGGTAAAACCTTTCCTCATTGGCTCATTCAGGGCCCCAAATATATGTATTCACCTTTTCTTTTCTCCTCGATTTGCATGTTGGGCTTCCCTACTTCCAATGCTTCACAGCCTCCGGACCACCATTCTCATCTGCTCGATCATTGCATCGTGGGGCATCGTTGCATATCGGCCACTCTTCAGCGCTCGCGTTCAACGTAGGAGAGACATTGTTGCATTCATGACTACAGCCTGCGGCACTTCAGTCAATTGATCGTTGATTGGGACAAGAGTTGCCCGGCCAAACTCACGAACAGTGCGGCAATACCTAATAGATAAGCCACCATGGGGGGAACATCTTGACGGTGTTGTCGGCTTGACTTGGTTGCGTTCTCTGAATTGGTTGTAGGTGGAGGTTGTGGTAGTTGCAATCGTTGCTCGTTGGTGCGTTCAATCTGATGGTGGCATACAGCTCTCTTTTATATTCCTCCTGCACTCCCAAAGCTCTACGTACCAACGGCACTTGTTCCGCGTCCTCCGTGAAGCTCCAGCATCATCATCGCCACCATCGATCATGATATTACTACATGGGGTTAGAAGGAGAAACTCACGATGTTTAATTCCTGGCTCTGACTGGTCAGTTGGCTCATGCCAACAACTTTTTCTCATCATTTCGGCTCATCGTCACGACGGGCCATCGCACAGAAGACGTCTACGACGCTCTATCACCATTTGCATGGAAATTCTTACTGTATCGAGACTGGTTCGCAATCGATACCACGATCTTCCCAGAACAGCTTCCATCAATCGCCGTCTGTGCGAGTGTGGAGCAGCCAGTCACATGCCAAAGAAATTCGCCACGAAGGTGCAAAGTCCCGGAGATGTTGTTCCAACCTCTCACGAACTGCCGTTATCGTGGGTCGAGGGCGAAGGAGATGCTCGCAGTGGAAGTTTCTGAGGACGTGTCGTGATCATGTGGACTGGAATTGATCTTAATGTGGGGCGGTCATGCTGGGTCAGGGTGTTCGCAGATGCTCGAGAAGCTGGCAGACTTGGCTGAATTTTGTCAGCTAAGTTTCAAGCTGATGGACGATCGCCATGGCAAATCCTGGTGAAACTCTCTGCACAGATGGGGATTGGAGACTTGGAAGAGACCCTGATTGTTGCATTCGTGGGCACGCGATCGACGATCTGGAGACTTCACTCTCGATGAATAGGACAAGAGGCACTGCCACCTTGGGAGAAGAAAGCTGAAAGTTTCAACTCATTGATTGATGGAGATCATATATCATGAGTGCACACTTCGTGCGAATCTAAAGCTGACCACGGCGCACGTAGCGCTTGCCCTTTCCACGACCACGGAACTTGCTGAGCTTCACAACGAAAGCTCCACGCTCGATGGTATTGACAACGACGTAGCCGGATGGGTACGTGTAGTGGTTCCAGGTTCCGACGAAAGTGGCGTTGCCACCACCTGGCTCGTTGTCGTCCTCTGGGTAGATGTCGAAGAATGCAACCTCCTCGATCTCGGATCCATCCTCCTTCTCTGGGATCGATGAGATATCGAGGACACGAAGTCCAGCGCCGTAATTGGACTGGTATGCCAAGCCATCGTAGATATATTGGTTGTGGTCGATGCTGCGGACGCCGCTCTTGTAAAATCCGGTATTCACCGGTTTCTCAAGTGATTCGATATTGAAGATATAAGTGACTGGGAAGCCATCGAGCGCTGGGGACTCTGGGCTGGCACGGTCTGGGCGGAGACCCTCGTCAAGTTCGTCGTCCATGATCAAGTGAGTCTGCCAGTTGGGGTCGATGACCCAGCCTAAAAAGCAACGTATCAGCCATGTGTGCTCATGAAGATCTTGCATATGCGGCAAATCTGACCTTGGTGAGTGTAGCTCGCGCCCTTGTATGGCGTCCTTGAAATGACTGTGCTGGCATTGCCGCCGTTCTTGTTTTCGACTAAGTATATCGTGAGCGTATCTTCCTGTAGAAGTTATTAGAAGGCATTCAGGTCTCAGGGAATAGGGAATACTCAAATTATAACCGTAACAAACGTCTTTTCCGTTGTATTTCTTGTCTGGACCGCGGTAGACAATGCATTGAGCGTCGTGGATGTACTGGGGACAAAAATTAGTGATCACGTGACTTGACGAGATTCCAGAGTAGAAGACTTACACCATCCTGAGGCGCGCAGCCAGTCTTCTTTGGGTTCTTTGGGTCCTTCACATCGATGAAGATCAAGCCGGCCGCACAAGAATCGTTTCTTGGCTGAGCACCGACGGCAACGACATAGTTCAGCTCCTCGTTGACGACAACATTGTGCGATCGACCAGCTGGGAGCTCGTTGAACCATCCAGTGAGGTCTGTACGGGTGTCGAAGGTCTTTGGCCGACGGGGGCTCAGAGTGAGCAGCTTGCGCATATCGAAGAATTGCACTCCATGGTTCACAGCCTCGGATCCGACAACCAAGTAGTTGCCATTGGTCTTCAGCTCACGCCATTGCGATGGAAGAGCAGTGTGTTGCTGGGGCAGGCGTCCAAGATATTCCAGCTTGCCATCTCTGGTGACTTCAGCGAAAGCCACACCATCTGATTGTCCAATAGCGGCGAACTCGCGACGACCAAAGGTCCAACCCCAAGAGCCAGAACCGGAGCTGTCGTTGCCACCAAGCTCGGCGTGTGACTTGAAGTCGTACAGATCCGTGTCCTTGCAGCGGAATGTCTGGAGTGGGTCACCCTCCTTGGCGACTGCCAGCCCGTTGCGGCACTTCACTGACTTTCCCTTGCCGCTGGACCATTTATCGAAGCCAGACCACTTTGCACTCTGGTAGTCGCCGGCAACCTCGTGTTCGTGCCACTGCCTCATCTTCTCCTTGAAGGTTGTCAGTAAACGAACCGTTGATGTCGCCAAGCCGAACACATACCTCCATAATGTCGCTGTGCACTTTACCCGAGACATAGTCTTCCTTGGTGTAGAAAGCGTTGGCAACGCCAGCGAGCGCCGGAATGGCGGCAGCAACGGCAGAGAACTTCATCTTGCCTGAGAATTGAACGTGATTTCCAGGAAAAGTATCAGTTGGCTGTGATCAATGGTCCTGGGGAGCAAGGCAAATTTTATACAACTATCAGACCCGCAGATCTCTGCCTAGAAGGCATTGGGGGTGCATTCCACACGCCTTCGCTTGCATAGTACGAACCATTTCCACGAGGTGGATAGCGGGACAACGATGATACCTTCCTGTCGTAGTAAGTTGCCCTTCCAAGAGTTTGGCAGCACATGCGCTCAAGCTGGAGAAGTGCTTGAGGCGTCTTGGTATGGATGCAGCAAGCATATGAGCCAAGCCAGTGAGAGCTTCTCGGTGTGCTGTGGTTGGTGTACTATAAGCTCGCCAAGGCTGCACACATTAGTGCCAAGATAATGGAAGTGGCGTACGCCGGACTCCATCTTTGATATGCAATTTGACCTGTCGACTGAGAGCCTGTGACCGTGTGTGAACACTTTGGAAGAAGATAGAGCTGCATTTGTCCGGTCCCGATCGCCAATGTGAGAGAGGTCATTCAACCTGGCAGTACGCTGCATGGAAGTCGACTGTCATGTCCACAGGAGCTCGTGTGCCTTGAGGGCGTAGCTCTTCGTGACGCATAAAGCCGAAGCTATTAAACCGGCAAGCGCAGGCTTTGAATGCGCATCATTGCTGCAATCGCAGTTCGTCTTGCCCGTTGAGTGCTAACCTGGTCCGAAGGATGCTCTTGCGTGTCCGGAACCATGTCCCAAAGAGGAAGGTAGTGTGGCTAGCCAAGAGCATTTGCGATACGAGTGGAGAAGCGTCAACTTTCCAGCTGTGCCAAGGGAACGAGTACCAGAGGCATACCACATGACATGCTTCAGTGCAATCGTTGCGTGACAGAAGGATTTTCCCAGATGTGGCAACCATCACAAGGTTTTGATCCGTCAACCAGCAACGGCCAGCTCGATGTCCTTTGGTGGGATTTCCTTTCATGCTTCAGCACGTTGTGCTCTGCACAAGTGGATTGTGCATCATCTGTTCCCGCGGACTGTGGGGCTCTGGTATTCCTATGCAGAGAGCACTCGCCGCATAGTTCAGTTCGAGCTCGGCAAGCCGTCCAGGATACAGCACCAGATGCTTCGTTCCAGCGAACAGTTCTTCGTTATTGTATCGGGTATCGATCGCATCTGCCAACTCGATATGGATTGCACATCCGGAACCTCTAAAGATTTTCTCAGCGATCTCGCAAGAGTCCCTCAATCCGCATGTTGAAGCCCTTCGGCTTGGGAAAACAAAATCTTCCGGAGACAAATGTACCCCATTTTGTGCCTCAACAAGCACTCAGGTAGTCGGAGATGCGCCACCATAGTTGATGGGTCTGATCGAAGCAGGTGATCCAGATTTCGTCCAATGATGATGTGAGGCTTGGCAGTGTGTTCCCATGGCGGCCAGAGTCGTGAAAGCTATCGGTAGGTAGCGTTTCAGGAACGCAGAGGAGAGGGTACTCGCAGGTATTTAATCCACTGGAGCCTGATGAGCATGTTTGCGCATCCATGTGAGCTAGAGCAGTGCGCTTGCTTGGATGCCGAGTGACTAGCGCATCTTTTGAGCAGATATATGCTCAGACGAGCTTGGCCATGAGCAGCTGAATCTCATCTAGGGTCTCTGCAAATTGGACCTCTCCGCAACAGTGTTTCGAGCGATTCCCGATCAACGGATGTGAACGCTATGGGCGCTCAATGATGCTCGTCTGGAGGAACAGGTACGTTTGCCTTCCGATCACCCTCTTTGTACTCATCTGGCAACATAACTCAGTCCATATCGAAAGCACAACACGTTGAGCAGCAACTCACCTTTGTCTTCGTCCATGCCAGGCATCATGATCTGCTTCTGCAAAACTGCTCGAATGTGCATGATGAACACGAATATCCACATTATTACGAGCAAGATCGTCATCAAGCTTGCTACCCATAGGATGCCTTCGCTCTTCAGCTGCTGTCCGATCCTGGTTGTAGCAACAGTGAAGCCCACGTTTGGGAAAACAAACTAAGCTCAATGTCAGCGCAATCGGAGAACCTGCGGTAGTGGCACAGAAATGGTCTCCTGCTAGTACTTACAGCCCACCAAACAAGGTGAAACGACATCCTACTCGCTCCAGCTAGCACACTCAGCAGCGTGATGCAGAAGAACCAGAAACTCAGTGACCACAGAAACATGGCCACGAAATCTGCCATCGTTTGAAGGACCACGACCACGCCAGGTCTCTCCAGGAAGTATGCGTCTTGATTAGGCAACGCCTGGCTCATTCCAAGAAGCGCAAGCCCAGTGAAAGAAGGCGGCCCCACAGAAATGAACATTCCCGGTCTCAGGTTCGGTGCTGGCAGACCGAACTGCATGAGTCGATGAATATAGATCGCATAAACCATGATGCTGACCATCCAACCTAGTCCTTGCATCGTCAATCCTGCGAGAATAATTGAAAGACGGTGATGCACAGGCTGGTCACTGGCAATGGCGCTAGCAAGAGTTCCAGATAGCATAACAGGAAAGATTGGTAAGATCCAAGCTGGCGTCATACTTTGAATCGTCAGGCGATGAGGTTTGGCGGAGAACAGGTAAAGATATTGAAGGACTGCGACGAGGAACGTCACGGCAAGGTAGGTCCAAAACAAAACTCGGAGTGTCGTGATCAACCATTCTCCACCCTTGCCATCGCCACCTCGCCGCAATGTTTCCACACCATAAACCTGCATCCCAGTGACGATGTTTACGGCGGCAAGCCAGAATGTTGGGAAGAAGAGCGCCTCGGTGGGATGCATAAGAGACTTCCTTAATGTGCCCGGGTGTAAGATGAATCGTGCTGCGATTCCGGAGCAGAGTAGCAGGAAAATTACAATGTCGAATACATAAACGACTTTGCCAATCGTGATGAGGCCTGCAAACTGATGTGGAGTCGCGCGCAAAAGCAGAGCGATGCCGCCTGTGCTCATGGGAAGTGTAAACCAAGCCCAGGTGAAATGCTGAAGGCGAATGCGAAAAGGCACACTTTTTCGGGTTGCCATACTGTCGATCTCGTTGTTTGCGCCCTCGTGGTGGGATTTCTGGCCGGCAAGTGGTGATTGTGCTCTGGGCTGGGCTCGCGAGTTGCTGTGCAAGTCCAGCCGCGATGACTTCCATTTCCGCCACCACAGGGATTGCTCGTGGTGACCCATGGCCGCGTCTTATCGAAAGTATTGGCTAGCAAGTGCAAATTCTCATGCTGGTATTTTGTATACGACCATTCTTGTTTGTTTTTTCGAGGCTGATAAGAAGAATTGGTGGCTGACTGAAAATGGTCATCGAGCCATGCTGTATCAAGACAACCTGAGAACTTGTGCCTTCGGGATGACTTTTGTATCCAGTTTTCGCAAGTCTCCCAGACGGCGATGCCAGTGAGTGCCAGAGCTTCGTTGTGAGATATGAAACAAGGTTCCCGGTCCAGTGGTAGAACGATGCGGAGGATCCCGGAACCTACACGTGCCTACCCTTTCGACCAATGACGATTATTGTTCGCGCCTGCGAATCTGGAGTGAGTCTCTCCGACCAGCTTGGAGAAAAGCCAACATTGATGAGGATGGAAGTGATGGTAAGAAGCAGTTTCGACACCAGCTTGATTATGCAAAGTTCGTGAAATGGTTATGACTAGTCCCAGCTATGGTCGTCCGTATTCTTTCGTCCCACTGCTTTCTCCATCCGCCGTCAACCCCTATCCTCATCGACTTGTGCCTTTCTTGCTGCTGACGCGCTGTAGATGCCAAACATTGCTCGTGCAATTGAGTGTGCTCTCCGGGATAGCTGTTTGACTGCAGCTCAAGCAAGACTCGACCCTCCACGGCGTGGCATTATTGGAGATACCTAAAGCTGTCGAGCACGTCCGTTGCAGGCTTGCAGCTTATGGTGAGCTTTGCGTACAGACACGCTGCTTTGCTTCGATGTGATGCAAGCTGTGAGCTCAAATGGCAGCACGAGTCCTGCATCAGCGTTACAGTAGAGACTGCACCCTCAGACTCGGATGTGCAGACCATTGAAAATGCCGGCACTACACCTCTTCAAGTCGGACAAGTCCTATACAAATCTCTGACGGGATCGAAGTAGCGAGAAGCACGTATCGCTTGCGTGGTTTCGGGATTGGACTGCGTTCGGCTCAGTGCTGGCTCCACACAAGTATGCTCACGCTCTTCCGTCTGATCGTCGAGGTCCATATCGGGTTCGGTGTGCTGGGGTTCGGGTGAGGCATCAGAATGGGAGTCAAGCTCTCCACTCCTTCGCATGCGACATCTGTGGGAAGAGTGCACATTTCGGCCATCACGATAGCGGAAGACGTGCCACACTACCACAGTGTCAGTTCACGATTGGCTCTCTTTCGATCCTTGCGAAGTGGAGCTGTCACTGACACAACCAGCGAATGATCCAGTTGTCCGAAGTCTCGTCATCGGAGTCCTGACCGAGAGCATAAATCATCTTCGTATCGGAGCGGGCCCGGTGGTATATGCGCGCTACCTCTCTATTCAGGACATCTTCGTCTATGTGCTTGTAGGCGTATGGCGCCTCCACCGACGGATCGCCTCTCAAGTGCGCAGCGAGACCATTGCGATCTGCGGACAATCGATTCCAGCCCTCAACAGCTTCAGTCTGTCGGAATGCTATGAGCATGCCATGAAGCACCGACTATTCTGAGTTCCCGTACCTTCATGTTGGAATAGAGCCGCCGGTGAAGCTTGTTCCCATCGCTCAGACCTAGTCGCTCGAAGAAGCGCTTCTTTGGCTCAGATTGTGCCAGAGACTTCGCCATGGGAGCCATGACACGTGCCTGACACAGACCACAAGTAGGGACAACCGCTACGTCGTGGATGCTCGGGGGGCCACTGAAACGATATGATCGAAATACATAGGCTCGAAGTTAGGCCTATCCGGTGCGTTGCATTCATTCAGCGCACACCTACCAGACCACTCTCGATCTACCGCTACAGGAAGCCCCGAGGCTATGTTTATAGCATGGAACTCCAGACCACCCCTTGAATGTCGAGATTTGGCCCCGACGAGAGTACCGATCGAATTTTCCGAAACCCCGATCTAACTCGCGCAGCAAGTCTGAAAGAGTTGGGTGACAACATGGTTTCTCTTCGTGCTTGCACATGCCCTCTCTGTGTGTGCGAGCTTGTTCACTGATCAATAACGCACAGGTCATTGGACTCCTTCATCAAGTTGGCGACCAAAGCTGGGCCAATAGCAGTGGAGTATCGCACTTGTGACCCGAACTGGCATAGCGCAAGTGTACGTGAATAATTCACCCTGTAGGGTTTCAGTTCAGCGGACGCTGCCAGGATTCACAAGCATAGCCAAGACAACATCTGCACGCGAGAATCTATCGCTCGATCAGCATCCGCTATTCAGTGCTAGTCCGAGGATTGATCTCTGTACGCTATCAAGGCTTGAAGGCGCCTTTGCATGATGCTCTTTACTTCAAGTAACGACAGATCATATATGTCTGCTGTGCAAGTGGGCACTTTTTTGTCGATTTAGCAGCCTCACCTCACTGTCAGTCTATGACAGGAAGGTCATGGATACGGACTGCGGATGGCATCTGCGTTCAATGTTCAACGGAATAGCACAACGATACTGTTTGCATCGAGCGACTCCATGATCGACTTACCACGGAGCCTGACCTTCAAGCAGTACAGTCCGGCCGTTCTTTTGCCAGGTTCAGTCGACATTCTGGCCTGTGCGGGTCTGTCCAGTTTCATCAGGCCGAGTCAACAGACGACCACATTCGCAGAGTAACATATCACTTTCAAATATGTCAATAATCCAATATCTGCTTGCTGCTCAAAGCAGCCTAGCAGCACAACGACACAGCCTATAAACCCAACGCGAACTTTCTCGTGCTCTATCCGGTGACAGAGGTAGCTTTCAGTTCTCCCGCCTCCGTGGAGGAAACATCTCATGCGCTACCCGCGATTATAGCCTGAAAGAAGCTAGCGTGAAGAAAAACTTTTGAGCGTCGTTCGACCACTCCGTGCATCCCATGGACCGAAGCCGCGGATTCCTGAAGTCAGATCAGATCAACCTTGAGGTGCTAGAACGTGATAGGGTCGTTTTTCTGATTCGGGTTCAAACGCTGTCCTTGATAGCATGATCACAGGAGTTCTTGTAGTCGAGGATTGTCGAGCCAGCCTGGGCCACACAGGAATTGCGTAACTCTGAGGAGTTTTTGTTCAACGAGCGATTTCGCACCTGGAGTGGTCTATGACTTGTGGTCCAACAGCGGCGAGGGCTGACCTCAGCTTCCCCTTAGGATCCTGTTCGCATTCGATTTCATCTGAGTGCTGGCCTTTGGAGAGTGCGCAATAGCCATCAGAGGCCAAGTTAAGAAGAAAACACTCAGAGCTCTGCTTGGTCCATTTGCAGGTTCGCTTCTCCCGTCCCCAATATCAATGGCTGCAGTGACTTGTTCCCAGAGCTGGTTGATGCAACGAAAGACTGCCGCTCCACTGCACAGATTCGTCAATTCTTCGGATCTTCCAGTGCCGGTCGTCAGCTCGAAGAGTAGCTGTAGGAGGTGTAGCCCGACTGTGAGGTATAGACTCTTTGCGATAGCTACTGACTTCGCGGAAGTCAACCCTATCAGTCCATTGAATGCTGTCCGTCGGGATGCGCAGCTACCGTTCCAGTGAATGCATGAAGTGGCGCAGATGAGTTCGTCAAACACGCCGAATGTTTCACTGCCCAGACGTGCGACATTCTCGGAACTCTCGTTGCGAGAACGACTGGCTGAACGTAGCTGGCCCATGACTACAATCGCCCTTCCTATCGATGAATCCAAAGCGGCATGGTATGTCCACGTATTCCATTTGGCACCGAACTCCGTGAGAAAGCAACCAGGATCCATGGGATTTTCTGAGCTGAAAAACACGATCAGCTACGAATGGTGAGTACACGCTCTGCAGGCAAGTCTTGAATCGATGAGACTCACCCCAATGTGCCGGCAAAAGACGAACAGTTCGCGATCGATCTCGTTGTCGAGTCCTGTCTGTACTCGGTACTGAATCAGTGATTGAGCGCCCGCGGCATGGGGGCATAATCCTCCAATTGTACGCATTTCGGCTCCGGGTAAGCTTCGCAGAGTGAACTGAATGGTTGTCAGTACAGTCAGCGGGCTGATGAACGTGGCACACACCGTAAAGAAGCCCGTGAGGAATACAGCCATGAGTACAGAGTCGTCTCTAAGCTCTCCGGGCGATTCCATCGCCTGTCGCAGACTGGAGATACATGTTTTATATGCTCGCCTCGCATCTGTCAGAAGTCCCGGCTGGCGACTCTCGATTGCCGCATTGGCAAGTGCAGCAGCCTTGAGCGCATGGGAAAAGCAAGCGGCGGGATGGCCAGCGTGGAGCTGCGGAAGTACATCGAAAACCATGATACCGGAGCTGTCCGAAAAGGAACCAAAAAGCGCAGAGATACAGTACACCTCAGCTTCAACATCGATGCGATACATCATCGTGCGAAGGAGCTGCGACTCCATCTTCTCTGCCCTGCGTTTATCTCGTCGTTCAGCCTTAATTCTCCTGACTCTTTCTGCTACCTGCGATGCTGCACGCGAGTTCTGCTCTCGGTGGAGCACGTCCCAAGGATCTGGATAGCCTGGGCAGTCTAGCTGGAGACGTACGCAACGCAGACACGCAGGCTGCTGCATATCATACTATTCCGAATGTCAGCTAGTGAATTCTCGACTTTCCCATTTGCTGTGCATCTGTACCTTCACTTTCGAGTCCCTGCAAGTTGAGCATCCCAATGGAGGTCTATCCATTTCCGGCAACCCACTCAGGCGAAAAGCCAGAAACAGTAAGAAAGCTCAAGATCATCCGTGACAGCATGTCTTTGATTGTGAAGGTGACGGCCGAATGTCCACGGGTTCAGCAACGAAGACCCATGCTGATAGAAATGGTAAATAAGCCTTCCAACGCGAGTCAAGCAATATAGGCTTCATCGGACAAACCCTACAGACAGCGGGCTTCCTAGTAGACGTAGTTCCTGGTGGTCTGAATCTTAATTTAACGCACACATCCGCCCTCCGACGCTTCGGGAATATGTACTGCAAGCTCGGTCTGGTCACTTCTCGTGGGGCTCACTGTCGACTGCTTGGTCTTTGCTCTGACGAGCAAGCAAGTGAGCAGGAACTGCAGGGCCTTGAACTTTTCGGGATCTCTCCCTGGTTGTCGGTATGCGACTTTGGAACACGAACGGCGAACGGATAGGGGAGCCGCTTGTACGTCGTGCAATATCAACAAGTATCGTGACTCAGGAGTCTCGGCAGCAGGGATCTGGTGCTGGGTTGGGGTCTAGCTGTCGGTACGTGCACTAGGCTCAGTTGTCAGATGAAGTCATGTCAGTAGCACCACGTAGAAATTACCCATCTTAAATAGCTCGTTACGCCAGCGAGGCGCTTCTCGTTACTACCACAGAATGGGCGTGTCTTCTTCCGTCGCGTTTTGGAAATAGCGGCTCGTGAACCAGGCGATGGTCCCTTGGTTGCTCATAAGCCAGTGCACAGGAGACATGTTGGTTCAACGGCTTGGCTGCCATAACCCACGTACTTGAAAGGTGAGTGATGACCCTAGATCAATGGAGCTCTTCTCCGCGGATCTTGACGCGCTTCCCTCAGTTCTTCACACTCACCAGAGGCACAAAACCAAACGAAGAACCCCCTCTGCGAAGCTCAAACTGTAAGCGAGGCTTCGAAGACAGTGAACGGAAAGCGTCCCGAGATTTCTGGATGTGGCGAAGCCAGTCTCTAAGCAAGCCTGAGATGTGCTCGGAACTCAGCGCACTAAGCAGGATGTCAGTTCGCAAAGAGGCTATGAAGAAGATTGTGTCTGGCAAGTCCAACATACAATGGATTTCAGTTGCGTCCGCCAAGCAGATGATCAATCGCGTGGTGCCAGAAATCGTGACCAAAACATCCATATGCTTGCACGGTGTCAAAATTGGGGATAGGCTCCATCAGTGCAAAACTCGAAGGCACCTGGAGACTAGCAGCACTGCTGCCTAGATCTTGGACAGGGTTTGACATCGATAAATGCTTCCCTGGCCGACACACATCGATAATGGGGCTTTTTGTATGTTGCAGTGCTTCACTTGACCCGACTCTGCAATGGCCTCTCTCAATCTGCTCCTCGCCAGACTTCTGGCACTATACCAGCTCACTCTCGGCCTCAGCTCAGTCATATGTCCTCGCTGGACAGCAATCAACATTTTCAACCTTTCACCAGCTCGAGTGAACCCTATCGCGACTCGGATCGGAGGCTCCAGAGACCTGGTTTTCGGAATGGCCCTTCTCCTGTACATGCATGACCTTCGCGTCCGAAAGTTGCTCTCTCGATGCGCAGCATTGATTAACGTTGTGGATGCTGGCAGTATGGCCGCAACTTATTGCGAAGGAAGCTTGGAACGGGAAACCGCCTTTGCAGGTGGGCTGGCAAGTGCGATTGTGGCGATGGTAGCGTTCTTGAGCGCCGCATGACCAGTCGCACGAAGAGTTGAGACTTAAAAAGGTAGGCCAGGAAGTGCACTATTCGCATGCCCTGGGCGTTGCTGACCTACCCCAAGGCAAGTTTGGGTGTACGTAGAATTGCTGTACGCAGAAGAAGGGCGTGCATGCGGGCAGGCGATGCTCGTTTGCCTTGGAACGACCCCAGAATATTGACAGTGAGCGGCACCCACGTGAGCTGAGCAACAATATCGATAAGCAAGACCTCGCGAGATGCACCAGCTATCCTGCACGACGATACTCCATTGCGACGACGGCGATGCTAGTCGAGGGAGAGCTCTTGACTCAGATATCACCTGTGTTGACGCCATTGACAACGCCGTCTGCCGGTGCCTGGCTGCTCTTCTGCTCTGCATCAATTTTCGATTGTCGTTCAGCCCTTTCGCTGAATCTGTCGGAAAACAGGTCGAAGTGCTGTCGCATGACAAGGGTATATTTCACAAACTCCTCCATGCAGTCTACGACTCTGTCCCGGTTGCCAGATGGCATGAGACGACTGCCGCCTTCTGCCTCGAGGAACGCCGCCTCATCTGAAGGATCGACCGCATCGGTGAACTGCGTGTAGGCCTTTGGAATCGAAGACTGGTTGGGTATCGCGAACATGCGCATCCAGCGTCCCAATATGCGAAGACTGTTGACAGAATTGAAGGATTGAGAGCCACCAGAGACTTGAAGGACTGACAAGGTGCGACCTTGAGTTGGGCGAACGGAACCAGCGCTAAGAGGCACCCAATCGATCTGATTCTTGAACACAGCAGTGAGATTTCCGTGTTGCTCTGGCGAGACCCAGACGTGGCCATCACTCCATTTGCTCAGGTTTCTCAATTCCTGGACTTTCTCGTGCTGGTGTTGCACATCATCTTTGACGGGCAGGCCGGCGGGCTCGTAGAAGCGAACATCGCAGCCTAAGCGGAAGAGGATGCGGGAGCACTCGTAGGCGAGTAGTCTTGAATATGACCGGGCTCGGAGGCTGCCGACGAGGACGAGGACGCGGAGTCTTTGGCCGTGGTTCTGCGCCAGATCGGCCTCGACCAGCTTGAGCGCTGTGCTGAGTTCTAGTTTCGAGATCCAATCGCTGTGAGTCAGGTCTTCACGCAAGAGGAAGGGCCGGTATTTCTCGCGTATGGCCGGGTGGTCTTCTTCGTCGGAAATGGCAAGAGTCCGCTGGTGGTACGCCGGATCTGGAGGAGGCACGATGGTCTGCCGAAGGACCTCGGTGTTGTTGAGGTCGCCGTTGATTCGGACAGTCGGCGCCACGGACATGGCTGGTCTTGCGTAGTGCGAGAAGCGATAAGCGGCTGTTGTTATCGGCGGTTTGGGAGAACGGAAGATCAGAAGGCGGTTCAACATGGAGGAAGCGACAGCCAGTCAGGTGGATCGACAGAGAGATGGTCTCCAAGCACCTTCCACTCCGAGTCTCTGTAGCGAAATTTTGTTCGTAGTGCCATGGTGTCTGGTGGCAAGGAAGACGCCACTTGCAGAATGTCACTAGACGACATGTCGCCAGCCAGGAAGCTGGGCAAGCCGAGATTTCATGCGCCAAGAGAAGCTCGGATGTTTCATCAGGTCTTCGTCTTTGGCAGACACCCCATGGATACATGTGCATCTTGGGAGGTTGCCAGGTTGAGCAATCTGAAAGATAACGAATAGACGACACCACTCTTCATTATTTGTATAATATTGTACAATCCCGGGTATCATGCCAAACAAAACGCCAATGTAGCCAAATGCCAGCAAGCCACGTCACCAGTAAGCAGCAAGCAGCAGCAAAAGGCCATGTTCCCTTCAACGCTCATCGCTTCATATGCTCCCATGACTCGTATACTGCGAGCCATTCATTAATTTGCGTTGCGGCACTTCTTCTTCTCCCTTCCTTCCCTATGTTGCGCACATGCAGGCATGTGATAGAATGTTGATGTAGCTTCCTTTCTCTCCCGTCTCCCCCAAAAGCAAACGCCTCGGCCATGCTCGAAAATATATCCTTTTCCCTTCCTAGTATTATCGTACAGGTGATGCAATGCGAAATATTCGACAATCGAAGCCTTTGCCGGTAGCTGGCTCGTGAGCTGTTGGCGTAAGTGAAATTGTTGGCTTTACTGTGAGCTCGCCTCCATGGCTTTCACTCTTGCCAGGACCGAAGAGCCTTTGCGCTCAGGACTGCCTCGCTGCGCGACGTCCTGAGACTTGCGTGTCGGAGACAACTGTACAGACGCCTGCAATGAACCGGTACTCGTCCTGATCTTGGAATCTTGCTTTTCAGAATCTTCTTCTATTTTGCTGTCTGGAACAGTCGTTGGGGTAGTGGGCCTCGCAGGATCCGTGGCTGGCTCCGCGGTCTCCTCAGTTGGCTTCTCTGGCGCTTCGTTTGACTCTGTGCTCTGCTTTGTGGCCGCGGCAACATCTTCGGTTGGCTCTGTAGTGGTCTCGTCGGCTTTGGCAATCTCCTCTTTGGCATCCTCGAATGGAGTAGGCGGAAGTTCTTTCTCTGCCCCATCCTGCGCTTGCGAGTCCACTAACGCTTGCCTGGCAAAATCATTCTCCTCGATCGCGTTCTGCTCGATCTCCTTTTTCTCGTCATTCGCATCAGTAATGGCAGATGTCGAAACCCGCACACTCGGCGTTGGTCTCTCCTGGAACACATCGTTCTCGGACTGTGGTGCATCCTTGTCAGCGCCTTCTGGAATGTCATCAAGACTTTGACGACCGCTTGTGGATCCTCGCGTTGACCCTGGCGCGGATCCATGGGCTGAGATAGGCGAAGGAAGCCCACTTCGCGGCAGAGAGGCGAAACATGGTACAACGCCTCCGCCAAGTCGTGCCCAGAACATGCGTTCACGCAAGCGAACACTCTCCTCCCATGCGGCCTTTTGGTCGTCTTCGCTGTCGCACTTCCAGTGTCCGTCGCGCACCATGCGCAAGAAGCCAACGAAATCGCAAGTAGTCCGGACTCGAGAGGTGCAAAAGTCGCAGAGCGGCTTGGAGACGTTGTCCTCCTCGGACGTTAAGAAACGATGTCTGCGCACGTATTGTTCTTGCCGTTTGCTCTCACCACATAAGGTGCAGGCGAAATAATGTTTGTTCTGCGGGTATGGCTCGACGTTCAACGTGCCTGTCACCAGTGATGCAAGTACGGTCCTTCGGCTCAAGAAAGAGAGACCTGGCGCTAGGTCGAGCCTCAGTGTCGGTTCGATATCCTCCGTCAAAACCCGCTTATAGAATTTGCTGTCCTTCAAAGGTGGTATCGTGGCAGCCGCGTTGTGATATGCCGTAGTCGGGCTGGTCTGACCGAAGGAGAAGGCGCCTGGCAAATTTGGCGAAGAGGACACAGAGCCGTACGCAGAGTATAGCTGGGTCGAATTCGTCGCTGCACCCGTCTGATTGCTGTTATTACGAGAATGAGCACCAAGACGGCGGGCGAGAAGCAGCAAATCCTGGAAGTCTTCGAAGGCCTTGGTGTCGTTTCTCAGCACCGGGTTGATGAGCGAAGAGAAGTGGAGTGGGTGCTCAGGCGACTGATCAGCCACGCTTTGCAGAGAGGGAGACAGCTGCAGCGGCTCGAGCATGGCGTGTTGCGTGGTAACGGGCGTGGAAGGGACGCTCGGTTCTCGGGTTCCTGGCTGATCACTTTCCAGCTTCTCCATGGAGCCCTTGAGATCGGTCAACTGTTCACGCTGCGCAGCCATGAGCTGCTCATATTCTTCCAACTGGCCTCGGAGCTGCGCGTTTCTCTTCTCTACAGCTTCCGTGTCTTTGCGCGCAGCAGCCACCATGGTGTTCGCCTCTTCGAACAGGGCAGTCGTCAGATTCTCCAATTCGCCCTCCACCTGCTTCTTGCCCTTTTCCGCTTCAGCTCGCGCTATTCGCTCGGCGCTCAGCTCCTTACGCAGGCCGGCGATAATCTTCTGCATGTCGGCCTGGCGGACTAGCACTCCGCTGCTCACCAAGGCCTTGTGTCGGTGGTTCTCTTCTTCCAGCTGTGCCACCTTCTTCTTCGCCTGTTCCAGCTCATGTCGCGTCTGCTGCAGTGAATCATCGAGGTTGGTTTGATAGTTGATCGCGTTGACCAGTTTCGTGCTCAGCATGGCCACCTCGGCGCTGAGATCCGGATTGTAGGAGGAGTCATTGTCGTTCGTCGCGGGCGGGGTCTGCACGGCGTGCACGGGCGAGGGTGTTCGCGTGTCCATGACGGCGTCGTCTCGCATTGCGGGCATCGGGGCGTGCGGACTGGCTACCGCGGCCATCCTCGTGTCATGGAAGTTGGGCGTCGAGTGTGTCTTCGTCAGGCGATTGGCGAAGAGACGTGAGCGGAGGGTGGAGACGGTGGAGGTCGTGGGCGGTGGGTTGGGCGTGGCGGAGCGCTGCAGTTGCGAGGTTGGTCTCAGGAACTGCGCGGCAGAGCCATGACCGGAACTCAGTAGGAAGCTGTCGGGTTCTGGGGTCAGATGTCTGCGGACGCAGCGGGTCGGAGGTGCAACTCACTCCAGCTTGGCGGCGACGCGGAGACAGCGGGTGAGAGGTGGGCACCGTTGCGGTGTTGCAGACGGTATGGCCTAGCGCTCGCTCGTCGGGCGTCGGTCTCGTCGTCGTGGGCGTCGCAGCAGAAGGGGCAGTTCGGCCTGGAACACCGCCACACACAGCACGTGTTCAGGTGGTGCGCCGCTTGCAGCGTGTACGCCTTCGTCTCGTCGCTTTCACCTCGCGTCTGGCCCACCGGACATGCCGCCGTATTTGAAGGGTCGAGAGGATTGAAATTGGAGTCGCCGTACAATGATGAGCTGCCACTGCCTTACGCGCGCATGGACAGGTCCGCCGTTTCCAGAGGCTGGGCGCCACCGGATCATCCCCGCCACCACCTCCCCTGCCCCGACCCGAGACTCACTGAGCCGCATCAAAATAGGCTGACGAGATGAGAACGTGTGTCATCTGAATCGCCGCCCATTCCCGACTGCTGTCTACCGTGTCATCTCGAGCAATGCTGCCCATGTTCAGGCGTATACAACTCTCGTCTTCTGCTGGCATCTCATTTACGCCGTTGCGACGTTCATCTCTCTGCCAATAACAACGCCCACAACAAATTTCACCGCACTGCACACTCTACCAGCAGTATCCCATTTGTCACACTTTTGCAGACGAGCAGTTTGGCGGTATGCTCTTGGCATCGCTAGGTTTCAGTAATCACTTCATCGAGAACTTGAGGGCAGTAGTACAGAGCAGGCGGGGTTGCAGTATGTCTTCCTGCCGGCGAGTTGACTGTGAGAACAGGCCGCTCACGCTCGGCTTAACGAGCACCACGGAAAGTGCATCTCTCATACTTTACGCTTCACCTTACGTACAGTGCATGTGAAAAAGACACCCGGCCCGGCGTCGAAGCCACCGAACAAAATCTTTAGCTAAAGCAGGCCCGGCCGGCATAACACCGTCAGCAGGCGACCAACATGTCTTCCAACACTGCCACAGCGTTCCGCTTCGCCGATGTAAGTCAAGCACTTCTGTAGACTAAATGATTTGCCTGACAAGCCCCAGGTCGCAGTCACCCCAACCGCCGCCGAATACAAGGGCATCTACCGCAACAAGCAGCAACACGAGCCCGACTTTGACGCAGTGCTGGACAGGGCGAGTCAATCATGCGTCAAACACGTTCTTCTGACTGGAATGTCTTTGCGGGATGTGGACTTCATCCTGGACATCTGCAAGCGACGACCGGAGATCTGTACGATGACAGTCGGCGTCCATCCATACCACGCATCCGAGCCCTGGGACGAGGCACCAAACTATTTCGGTGTGCTTAAAGGTCGCATACGCGAGCTCATTGCGCTCGGCCCAAGCGCCCCACTGAAGGCTTTTGGTGAGCTTGGTCTTGATTTCGACAGGACCGAGAAGGCTTCCAAGGAGGTTCAGATCTGGGTGTTTAAGGCACAGCTCGACCTGATTGTGGAAGAGAAATGGGACCTGCCACTCTTTCTTCATTGCCGCAACTCTGCGTCGGAGTTCATCGAGGTCATCACGCCTTACATATCCAAACTGCCACGAAGCGGCCTTGTGCATTCGTTTGTTGGAACCGCGGATGAGATGCAGCAGCTTGTCTCACTGGGTCTGGACATCAGCGTCAATGGATTTTCGTTCCAGGATCCAGCTTCGATAGAAATGGTCAAAGCCCTGCCTCTCGACAAGCTACAGATTGAGACCGACTCCCCATGGGGATACATCAATCCCAATGGCGAACTTGCGAAGAAGTTCCCAGCACCAAGTGAGGTCGTCGCGCATCCGAGTAAGAAGCGCGACAAATTCGAAGCGGGCAAAATGATCAAAGAGCGTAATGAGAGCTGTCTCATTGCGCAAGTCGCCTCAATCGTGGCCGGTCTCAAAGGCATCGAGATAGATGAGGTCGTCAATGCGGCATACGGGAACAGCACCCGCATGTTTCGACTGAACAATGACTCCTAGGCGGAACTGGCTCCGCGCGACCGACATTCAGGCAGCAACCTACCAAAACGGACACCGATTGTGCATCCACTCACTGACTCGCGCTGCACTTGCTCACTTCAAACAGCACTTTCCGACTGCGCAGCATTTGACTTCATCTACCACCTTTTCTGGCACCTGCTGCCTCGCAACTACCTCAACATGGCCAAAGTCAAACCTACCTTCACGTCCTTGCCAGAGGACATCCTGGTCATGCTTCCAAATTATTTACGCAACATCGAGGACTACACCAACTTGTCTTCAACATGTCGCAAATTGCGCTCATGCATGGCAACAGCACTTCCAAACACCATTCTCCGCCTCGCTGCAGCGCAAAGCACTACCTTCTTCCGTCCTTCGCCACATTTCCTCGTCATGGCGACGGCTCGCGAGTTAGGGAACTGGGCTCGTCAGTCCGATGACAACGAGGCATCTTTCGTGTCTCACTGTCAACTGCAAGGCATTGACGGCATGCTCGAACTGGCTCTGACTCACTGCGGCCTGACAGTCCAGCGCATCCGCGAGCTCCACGAAATGCGCATGTCCATCATCAACCCAGTCACGGACATCATTGATAAGTGTGTGGGAAAGCAATGGTACAGCAATCCAGGGTTCTGGGATGGAGGCGTCAGCGATGCCTATACGATCTACTCGGAGCCAGCCATCAATTTCTTCCACCTGGCCATCTACGGAGAACTGTTTGCTCCAGAATTTGATCCCGCCTTAACTGGTGCACCTGGAAGGCGATTGAGCGTGGACACAAGATTGACGTTCGTGCGATACTGCATCCCAGAGCCTTCCGCGGGCAACGGTTCAAACACTGGTCCTTACGCAAAAGATGAGAAGGGAAGCTTCCTCAACATGCCAAGCCAGAACAATCTTGCAGTCACCTGGACGATCAACTCTTCACGCTGGCGTCCACACTGGAAGAAGTTCCGCACGGAAGTTGCGGGTTGCGAGGAATTCAAGGACAACTTCGATGATGGGTGGTGGTACGTTCCCAACCTGGGCGCAGACGAGGAAGGCGGGGTTGATGCCCACTGGAGACAGAGAATGTATGAGAACATTCTGATCTGCCAAGGACTGGAAGGTATGGGGATGATTCGGCCTGGTTTGCAAGACGCTTGGGTCGAGAAGTGCAAAGAGTGGAGGAGGCAGATTGCGGAGCTGAAGGAGGAGCCGGTCATGGTGCACTATGGGCGACAGGCGACGCAGGAGTATCCATTCCTGCTGGGTGACTTGAGGATTTGCATGAAAGGATACGTTCCGGGAACTGATTGAGTGAGTGGCAATGGCGGGGACGTACGAACAGGCAGAGACAGGAGTACGAATGCGGTACAGTGTATCACTCAGAAGATCACCAGTGCTCGATGGAGAAGTCAGCAAAGGGACACGGCGCGACAGAGGCGATGGCGTTGGTTCTTGGGCACATCCCCAATCCTTCCACACAGAATCGCAGGACCTCAGAGCCACTGAAGCGGCGATGCAGTGAGGGTTCCATGAAACTTCACCAGTTCTCCATAGTAGAAATTACGGCAAATCAGTTCTCACTGCTCCTCTCACGAATTCATAATGCTGGTGTATATCTTGGCTCATCACATTCGTCCTGTAAATCCGATTTTGCATCTTTCAATCATCTCCCTCTCTCTGCCTGCCTCTCAAACATTCTCCCCCCAACAAGTCTCATTCAAACAACTCATATACGCACTCGCCGTATGCCCCCAATCGACAGGATCCGTCTGAAACCCATTCCCCCGATCATTCTTCAAAAAGCAATTCCCGCCCCACAATTGAATCGGTTTCGTCAAATTCGCATAATATGTGACAGCTCGACAAGGAGGATTTGTCCCTGCTTCATTGCGCTCATCGCATTTATCGAGGCAGTCTTGGAAGGTGTAGACTGTGAGTTTTCCGCCGAGGTTGGAGAGGGTGGTGTTGGAGGGGTTGTAGAAGGAGGGGCGGTTGACTTGGTATTGGGTGTAGCATTCTTGGATGTAAGGTGTGCCGGATTCGGAGGTGGTGGTTTCGGTGCTGTTGCAGGAGAATTGGGCGAGGCCGGTGGAGCCGGATGTTACGGCGGAGGAGGTGGGGGTTGAGGTTGCGGAGGTTGGTGTTATGGTTGTTGTTGGGAGGTCGGTTTGGGTGCTGTGTGGTTGTTAGTCTTGTGAAGTTTGTGGGGAGGCGGGTTGGTCGCTTACGCTTCCTGGCTGTCTCCAGTTTCTGCGTTCTGGTCTTCGTCGTTGCTGTTTTGTGACAGACCGACTCCGAGTCCGACGCCCAGTCCGATGGCCAGCGCGAGTAAAATCGCGCCGATGACAATCCATATTAATCTTTTGCGCTTGTTTGGTCGGGCCTGCGCAAGGCCAGATTCTGCAGCTGTGACATTCGCGAGCTTCTCGTCCTGGGTGCCGTATGCTGATGAGTATGCCTGATCATCCTTGTGACCAGGTGGGTACGAGTAGGCAGGCGAAGTGTTCTCGTGCAGGCTCTGAGGAGCTTCCACTGCCCGGTCTGGTGCTGGTATCAGGCCATCTGCGCCGCTGCCCGGCACCACTTCTGGAGCGTGACTTCCGTCGTTGTGCATGTTTGTGAGCGGGCTGTACCCGCCGCGAGAGGCCAGATTGAAGACTTTGTAGGAGTTTGGTAGCAACTAGCGTCGCCACCAGATATGTATGTTGGATGCAAAGAGAGGAGAGCTGAGGAAGGATGCCTACCTGATGACATGTTCTTGCAGCATATTAGCTCCTGTTGTCGCACAGGCGAAAGGCGGGTTGCAGTGTGGCCAAGCATCTAGAGGGCAAGAATAGATCCTTCGTTGATCAACACCGCCTGTCGCGACCAATCTCCGCTGCGGACTAGTCACATCCAACAACGCCAATGCGGTAGCACTGCCAGGCTGGGCCGAGATCGGTATGGAAGTGGTATGCTTCGCTCGTCGTTCGTTCTTTCATGGTGATTTGCAGCTCAGGTGGCTGGTGGGTCATGCCGACTTCGAGACTCTCTAGCTGATGCTGTGAGCAATATATGTAGAACGCTTCTTGTGGACTTCTCAGTACGTCTCCGGATGTGCTTCGGTGCTCCCACGTGCTGCGTCGTTAGCGCGGAGCGGCTGAGGATCCTACGAATCCTTCAGCTCATCGTGCAAGGGCAAAGTTCTGGAGGTGAGTGGATCCTGAGGCAGGAATCTTGACCACACACGGCTTCCTCTCTTGTGCAGAGGTTGCGACCGAGAGGGCACATCAAGACGGTATCCACGATCGCGTCTCCAAAGCAGTGCTGGAGATAGCCAGACAGACAGGCCGTTGATTCTGGCTGGTCCGGGATCGAAGAGTGGTCTGGAAAGCTCACAGGACACGAAGTGCATGGCCGTCTCGTCATGATTGCAGCTACAAGTACGGAGGACCATACGGGTCATATGAAAAAATGACCAGGATGCCCATCGAAAGGGGATCATTCCGCCGAACGCCGAGTGAAGATACGAAACGCGTAGGCGTGGCGAACGTTTCACATTGCCTCGCATTAATACAAAGCAATCTTCCGCCTCGTACAACACCACAATGGACTCAACAGATCTCCCGCGCGTCGACGACATTTCTCCGTCCACTGGGCTATATCTACTGAAAATGCTGTTCCTGCATCCTCCCTCACTGCTTGTTGTTGTCCAAGCTTTTCCAAGATGAGAGCTTCGCAGACATTGTCTTACTTTCTGGGCCTGGCGCCCACTGTGCTGGCACAGTTTGGATTCACTGAGGAGAGCGACACTTTCATTGTTAATTCGGGCGGCGACAATTCCCTGGTCACGACTATTCGCAAGTCCGACTGCGATGTGCGGTCGCTAGTGTATCAAGGAACAGAGCTTCAAGGTCCCCAGGATCAAGGCACACATATCGGATCGGGGCTTGGCAGCGCAAATGTCACTGTTGAAGCCGTAGGCGGTAGGCATCCGCTGTTCAGTTTTGCTGTATGATACAGTAATCTGACCTTTTCGCAGACAAATATGTCAAAGTCACATGCAATGCCGGTACCTTGACACAATACATTGTGGTCGTCTCGGGTCAGAGCAATCTGTACATGGCAACACACATCACAGCAGAACCACAAATTGGCGAACTTCGTTACCTGGCGCGTCTCGACAGCGCCAAATTGCCTGACGAGTACCCGTTCGGCAACCACTCGCACACGGCTGGAAGCACCGAAACGATCGAAGGTTCCGATGTCTTCATCGTAGATGGCGAGACTCGAAGCAAATTCTACTCTTCTCAACGCTTCATCGATGACCACGTCCATTGTGTTGCTGGGCCAGATGCGCATGCCTGTTTCGTCAAGCCTCAGTACGAATCATCCTCTGGTGGACCTTTCTTCCGCGACATCAATTCAAACAATGGCGGCGTGTACACTTCGCTGTCCTTCTATATGAACAGTAATCATGCTCAAACGGAGAAATACCGCATGGGACTGCATGGACCTTATGCACTCACCTTCACAGCAAGCGAAATCCCGAAATTGGAGGACTTTGACTTTTCTTTCTTCGCTGATTTGGACATTGAAGGCTACGTCCCAGAATCTGGCCGCGGCTATGTCGCTGGCGCTGTCAGCGGGATTGCTGATGATGACCAGGCCGTAGTGCACTGGTTCAACACGGAGGCGCAATATTGGACTTATGCCGCCGACGGTAACTTCACCTCCCCAGCAATGAAGCCTGGTACATACACCATGAAGCTCTATCAAACAGAACTGGAAGCCGCCTCACAGAATGTAACCGTCACAGCGGGCTCGGAGACATCCAGCGATATTGCGAGCGGATTGAAAGAACCTGCAACGCGGCTGTGGACGATCGGAAAATGTGATGGCCAGCCTACCGGATTCCGCAATGCGGACAAACAGCTTCGCATGCATCCTTCTGACCTACGTATGGAATCCTGGGGTCCGCTCACGTACACAGTGGGCTCATCGTCAGACAACGACATGGCTATGGCACTCTTCAAAGCCGTTGGCAGCCCTCAGACCATCGCCTTCGATCTAGAGGATGCAGGAGCAGCCACACTTCGCATTCGCACCACGCTCGCTTTTGCTTCGGGAAGACCACAGGTCAAGGTCAATGAGTGGAATGCTCCCGCGCCTGCGGCTCCAGTGAAGATCGACAGCCGTGGTGTCACTAGAGGGGCTTATCGCGGCTTTGGAGAAGCGTACGAATTCGAGATTCCAGAAGGGACACTTGCTGGTGGTAATAACACCATCGAAATTAGTGTTGCTTCAGGCAGCTCTGGGGCAGAATTCTTGTCGCCAAACTTCGTAAGTTGTCTCGCATTTCATCGATTTTCTCCTAGCATCAACACTGACCTTCAAACAGATTTTGGACTGCATCGAGCTGTACCGCTAGACTCTACTTGCGATCATCTGTTAGAACCCATAATATATTTTCCCTGTTGTGTCAGCTTGCTTGCTTACCATCCAGTGGAGCTTACTACCACATGTGCGTGGCGCAAAATAGCCGATTCCTGCATCGACCAGGGTATACATATCCCAGCTGAGCTTGTACGTCACTATCAGTCACTGTCATGAAAATGATCACATGCCGTGCATACTACAATTTCTACATATCAGCAATAGCAAAATTATTCCTTCATCGTGCCCCCAAAAATTGTGCTGTTGCTGCCGCCGCACCTGTTTTTTCTGCGCAAAGTGTACCAAGCCTCCCGCCCCACCCAGCCAGATGATCCTGCCACGACAATGGGCATCCCATATAGTAAACAGATAAATGCCGCTTTCGAGGTGCGCTCTCCTTCATTGCTGGCACCGACTTCCACAGATTGGCTGAAGTAGTAGTAGGAAGTCACACCCCTCGTAGCAGAAGGCTTTGAAGTCCTACAAACAACACGCAACATCACTTTCCTCTTGGCAGAAATTCAAGTCATCACAGTTTTTATGCTCTTTTTCATCCTCATTGCTCTTTGCATGTTACTCATCACATGTAATCCCGATTTGGAGCGTGAGAGACAAGCAATTGTGACGCCAGTTCTGAGATGGTCTGCTGGGTGGATCATGAGTAGTGAAGGGAAATTAAGGATTGGGCTTGTGATTGTTTTCGGGTTGTTGATTGGTGGTGGGATTGGGTATGGGCATTATTGGGCGTATTTTCTGGAGAAGAAGAAGGGTGGTGAGGGTACGGAGGAGGGAGAGAGGGTTGAGGAGGCGGGTGGAAAAGATGTTGAGAGGATTAAGGAGGGCAAGGCGGATCAGTGAAGGACCGATGTGGCGAGACGTGGAGCGTAGTGATGATCGTTGGCAATAGATGGAACGTGGGCTCAGAATAGATTGGAGATGGTGTTTAGCGACTTGTCAGCTTCAGGATCTTGATCATCGGTGCATTTCCACCAATCTCGCCCCTGATATTCTTACATGCGCGGGGATGATTTCATCTGCAAGAAGTAGGTGAGCCATCGCTTGGGGTGCTTTCAATCAGCCTCTGCTTCCGACATGGCTTGCAGAAGGGTCAGAGAGAAGACATAGGGCATGGCGCAGTGCATCTAGGTAGGAGTCACGGAAGGGTCTGAACAGGCGAGTTGCCTAGAACCAAGGCCGTGAAAGCAATGACCTTGCGATGCCCTTGGCCAGCGTGGAGCAGCTGCTTACTGGTATACTTCCACCAATCATACACCTGATGTTTTCGCTGTTGCTATACATGCATTTGTAGATGCTCGCCTCCAGCGCCATCAGGGGAGTCTTAATTTCGGTACGGCTTCGACAAGGACAGAGGAGATGGACGTGGTACGGCCAGGCATAGGAGCTCGGACAGAGCGATATATCATATATCACTTACCAGTCAATCTTCTCAGAGCCACGATCGAACGTGCAATGATCTGCTATTGAACCTGCGACGCCGAGCCTCTTGGGAGTATCAGCGTCGACCTTGTGGAACGCGGAGCAGAGTGGCGATGGAACATCGAGTGCAAAAGCAGCCTCCATTATTCACGTTGACAAATTAGCAATGGATGAGGCTCGCAGAAGAGGCCAACGCATCGAAAAGTCGAGTGCACTGCACTGAGTGAGCGATGCGTCCAAAATTCATCGTCTGACGATGGAGCTGAGCCCTGAGTGCCATAACGTACGCTCAAAGACGGTGGTCAATGCTGTGGTCGGTAGAAGAGCGGTGTCAGCGGCACCGAGATATTGCTGCAAATACCGCCACCCTTAGTAGCAGTAAGGCCAAGTGAATAGATTGACGGTGGAGAATCTGCCACATGGTTGCACTTGCTCGCCGTATTCCTCGTATCTCGTTAAACAATGTGAGAAGCATGAAGCTGGTCCGTGCCTTGAACCGCGAGGTCGAACGTATTTCGCGTCCATAGAGGCGACGTGTGAGCGCACACTATGCTCACTTGGCACCGTCTCATCCATGCATCATTCACCATCTGGCAGTGTTGGCATCACCACAGGCGCGAAAATAGTTTCACCGCGTCGGCGTCCTTTGTGTCTTCTTAGAAGTATTGAAGGATGCCCTCAGGGTGCCCCCACGGATCATGCTGAATGCTGGTCCAGCGATTACGCTAGCAGTGAGGAGTAAGAGCTTACCGTCGACCATGTGGTTTGCCAGAAGCTCATGCACGTCAACGAATTGAGGAGCTCGAAGGTAGGTGAGTGAAGATGTAACCGGAAGGGGGCTGAAACGACCGAGGCGCAGCATGCTGTACGTAATGAATGCACCGGTAGGCCGTCGCAGCGAAGAATGTGAACACATTCAAGTAGGCTGCATTCGTCCCAGGAATTTCATGCTGTGCGACAAGCGCTTGCATAGAAATTTCAGCCTCGGAGCCACTAAGCTTCATGCACCCCAACAGTATAGTTTGCGGAGGCGATGCACCCCAGTCTGATATATAGCGCTGCGAACTTGTAACAGCAACTTTCGGCGTCGAAAGCCCCGAGCAACCGGGGCAATGTTGATCTTTTGACACTTCGGCTACGGCGACGCTATGTTGGTGTCGGTGGTAGAACTTTAGCCCAGGCGAGCTCGGTTACAGCAAAAGCGACGATACCAACAGCCAGAAGCGATCGATAGCGGAGGTGCAGGCTTGTTGTACAGTAGCCAGTGCGGTGTTTCAAGAACGAGAAGCTTTATCTTTTCTGCAATTCACTCTGTCACTTCTCATACCACGTGTTGTGGTTGAATGGAAAGCGACAGCGTTATCGGAGTGTCGATCTTTTTTGCTTGGCATATCCTACCGTCCGGTTGGTGTGCCCGATGTAGAAGGTGTGGAGTCTGACTGACGAGTGACAACACAACTAGACTTTTCGGATACACCGCCAAGCGTCTTGCCATCGGACCGTTTCAGCTAGATGCATTTATATGCGTTCCGAGGAATTTTCTCGTCGAGCGCATACCACGCGGTGGGACAGATAGATGGACGACGCCTTGAACATGGCACCGGTAAGCGGTCAAGGCTCTTCGATATGAGGGCATGACACTCGGTGACACCATCGTCGGGCCTGGCCAGGTAGCAGATCTGGCGATGATTCGTGGAAGAAGCGTCCCTTTTTGTTGTCGCCCTGAGGAAGTCATGCGCACGTCCAGATACACTTTGCTCCACAAAGCTTTGTGCTGTAGGTCAACGCTGGCGCGGACCAAATCTAGTTACCGTGCCGTTTCGATGTGCAAGCAACGACATGAAGGACCCTCCAATACTGGTTAGCGACAGATAATGGTTGCATTGTCACATTCTTGGCTGTTTCGTGCGAAGTCGCCACGAGAGTTTTCCGTCGTTGAAGTTACTCCGTCAGCAATATGTGATGCTTTTGGCGGCAGCTGAATCGATGTCGTTGCGGAGGTATGGCAGATGGGGGTCATTGTCCGTGTGAGGAAGAGGAGTATAAGACTGCGATGTTCGCGACACTCTGCTCGTTCATCAGTCAAGAGAACAACACAGTAACATCACCACCAAGCAATCGCACCGAGTAACTGCCTCAAGCAATCAACATGAAGTTCTCCAGCACTCTTCCTTTGGCGTTCGCCGCCCTCAGCGCTGCTCAGACGCTCAACATTCCTACCCGCGTTGGCAGCATCGTCTCCCTCAGCTCTCCATCGGTCATCTCTGGAAGCAAGGACTTTGGCAACAAAGAGTACGACCGTGGTCGGGACTGCGATACCGATGACGACACTGGCAGCGAAAGCGCTGTCTTCATCCTAGAGAACGGAGCTACTCTGAGCAACGTGAGTTCATGTCCTGCCCGCGAGGGACAAAAGGTGTCGACGAGAAAATCGCTGTTGACATGTTTGCTTGCAGGTCATCATCGGTGCCCGCCAGCTCGAGGGTGTCCACTGCAAGGGAGCTTGCACGCTCAAGAACGTCTGGTTCCGCGACGTCTGCGAGGGTGAGTTGAACGCAGTCTCTCGATGAACGCTCGTGCTGATGAGTACTAGACGCCGTGTCCGCGCTCGGAACTGGTAACGTCCTCATCGAAGGCGGTGGTGCTCAGTCCGCCCCCGACAAGGTCGTGCAGCACAATGGCCGTGGCACTGTCACCATTCGCGGCGGTACCTACGTCAACATCGGCAAGCTGTACCGCGCCTGCGGCAACTGCTCCAACAACGGAGGTCCTCGCAAGGTCATCATTGAGAATGTCAAGGTCAACGGCGTCTCCAGCGATCTTGCTGGCGTAAGTCTTATTCCGAGGTTGCTTCATTTCAGAATTCTAACCCAATCCCAGATCAACGCCAACTACGGCGACACTGCCACCATCTCGGGCTCTTGCGGCAAGTCGAAGAAGACGTGCCAGCAGTACATCGGCGTCGAGAAGGGCAACGGCGAGAGCCCCAAGGATGCCGGAACTGGCAGCTGCCTCGGTGCCCAGGGCAAGCTCAGCAGCCTGCCTGCTTGTTAGACGAGCACTCTGCAGGACCAGAGTAAGAGAGAGTCCTGGAGACTCCGACCGTAGTATCGCCAGAAGAGATCCGTAGCATAGCAAGTACACGAAGGCTGTGTCAGCAGGATGTCCATGTGCATGAGGTCTCCTGAACCTGCCCCACGCGCTGGCTGATGCCAAGCCGTCAGTTATCTGATTGGTTCGGCTCAGGGGAAAATGGTTGCCGAGCCGACCACATGTTCCGTGCTCCACACTCCTTCTTTACAACTTCATCCCATACTTGCACTCGTGGTGTTATATTCCGCTAAATCAAGCTTACTCTCCTACTGTAGCATCAGCCCCAGTATATCGAAAATCCAAGCAGAGATGCGAATCGACAACACGGTATATCGTTCCACGCAACGGCGCTCTCCGCACACAAGGCTCGCATATGGGATCGCCATCGCTTCACTGCATTCGCCGCCCCACTGGCCGCCCCCGATACTCGGAAGTAATTTGGACATAGGCGAACCACGTGGAATATTGAGGAGAAGCGCAAGCGAGGCATTGCTTAACTTGATCACACCATTATCAGCGAGGGCCCTCAGGTGTCGTCTTCGTCTCTTATCATCAACTGCGTCCCGAAGTCTCAACAAACTTGCCTGGCCCACTTCAAGACTCCAAGCACTTGCAGATCGACGATTTCAACAGAGGTGCATGAGAGCCCAATTGCGATAGAAGTCCGGAGAGGGGCCGGACTTCATTCGTGTGCGTGGCCGTTGCGGATCGTAGCGGAGCCTAAACGAATGTCCTGTCCACACCATACCGTTCTGTGAAGTACGTTTGACGGGCTCAAACCGCTCGAATCATGGCTATGGCGATCAGAGCGCGATATTAAGCACGAGGAGAAAATTACACTCACGGGTTTCCTTGTACAACGCACGGCCAAAAGCGACTCTGCGCCACGAGAGGACCTGTAGTTTCCGTGCTCTGAGGAGATTGTGTGCTATGATCTCGGCCCTCCGGAGAACGATGAAGCCGAAGGACCATATTCTGATCTTTCTTCGCTTCGTCGCACTGCCGACACGACCTCTCCATGACTCTAGCCCGTCGAAAGCTCATCGGAGGTGTTGTCGTCAGCGACTTCGTCGATCAAGGAGGGCAACAGCCTCCAAAGCATCCGTCGAAGTCAATTTTCTTTCACCACCCGTCAGGTCTTCCACGTGGCTAATTCCTCTACGAATGAGCGGAAGGTCATATGCATGATCTGCGATCTCCGTTACCTGCAAAGACCAATCCATCGCAATGGCAACAAACGTACGAAGCCAGAAAAGAATAAAATCGTAGCCCTCGCTGAAGATCCAGCTGCGAAGCATTTTGGCGGCGGTCCATCAATACTCCAGAAAGACCAGGTCAATATGTTCAAGTGACGAAGTTATATTGTGCCGCCGCTGAAGCCGCGGCCTATGCGCAAGACCGTCTGTTTCTTCGAGACTGACCGGCTCCGATAGGTGCATCGACAGTTGTCTCCCATCCTTAGCAACTCGGGCCAAGGTTCCGCCAAACACATATTTGATATTGACACAGACGGCGAAGAGCATTGTCGAGTGATCACAGTTCTTCTCTGGTGACAAGGCTGAAGTAGATGCGCATCGTTGTCTTGGTTCCTTAAGCTGTTGAGAACTTGCAGTATCTGACGTAAGCAGCCATTGTGTTCACTTGTTTGCTAAAAGTGGGTCCTCCAAGCCGTCCGTCCCAGAAATAAAGTAGAGAAAACACTTCTGTTGCACAACTAATATCATCCACACACTTGACTCGGAAGCATCACTTGTTCATCTCAGATACCTTTGCTGCAACTTGGACGACTGAACTGGAGAGGCGAAAAACATGACGGCGTTGTTGGCTCTACTGTTGGGCGCCGCTATTGCGCAGGCGAACATTGTATTTCACTATGTCCAGCCTACCTGTGACTCTTCGAGTCTCTCCACCACCGGCTGCCTTCGAGGCCAAGTCTGCCTCTTAAACAACACGTAAGTGAAGCAAACCTTGGTTGAGTAACTTTTAGTTAACACCATCGCAGCTGCGTTCCGGCTTCACTCTCGACTCGAGCTAACGCTCCTCCTCACGAAGACGGCCGGTGCGGCAAAGACTTCGATGATGCCACTTGCGATCCAAAAGGCGACTACGGTGGCTGCTGCAGCTCACACGGATACTGTGGCAAGACTGACACCCACTGTCTGCCCAAGAATGGCTGCCAGAATGGCTGCGAGTCGCCAACTACCTCAGACCCGCCTCAGACAACAGATCATGAGCCCACGCTCGGTCGTCCCACGGAGACTCCAACCACCGACGGTACATGCGGGGCAGAAAATGGCGGTAGTGTTTGCGGCGACTGGGTGTACGGCAGCTGTTGCTCTATGATGGGCTTCTGCGGCAACTCTTCCGCTCACTGCGGCGAAGGTTGTCAGTCCGGACCTTGCGACCAAGCACCTGTTTCTCCGGCGCCGGGCCCCGTTCCTGCTCCTCCACATCCAACTCCTGGTTCTTTCAAGATTGTCGGCGATTCTGGCGTCCCAGCTATGCACGCTGCTTTGATGCCAAATGGCAGAGTGATGTTCTTGGACAAGGTGGAGAATTACACTCAACTGAACTTGCCAGATGGCAGACTTGCGTACTCGGCAGAGTATGATCCGGCTACAAACGAGGTCGTTCCACTGGGCTACAAGACGAATGCGTTCTGTGCTGGCGGTACCTTCATGGCAAATGGTACTCTGCTGTCTGTTGGAGGCAATGGAAATCTCTCATGGCTTGATCCTGGAGTTGAAGATGGCTGGAAAGGCTTGCGATACCTGACAAGATCTGCATCAGACGACGTTCGTGATGGCGAAGATTGGATCGAGCCTGGAAATCAACTCGACACTGCTCGGTGGTACCCTACTGTGCAGACCATGCCGGACGGAACGATCTTCGTAGCATCTGGCAGCTTGAACGGCCTGGATCCGGCGAAGAACGAGAACAACAATCCAACCTACGAGATCCTGGATAGAGATGGTGTAAGCAAGGGCAAGTCGCTACCCATGGAGCTGCTTGTCAAAGCCCAGCCATACTACATGTATCCTTTCATCCACCTCCTCCCGGACGGAAATCTCTTCGTCTTCACCTCGAAGTCCTCAGAGATCTTCAAAGTCGGCGAAGATCGCACAGTCAAGTCATTGCCAGACCTACCAGGCGACTATCGCACATATCCCAATACTGGCGGTTCTGTCCTACTGCCACTTTCTTCTGCCAACGACTGGAATTCAGACATCGTCATCTGCGGAGGAGGCGCCTACCAAGATATCACCTCGCCGACAGATGCTTCTTGTGGCCGCATTGCTCCATTGGCCGAAGATGCAGACTGGGAGATGGACAGCATGCCAGAAGGCCGAGGAATGGTAGAAGGTACGCTCCTCCCAGATGGCACAGTCCTCTGGCTTAACGGCGGGAACAAAGGTGCCCAAGGCTTTGGTCTTGCGGAAGAACCTACTCTCGAGGCATTGATCTATGATCCTGCAGCAAAACTCGGCGAGCGGTGGTCGACAGGAGCAAAGAGCGAGATCCCGAGACTGTATCACTCCGTCGCGTTGCTCCTACTTGATGGTACTGTGCTTGTCGCAGGAAGTAATCCGGTCGACATGCCTGTCATGGAGAAGAGCAAGGAAACTCCTTTTCCGACAGAGTTCCGCGTCGAAATCTATACTCCACCATACCTTTCTGGGGATAACGCGAAGAAGAGACCGGAGAATGTTGTCCTCGAGAGTAAGGAGCTCAAGGCGGATGGCACGAAATTCGAAGTGCTTTTTGACGCTCCAAAGGAAGCGAAGGAAGTCAAGATCGTGTTGTATCACGGAGGCTTTGTGACGCATTCGCTACACATGGGACATCGGATACTGTATCTGGATACCGAGGGATTCGAGGCAGGAAAGGCTGAGCAGAAGCTGGAAGCGGCCATGCCTCCGAACAGCAATGTCGCGCCACCTGGACCGTACGTGGTTTACGTCGTGGTTGATGGAGTTCCGGGCATCGGACAGTTTGTCATGGTTGGGTAGGCTCGAGCACTTGGATGTTGGAAGTTGGATAGCGAAAATGTCTCTGGAAATCGAGAGCTGTCCAAGGTCATCTGTACGCTGGCATGACCTCCAAATGAGTGACGGCCAAGCGGAGCGACACTCAGAATACAAGGATAGACTCTAAATCAGGCGGAACTCCGAGCTGAATGAACTGCTGTTCCATGTGGCCTGCATCGTGGCTCGATCAAGTGTCCTTCAAACGTCCCCACTCAGGTCGCTGCTCGACATGATCTCCCTCCAACACCTTCCCTCTATCCCACTCTCTTTCGCCTTTTTTATTCCATTTCACATCATCGATACTCTTCTCTCCGTTATCTTTTGTACCGTTTTGCCAATTATCTACCTCTGCTTCCGTGAACCCTGCTGCACGAAGTCTTTCTGCTCCGGACTGTTTCCACTTTGCTCGATCTCGCAACGCTTCGAGAGCCATATCCCAATCGTTGCGATCTTCCTCCAGAGCAACATCGGCTTTGGGATCGTATGAGGCGTTGAAATGTGTGTCTATGCTCGTCGGATTCTGCGCGCCTCTGCCTCGCGCTTTAGTTTTCGATAGCGGCTGAGGTCCAATTGGGTCATCGAGAGGGTCAGAGTCGGAGTGAGTCGCGGCGCATTTTTCTCGAGAACGCGATCGTCGTTTATGTCGTTCGCGATTCCTTGATCTGTGCTCTGGAGACTGGGACCTGGACCTGGCTCTCTTGTGTCTACTACTGCCAGGCGCATACCTTTCCAGACTCCTCCTGCGACGTCTGTCACCATCCCTCTGCCGGGGTGATCGGGATCGCGACCTGCGCTTCTCCGTTGACTTGCTACTCTCGTGCCTCGATTTGCGATCGAGTCCATGCGATTCTGTCTCGCTCTTTCTCTTTCCTCGCTGCAGATCCCACATGCGATGTCTTGCTTCTCGCTCTTCCTTTTGCTTCAAAGCAGTATTATGGCTGTCAATATCCCGAACCAGGTTCTTCAAGAAGCGTGCATTTGGTCGCACGCCTTGGCCGCGTGGTCGTGATCGTCCACCAATAGTCGCATTTCCAGAGCTGATGGCCGCAGCATCGCGCTTCAACAGCTCAACGACATAGTCGTCATCGAGGGATACATCGTTGTTAGACATGCTGAGGCGTCCAACGTGAATGCAAAGAGAGTGCAATACGATGGTCGTCGGTTCCTGACCATGACCATGTCAGAGATAAGAGAGCTTATCGGCGCACGGGCACGGGCCGCCATAGCGCGTCACTTCCGAAACTGGAAGTGAAACCAAAACAACGAAATCGCGTCTTCGCGAACAACTCCAAGAACCAACAAGGACTTTCCCTTCGAGTTGTCGCATTGTGATAGGGTTGACTACCTGTTGAAGATTCTTCTTTCTACACCAATCGAGACGCGGTCCTGCGAAGTAACATTGCACACAGTTGCATCACAGCAAGGACATCAGAACAACAATGGAAGCCTCATCGGCTCTCGCCCAACTGCAGCAACCACAAACTCTGTCAATTCTCCATATTTCCGAGCAAGTGATCACGCCTAGTAGCGACTCACAACCAGGGAACACATCGTACACACAACTCGGGAGCAGCCCTTCTGCTTTGGCAGCAGATCTGGTACACTACAAAGAACTGTTCTCCAAACTCCGATTCAGCTATGTCGAGCAGGTCACAAAGGAGCGCTTCCTGCGCGCAGTCGTCGCTTCGCAGCCCGAATTTGTGTCTGCCGAAGAAAACGCCGAATTGGAAGAAGCATTGAAAGCCGACAAGGAGGATTTGAAGGCCAAGAAGGAAGAGGTGACAGTCTTGATTGGCGATCTGGAAGCTCAAGGCCGCTCGCTTGCGCAGCGGTATGAGCAGGTACAACTCCAGACTGCTCAGTTGGAGAGTCTGCCCAAGCAGATCGAGGAGCTGGAGCAGACTATACAAAGGTTGAAGGAGAACCAAGAACCCAAACCTGAAGATGCCGAGATGGCGCTGCCTCTTCACCCCACTCTGGACCTGTTACGACAACGAGAGCAAGAGTCGCAAAGTCTAGATCTTGAGATTGCGAGGCTGCAGGCTGCTCTTCCAGCGAAGAAGGCCGAGGTGCAGAGATTGCAAGATGAATTGGCACCTATACAAATGAGGAAGATCAAGGCTGTGGAGGAAGCCAAAGATGCGAGGAGTCGACGGGAAGGTGGTGGTGGAGGAGCTGATGATTTGGAAGAGAAGGGACGGTGGTTGCGAGGAGTTGAGAGCAGCTTGAAAGCCATGCTGGAGGTTTGAGGAGCGTCTCCAGCGAAGAACAGTCACGAAGAGTTGCGATTTTAGGAGTTCGGAGTCGACAGGACGATACCCTTACAATTACCAGAAAATGTTTGCATTATACTGAAGTCGGATTGCTTTGCAACCTCGATACTCTTCAAAAGCAACCTTTATACCTGACGAACGGTTCGACAAATCGAGAAAGCCGAAGGATAGTTTGTACGAGGCGGACAGTACACCTCTGTTCGTACAAAACGACCATCCCGCATTGGCCGTCCAGCAACGCACGTATCATCGACGCATCTCGATCACAGCTGCTACTCGTCATCAAACATGACGCTGTGGCTCTATGCCATGAGCAGCACTGTACACGTCCAGACCTAACATCTGACGTTTGCTTACGTTCGGCGAAATCCCAAATTGTGCACCGCAGTTCAGGCGACTGGTTCCAAGCTCCAAGCTCTCCAGAGTCTCCACCAACCTCCACATTCGGGGTCAGCTTAGCCTAAGCCGACAACACATCTAGACAACCCAGCGGCAAACTTCATCAGCACAAATTCTTCCACTCTGCTGAAGCTTCAACAATGACTTCCTAAACTCATCCACCCTCTGCAGCTCATGGCCACCGAACCCGACCCCTCAGCCCCAGAAATCCACATAACAAGACCATCCATCATCTCCAAACCCCTCCAAATCGCCAAAGAAGTCATGGCAACTCCCGACCCCACCACAAGCACAACAAAACAAGGCAACCCACACGCCAAATACGCCCAATACCCTTCCCTTCGCAATAAAACAGTCCTCATCACAGGCGGAGCCGAAGGCATCGGCGCATCCGCAACCTCCCAATTCTCCCACCAAGGCTCCCGCGTCCTAATCCTCGACATTTCGGAATCCTCCGCCATAAAACTCATCGAAACGCTCAAATCCCAAGGCGCTTCTCCTCTTCCAGCATTCTACCAATGTGATGTCTCCGATTTGAAAGCTTTGAAATCAACCTGCGATGAAATTTTGAAGAAATATGGAACGGTAGATATTCTGGTTAATAATGCTGCTTCGGCAGGAGGTGCAGCTCGAGCAGGAACTTTCGAAGTCACAGAAGAATCGTGGCAATTCGGCGTAGACGTAAATCTTCGTCATCAATTCTTTCTAACACAATACCTCGTCCCCGCGATGAAAACTTCTGGTCGAGGAGGGAGTATCATAAATATGGGCTCCATTACCTGGCGCATCCCAGCTACAGGACTGCCAGTTTATACAGCTTGTAAAGCCGCTATTCTCGGTCTCACTCGCACGCACGCGAAAGAATTTGGGAAGGATGGGATTCGAGTCAATTCGATTATGCCGGGGAGTATTGCGACGGAGAGACAGAGGAGGGAGGTTTTGACGGAGGACTATGAGAGGTTGACGTTGGAGAGTCAGAGTATCAAGAGGGTTTTAGAGCCGGATGAGGTGGGGAGGTTAATTTTGTGGTTGGGGAGTGAGGATTCGAGTGCGGTGACGGGGAGTAGTTATGTGGTTGATGGAGGGTGGGTTGGGGATACGTGAGTGTGCAGGGTGGGTGGGATGTTGTTAGGAGTGTGTCGAACACTTGCGAGAATTGCCTGAATATGGTAGTTTACTTGTATGTTGCATGCCCTTTCACAAGCTTCTCTCATTGTTTCCAAAGGCTACACCCGCCAGCATTTCGACGCAGGTTGCCACTGCTATTGTCTTGAATTGGAGTATTGAATTCGCCGCCGTCAGCGTCGTGATGTTGATTTTATTGATGGAGTTGCACTAACTACTGTACCCTGCAGTCAAATGGCAAATATGTTTCCATTGAGAACTAAATATCCTTCCCAAAATTCGTGTCAAGATCATTCTATCATTATCGTCAAAACAGGTTTCTAAACCCACGCACCGCGCTATGCCAATGCAAAATCGCTTCAACAGATCTCTCCTTTCCCAAAAGCCAGTTTCTAAGATCAAAACTTCTCCATAAAATTCTTCTTCACAGTCCACATTCTCGCCCTCTTGCCATAGATGTACATGGGAATCGTCGTCAGCATACACGCCAGTTGTATACCTCCAATCGAAACGAAAACGTCCTTGCTCCCCTCGCTTTCCAGCCAATGATTGAAGAACAAACTGAACACCAACCCGTGGAAGATATTTTTGCTAAAATTCAGCGTCACGAGAGCCTCGCCAGCGTATTGTCGGTAAGAGTCCACGGCAAAAGTGATACTCGTTGTTGATCCCAGTGAGCAGCCAAAGGAGATGAAGCCGAAGAAGATGGTGGGAACGATCCAAGCGTCCTTCTCATGAGCCGACCAGCCATAACCCATAAGACCAATGGTAGTGGTAATGGCGATTGGAATGGCCATGACAAGTCGGAACTCGGGCTCGTAGACACCACCATTGCGACGTGCCATCCAGCGGACAATGATATCGGAGACTTTTCCAGCCACAGCTGTGCCAAGAATGCCGCCAACAAAAGGTGAGATGTAGACGAGGCCCGCCTGGAGTGCAGTAAAATTGTAAGTTTCTCTAGTCATGTAGATCTTGCTGATAGATTCGGACAGAACAATAAGCCAGCCAATGGAGAGCGCGTACACCAAGGCAGACCATAGGATGCTCGGATAGGCGAAGAGAATAAAAGGCCGGATCATCACTCGTAGCCAGGAGGAGTCTGACAATCTGCCAGAGTACGGGCTGAGCGACTGTACCCAAGTCTTTGGCGGTTGAGCAGCGTTTTGCTTTGTGTATTCGTTTCGAGGGTCTGGAACATCCGCAAAATCTTTTGCCTTTGGTGTGAAGACCTGAGCTTCGGCAGCGGCAGGGTCGGCAGGAGGAAGGCTGAAGTAGTCATCGTGCGGGACATGTACTGGCTGTGGCGGCGATGGAGTGGTGCGCCCAGCTTTGGTCTCATCAGACGCAGCCTTCTCTTGTGATATTCCATTTCTGTCTTGCTCGTTGTTCAATACATCATTTTCAAAGTGTGCTGCACGTCTCTTCTCACCGTCGCCTGGGATTTCCGTTGCCTTTGCAGCAGGTCGTTCGGTACGGGACAATTCCGGGCTGGGAGGGCTCGATCGGATGATGGAGCGCGAAATGCTGCGAACGCTTCTCAAAGGATGCCTGTGCTTGTGTGGAACTGGAGTGCGATCCCAGAAAGTCTCGGGGACAAAGAAAAAGAGTAGAAACCAGGCGAAAGCGACAATGATAGCGACCATCCAGAACACCCACCTCCAGCCCAAGCTTTGGATGATGGCAGCGCTAACCAAAGGCACCAAATTCTTGCCACCAAGTAAGAGAAGAGTGTAGATGCCCAGTCGGTAGGCTTTTTCGTGCAAGAAGTAGATCTCTGCAACAGTGGCAGACGGCAAGCACTCGACGGAACTCACCGCGATACCCTGAAAGATACGTGCGGCAACCAAACTGCCAAAGTTGGGCGACTTGGCACACCAGATGGAGCTGAGGATGAAGCAGATGGCAGCAGCGAGGTAGACGGGGCGCTTGCCAAACAAGATAGCCGTCGGACTGAGCACGACTGATCCAAGACCCAATCCCATCATGTACAGACCCGTGGTCAGGGCGACTCGAGGCTCGGAGACGTTGTACTCCTCCGATACGTCGTGAAAGCCAGCAGCCAGGATTGGTGTCATTCCTCCTCCAACCATGCAATAGAAGCCGAGCGAGAGCAAGGCGGCGTCTCGTCGCCACATTGCCCAGTTCAGCGGGTCATTCAGGCTTTCATCAGGCTGTGGCTCCAGCACAATCTTGCCGTCTGGCGTCTTTTTCTTTTCCGGCACGTTCCATCGAACCCTGGCCACAGAGCTCGATCTCGAGTGCGAACCGGGGCGCGGGGATTGGGGAAAGGAGGAGGCGGAGGTGCGAGCGGGAGCATTCTTCATGCCCAGCGGCGCGTTGTATTCCGAGGCTTTGCTCAGGAGCAGGATGGAGCCGGGGACTTCTTCTGTGTCGGCGTCCAATATGCCCATTGTCCATTTGCGGCGAGTGCTAGCACGGTCGGGTGTGCTGCTGTTCTGTCTGCTCGCCGAGCGCGCCTTCTCCACGTCGGTGGACGCATCGTGCCCGTCTGCCATGGCGTGTCGAGCGGGGCAGCGGTGAGAGGAGGAGGAGGAAGAGGAGGGGTGTAGATCTATGTCAGTGGGAGGAAAGCAGCAGCAGTGAGAGAGGAGCAGGGCATGGTGTAGATGATATACGAAACGGTGAAATGCTTGGGAGCACGCCAAAGTGGCCTCGTGAGGACGTGACCAAGGGAATCCTTCTCACCGCACGTCGCAGGGAGCGCGCAGCAACGACGTCTGGTTGCCCGAAGAAGCTGTCGCTCGCGCTGCGGCATGTCGTATCGCGGCGGGATTGGATTGGCGCGAGATACAGTGCGTGCACACGCTTCGTGAGTCGCGCGCTGCTGATGCGGTCGGTGTCTCTGCACATGCTGCCAGATGACGATCGCAGACCGGGATTCCGTCGACGACCCGCAGCTCTTCCGCGTGCCGATTTATCACCACCCACAAACCACACCCTCTCCGCCAACACCCCCCATCCTGATGATCGACGTCTCGTGAGCTTGTGCAGCTGCAGCTCACCCATCCTGGCCTTCCTTCCTGGGCGACCACGCCATTATCAACCATGTCCGCAGCTGTCACAAGACGAAGCGTTCCCTCGTCAGGCGCTGCAGAATGACGACAAGCAACGCCCGTCTTATCACTCATCGTGTGTGCCGGGCGAGCATGCGACACTATGTACTCACGAACTCCATGTGCAGACCATCTATCGTGCACATGTCTACAAAGTACGTACCGTCTCGGAAACCACTCCGCCCAGCATCTGAAACAATGACCCGAAATCGTGGTAATAACCCGCACTCCGAACATCTATACTCATACTGCTCCAACTCCCTGCGACAAATCGCAAAGCAAATTGATGCAGCACGCAAGGACAGAACCCTGAAACGCACCGGACCTCGCCAGATCTATCGAATGATATCTACACATGTGTTCACCACGTCAGTAGTACAAATAACCCTCACTCCTACCATACGTTTACGAGAGAAAGTCCTACTTCCTCACTTCCTCAAAGAGAATCAGACTCGCGGATCGAACCGGACCGATGGGCTATCTGCCCTATGCAACTGCAGAAAGAAGAAGGTAGGTGTCAGTACCGCACACGATTCCGGGGATTTTCGATGTCCATCGTTCCGCTCCTCTTCCTCTCTTTGGTAGGTGGTTTTTCCTTCCTATCACTCTAGATTTCCAGGATTAGCTGTTCTCAACAATTTTGGTTTTCCGGGACTTACCGTTTCCTTGCATTGGCTGCGCTGCTGAGCAGAAACCTATTGTGGGATGGCGCAAAAGAAAGAAGTCAGCATAGTTGGCAGTGGGGAATGGGGCCTACCTGTATATGCATTGTCCTATAAGGTGAAGCGGATGCATCATTGGGTGCCTGGGAATTTGGTGTGTCAGTTGGAAGCTCAGCAGTGGAGTTGGGGGTTACCTGGGGAATCCGAGGAGTGGAGGCTGCGAGGCCTAGTATGCGTGTTGTTGTAGATGACTGGCGAGCGTCTTGGGGAGAGGAGGAAGTTGGTGTTGAGAGAAAGTCGTGGGTTAAGTATTGCGATGGTGAGGTGAGACAATGGCTATCTGCTGGTGCTAATTGGGGATAGACAAAGCGACGTGAGACAAGAATGCTGTATTATCTGCTTCGCAAGACAAAAGAGACCGACACGTTTGCTTTGTGTCTGGGTTGAAACGATGTTGTAGACAAAGCATAACTGGTACGTGTCTCAAGCACCTACAGAAGACAATCTCGCTTTCGCAGCAGTAGAGCTCGACAGACAGGGCGATTGTCTTTGAAACAAAGTACCGGCAGTCTTCGAGCGAGCGTAACGTCAAGCGGACTGGTAGAGACGACTGTCAGACACTTTGATTGCCTTCGAGGCTGAGGAGTCCTCAACAGACACTTACGAGGAGAGCACAACGCAAGTGAGCTCCAGAAATTTGCCCGTGGATTGAGCTATCACAGCTTGTTACGATACTGACAACAAAGCACCGAAGATAGTTGATGCCCATAAAATTTGGAATTACCATCTTGACGACAGCAAGCTGTTTTTTCAAGGCGAGTGAATGCATCAACAGCAAATCACGCTTTCTCCAAAGATGCAGCAGCTTCTCAGCTCCCGATATGGGCCACAGCCATGAACATGGTTTCACGATGACTAGAAGCCTAAGAAGAGGCTGATAAGAGTCAGCATGTGAGCTTTCACGAGTAACAGGTGTTGGGAGGCACACACGTTAGGCTTCCCACAGTAGCAAGGATGCGAGGTATGGAGGGAGTCTATAATGTTGATCGGAGAAGTGGCAGGTTTTAGAAGTGGCACCATCGTCTTTTGCTGCTGAAAGGATATTCTGCAGGCTACGTGGAGCAGCCTTGAAGATTTCGCCACCAAGCAGAGCTCGGAGGATATCTTCGATACACCGCCCCAGTTCTTGTCCAGTTAAGCTCCTAGACTGGGCCACCAGGAAACCGGTTTGTTACGATTCTTCGTAAGGGATTTCCAGCTCTCAACGGGAACATTTTCGCCGCCCGAGTGCTGGGCAAGTTCTCCCGTCAACATGTCCATCGTCAACCTCCAAGCTCTCCTTCACCCTCGAAACATGCTGCAGCGAATCTCCTCCATCACTCTTCATCCTCAGCATCACCCATCTCCTCGTCCTGATTCTCCTCATCCTCCTTCTTGGCATTCTCCCACGCAAACTTCGCCTCCGTATCTTCACAGACAATCACAGATCCCAGCCCCGTAATCTGCTGCAACGATTCGCGCACTGTCTTCTCAGCCGATAGCGTACCGCGAGTATTCCACATTTCGAAATTGGCAAGGTGCAGTTTCTCAAGACTCGGTTGCTTGGCAACCATCTGCACGAGATCTTGCGCTTCCATGCGGCCATCATCGAGAATCAGCCTACGCAACGAGGGCATAAGACGAGCCGAGAGCAGGGTTCGCGCGAACAGATCCGTTGGCAGAGTGCGCTCTACATCCTTTGTAGGTCCGTCGATGAGATGGATTGTTTGAAGATATGGTGCTCGGGAAATGACTCCGACTGCCATGCTGACCGACGGGTTAACGCGATCGGATCCATTAGACTCGAAAGTAAAAGGAGGTTCGAGTCGGATACTCAGACCGAGGTGGCGGACACTCTGAAGCACCATCTCGAAATTGCGCAAGTGATAATCTCCGGCACCGATCAGCTTTGCCATGCAATACTGAGAGTCGACAAGGTAGAGTCCCTGAAGCTGGATGCCGCTAAGACTCAATGCTTCGAGAAGGATGTAGGTGTTGTCTTCGGGGTGAGAACTGTCCCGGAAGAATTGCTTGGTCATCTTTTGGTGTTTTCGATAAGTTGAGCCGAGCACCGGTTTGGGTCCATAATCCGCGTTGCTCGTGTCAACCAGAAATACGCTGTCGATATTGCAATCTCGACGCAGCGTGGAGAAGAGCGCCGTCAACAAGAGGTAGGGCCTCTTTGAAACGCGAAACTCTTGTTGTTTGTCCTGAAGGGATTTGCCGCCGTTGAAGGCACGGGTACTGTAGTGCGAAGCCAAGTTGAGTTCATCTGTGTACAGGCATAGTTTGCGAATGGCAGTTCCGAACTCGCGGGTTTTGGCGATCGTGATTGCTTCTTGCAGCCCCTCTTCGTCGTTCAAATTGAATCCGATGGTCTGGAATGTGTGAGCGATGAAAGTTCGTTTGGTCTTTGCGAGCATATTGTAGTTCGTGGCGCGAAGATGACCAAGGTCTTCGCAGCAGAGGTTGTCAGCGGCCATCTCGAAGATCTCTTGTGGAAGAGAGTCGAGGGTGGGAGGGTCCGCCACGGGTGTCGCCATTTTGGCTGGACTCGAGTTGCTGTAATTCAGTGAGATGTGTTACTCGATGTGAATTGAAGCAGTAGGATTGGTCGAAGTGATGTTGATAATGAGCAGAAGAGACTTGGAGCTTTGTACGTGTGGTGGCCGGAGATGATAGCGAATCCATGTGTCGCGGCGAGTGAAGCGCGACGGTTTAAGTCCCGAGTAGTGAACTACTCATGTGTAAAGTCCCGTGACCTGCCGCTCCAATCACTAAAGTCAAGCTGTGGGCATCCGCAACGCTGCAGGTATTATCTTTGAAGATCTTGCGCGCTGAGAGCGAATTGTCTCAGGGCATCAATCCACCAGCCAGGTGAGCTGCTGATCTGCACATCGAAGCAATATTTCATCTTCCGAATCAAACAGCTGGTCTTCAGTAGCTTGGTCGGTCGTGATATGTATTAGGCTTGGAAACAATCTACCCAGGGCTGCCTTTTTGCTTTCCCCCTCCATGATGAGCCCTTTCCTGTCGAGAAAGTACCAAGAGTGGAGCTCCAAGGTACGAAGATTGGATTGCAACTTCAATATGGCTGCAAGGTCAGTGATGTCCATTTGACCTTTCTCAAGAATGAGGTTTTTGAGCTTGGGAGCTTGTTCAGGAGCAGAGTCCCAACAAACCACTGTACGGGCTTTCTGTAGCAAGGGGTCCATGCATCAACATGAAGGCACTCCAGTTGCAGTGCGGTGCCCAAGATAGTTACGACATCGTGCATGTTCCATTGAGGTCGTCCCCATCTCGACGCTTCCCTGGCAGCATCGATGCGAAGCTTGGGCAGAGTCTCCAGCAATTTCTTGAACAAAGGAAAGATGGTCTGTACCGTGAGGATCTCGCCTCGCAGGGGGCCAAGCAGGCCAAGCTCAGCAACCTCAAAGACTTTACTACCAAGGAGAGCTCGAAGAGTGACTCCGATGCACCACAGTGGCCCTTGCTCGGTAGTGCTCCCTCGATAGCATTGACGACTGTTGAAGACACTCTCATCTGTGGGGTTGGTTCCTGCGAATTCGCTTCCGAGGATGGGACGTGGGCGTGTGGTGAACGATTCCGTCCTAACGGTGATGCTTTTTAGCTTGCCTCGCACCTTGAGGAGCGAGAGCAATTTGGTCAGGAGTTCCAAATCCACACCTGAGCTTCGCATATTCTGTTGTCGTAGGCAACGCTCGAACTGTGCGGGATCAGGTAGCACAGGACCTGTCAGTGCCGGTTTCAACGGAATCGAGTCAGGTTCGCATTCGCAGCATTGGTCCATGTAGATCGATACATGGTGGATCGCGTCACGGTACACAGGATGGCTTGCCACATTGCATGCCATTTGGAGTCCTTCTTCGTCGCATACGAGGACGCCCATGTTGTTGAAGGCGCGTCTCACAAACGTGCGCTGAGTCCTCTGGAATAGTTCCTGGTCGACGGACCGGAGACCGCATAAGTCGTTCACACTGATGTGTTCAATGATGAGCTCAATCAGTTCTTGCGGAAGTGGTGAGAATGGCGATGAAGACCGTGCTTGCTCGAAATGTTCGTGGCTCATGCTCGCGCCTGCGTCTGCATGTATCGTTCCTCCTTCTGTTCTGAAACTCATCGTTGAGGGCAGGAAGTCCCGGAGAAACTTGGTAGTCATTGCGAACCCAAGTGCCGCGTAGTGGTCTCTACTATACTGCTTCGATATTTGGCGGCGTGGAGTGGCGTGATAGTAATAGCTTAGAGCTGTCAAAAGAGTAATCGAGCTGGAATGATGTTGACGATTTTTTGGCAGTGACGGTGGTACGCAACTGCACATGGAAGCGACCTCCACCGACACGCCTGGGAAGGAAGCAAGGAAAACCCCATGTACCTCGCTAATTCAGATGCACAGCATACTGTGTGATGCGGGTGTCGTCTTGTCATACCAACATAGCGTCGAGCACACAAGCAGTAAGCAGGTAAAGAATCTATGGCAGTACAGGCATGGCTTGCATAATCAGCGAAAGGGGGTTGAAGTCTTGCATGTAGAGTGCGAGAGCCGAAAGTAGCCGGCGGATGCATCTGCCCGAGTGAGTGTATTTCCTTGTCGCAGGTCCAGCGAGCGAGATCTTAGGCTCCAGTGTTCCCTTTAGGACATTTGTGGCTTTGGTTGAGGCCCTATAAGAACCAAAGTTGGAATTTGCTTCTTGCTACCATCAAAATTCGATCTCACGTATATATTCTTCCCCGCCCGCGCTGTCCGGACTTCTCTCTCCACACAACTTCTAGCGACCTCTTTCGACGGCACAACGATACTGCCAACCATGAAGCTCACGAAACTCTTCGGCCTAATGCTTGCTATGCTAGTGGGACCATCACTAGCTACAAGGAAGCAAGTATGGTCTGCAAAATCTCACGGCGCCGCCAACACAACAGAACTCTCACAATGTGTCATAGAAATGGGAGAATTCCTATTAGAAGAACCTAACGGTATGACCTCTCCATTGAGGCTGTTATGACCTATACTAACAGCTGCTCACAGACCGCCGCTGGCAGGGTTACCGCTGCGGGAACGAGTGGTTCCAGTACGGGAGTAACAGAATATCTTCAGGCCGGTCGAATCTCTTCATCTTTGAGAAGTGCCAGGACGATGTTATGAACGCTGCGTACTCTGGCAAGGACTGGTTTCAGTGCTACCTGCATGGTATGTGGGGCGGCGGCATTGTCGCATACTCGCCACTGGGCTACAAAGCGTGCTTTGGGAAAGGTCACAAGCCATGCCAGAAGATCCCCAATGTCGGCGTCTGGGGCGAGGAAGTGTCTTGAGCGATGTCAAGAGGCACGGTTGCGGATATAGGTGTCTCTGAAGACATAGCGACTTCGAAGCCCACGAGGGTGGCTGTGGCTAAAACAAGTGGCTCAGAGGTTGCTAAGAGACATGACCACGGGTCCGTTTCCCTCGGGGTATCGACGAGCTTATATGCCCACCGAGTTGAGAACGGCCAAAAAGGGCCCCAAACCTTGTGGAGAGATATGGTTGAGGTATATAGCTCTCTCTGAATATCAAGGGCCCTCTCTGCCACTCAGTCTAGCCCAGACACAGACTCATGCCGCCGTGTTGCAGTGCAGCGGTTGGTACCTTCCATGTGCAGAGCAAAAGTGAAGGCCTCTGCAACGCCAGACCCGGAGGGTTTGAGAGCTTAGAATCTGCATTTGGGAGCTTCTTGCAGCTGACTCACACTCGATGCTTTCCGCGATGTAGAGGAGGTCATCTGGCGCAGTGTCTTCGGAGCAAGGTCGGATGGATGACTTGCTTGTGCTGTCTGGTCAAATGTTACAGGAAAGGCCCCGTGTCAGTTGCGCTTTTTGTGGAGTGTAGTTATACCGGTGAGAGAACTAGCTTCATTGAGAGGAATGTAGGGGTCTAATGTATTTCCCAGAGCTACTGCTACGATTGTCGTGACGGGCAGCCTGGTCGTCTCCATGGCCATGGTTCAGGTAGTGCATGCCGCAGTACTTACTGCTGTGAGTCGTCGAACTCACGGTCTGCCGTTTCCCCTCTTACCCTCACGGTACAACTCGTATTCGTACGACGAGAACAAGAAGGGAGCCACACCTTTGAGGTCATTCTCGAAGAGAGGCATGCTGGCGTAGTACTACGGACGTTAGTCAATAATCAAGACCTTCTGCGTGCTGGTGTACTTACCTCGAATGTTCCATTCGAGCTCAGACTCCCTGTCTGTGCCGTCCACTCCCAGAACAGAGCACCATCCTCTTTTCTCGGCTGCGCGAACGTCTCGGTCATAAGCTCATAGCCATCGAGAGCAGCTTTGAGATATTTCCGGCCACTCAAGTACCCGAGACGGACACCCTTGAGCAGGCCGTAGACGAACATGGCAGATCCAGAACTTTCGATGTAGTTGCCGGATTTCTTCTCGAGGCCAGGATCCATCACATTGTACCACCCCTTGTAGACTGGATCTTGAGCTGCTACGACAGCATCGGCAACCGATTGGAAGTACGCAAGCAGTCTTGCGCGACCCTCGTGACTCTCAGGAAAGTAATCGAGTGTGTCAACAAGAGCCATGATGTACCACCCGACAGCTCTGCCCCATACGTGAGGCGCAGCACCAGTCTCTGGATCCGCCCAGATAGAGTTCTTGCTCACATCGAAGCCGTGGACCGGAAGCCCATTGGTCCGTTCCCTGTCAACCAACGTTCCAGCATCGATGAGATCGAACTGCAAAGCAATGTCATCCCAAGCAGTGTTGTTCTCAGGTTGGAACTCGTGAGTCCATCGAGCATAGAACACATCGAGCATGTAGATACCATCCAACCACATCTGATCGATGTAGACAGGATATCTATGGTAGAAACCACCATCTGGCGTCCGGAACGAACGATCAATCTGGTCCTTCAGGCTGTCCGCGGCGATTTTGTAGATCTCCTCGCCCCCGGTGAGATTGTACATGTCCAAGAAAGAGTGGCCAAAGCGGATGTCATCGATCGAGTTGCTGTTGTTGTGTAGCAGGATCTCGCCGTTCCATGCTGGATAGAGGACAGTGTCGACATGTCGCTTGACATAGTCCCGGTACCTATCATTACCAGTCCTTGAATATGCGAGTAGAACTCCCGAGAGGTATGCCGATACCGTGTAAGCGTAGGTTGGTTCTACACCGTGTTTGATCTGGGAGTCGGCCATCCAGGTGAGATAGCGAGGCTTGCCATGAAACCTCCCTGGATCAATCTTCTCACCAGGAGGGATCCTGAACCATCCGTTAGGAAGTTCAATCTTGGCTGAGGCGACAGCGGCACTCGCGCCAGCTAAAGCAAAAGTGGCGATGAATCTCATGTTGGCTGAGGGCTGAAGATGTTGATTTCTGTGCCACCAACGACCTTATCGTCTCATATATAGTGGCTCCGAGAGTGGACTGAAGCTCTCATAGCCTCGGAATATTATCAGAAGCCATGTTGGCCAAGACGACTTCCAAGGTCTTGAGTGAAGCTGCAGGCGTGGATACGGTGCGCCACTACTGGGAAGAACATATCCCTCATTACGCGTGAGTGAAGAGAATGTCTGTGGCCAGTGATGTAGCAGGCTTCCCCGCATACGCTTTGCATATCAGATGCGATCAGACGCAGCGCTGTGACTTGGTTTGGGGGCACAATACAGAACGTTTGAGCTGTATGTGCGGAGATGGTGCTTGGCAACAGACGGTCTCCACTAGCGGGACAGATGTGGCCGAGCGAACGTCTCCCGGCCTGATATGTCTTTGAGAGACTAAGGCATATGAGCTCTTCAGCTTCGTGAAGTCAGAAATCTCTGAACCATTCGTGCTCTAAAGCCTGGGGCGCCGTCAATCTTTCCTCCGGGTCGAAATTTGTGAGCCCAAGAACGAGATCTTTGAATGAATCTGCCTGTTCCACGTCGATTCCTTCCCAGAGCCGGAATGGCCTTCTGGGCTGACCTTCTGCAAATGCGCTTGCGACTGCTGTGAAGATTTGGACCCATTCAGAGTTGTCGCCGAGGTATCGAAGAAATGCGTTTAGATCTTTCTCCTCCTAGACCAAAGGAGAACATATCCGAAGGCTTGCGAACTGGCCCCATCGCGTGAGCTTCGGGACTCCGCCACATCATGTTGCCGACTTGTGCACCCATAACGGCTGAGTCTGGATAGTGGAGATAAGCTGCGTCTTCCAGATCTACCAGTCGGACTCTCTCAACCTTGAATCCACATTCCGAGGATGCCACATCGATCATAGTGTTGTTAGGCTTAACATCTGCCCAAGCCTTAGCACGGCATTTCAAAATGGACTGATGCGCGCCATGGCTGGCGACTAAGTCAGCGCGTTGTTCCGCCGATGCCGACAGATCATGCACCTTGCACGGCAAACGCGTGTCAGCGGATGTCCCTTGTCTTGGATGGTCTCATGTATTGTATAGACGCGTTCAGAGTCCCCGGTCACACTTTCGGGAATGGTGAGAATCCTTTGCATGAAAGGGGCCAATTTCTGGCGAACGCATGGCTAGTGACACGGCGGATGTGCTGATTGTGGTGCTTGATGAACGACTTGGCCTGAGAGGCGCAGAGCCAGCGCATGTGGTCGGTTGAGTGGTGGCAGCGAGAGCGAACAGAATTGCGAGGTCGTCAGAAGCTGCTGGGTGACCATAAGTCGTGGCAGTGGACAAAAGTCGCGACATCGAATCTCCTACTCCACGCCTTGAGTTCGTGGCTCATCTCCATCCAAACAATCTCGCTTCGCATCACTTCCCACAGCTCGACGAAGGATTTCAAGTGCAGCAGAATGCAGCTCTGGTGCGTCAAGGAGGCGAGCTGCCGGTTCTCGCGAGGGCATGCATCAATGCGCGTTTCCAATGCAATATGTGCATGGCAGCATACAAGACACGCACATGAACGAGGAAGATGATTACTGCGAAGATGCAGAGAAATGCCGCCAGCACTATCAGGCTGATGAGTACCATCTATGTACGTGGCAGAGATGATGGTATACCTGGGACATGAACATCTCGAGCCTGCGGTTGTGGCCTGTCGTGTACCGCAACAGGCGTGGTCGAGATCCAGAAACGAGCTGGTACTGGTTTCTCTACCTGTTTCGGCCAGCCAAGATGTCGTGCAAGCCTTGAGTTCGCCTACATGCATTTCCGGATAGGATATGCAGAGCGGAAGCTGCGGAGAAATATCCGACCTTGCAGCAGTTTTCCTCTCAATACCACACATTTGACTGCAAGAGTTGCACGTATTTGGGGGTCACCGTCACACGGACAGTTGCGTGCTTGCCCGAAGCGCCCGGATTGTTCTCCGGAGCGAATTGTCTGACTCTAATAAAGCCCACAATGCTGGGGACACTTCAAAGGAAGCGGAGAGACATGACTTCAGACCTATCTTGGAGTAAACGAGGATAGCCACGCAGCTGCAGATGCACGCTTCTCCGCAGCAAAGCTACCTAGCCAAGCCGGAAGAACTACTCGCTACAGGCTTGGTTGTTTCCAAGACCTGGGGTGCCCATGGGGTAGCTCGACTGACTCCACACACGGTCAGCTTCACAACTCTACTTATGTCGATCATGTCGCCGGGCCACAGTCATCTCTCTGCCTTTAACGTATCTGCAAGCTCGTAAACTTGCCGCAGTTGTCCCTTTCGCCGCCATGGCTCATATTGAGAAAGATGGAAAGCACGAGGTGGAAATGCACGAAATCATGCCCGAGAAAGGCATAGATGGAGTCGCCGTGGAGAAAGACGCGTTCGGTGCGCGCAAGAAGATCGATCCCAAAGAGATCAAGCTCGTGAGAAAGCTCGACACATACATCATGGTCAGTCAACAACTGTGATCGTGGTGTCAGATCTAATACTTCGCAGCCTACCCTCTGGATCATGTACTTCTTCAATTTCTTGGACCGCAATGCCATGATCAACGGCAAGCTAAACGGTTTGGACAAGGACCTTGGCCTCACTGGAACGCAATACAACACATGTGTTTCGATCCTCTTTGTCGGGTATCTCCTGGGACAAGGTGAGTTCCGAAACTCCTGTACCTTTGGCCAAAGCTAATATCCCCCTTGTGCCTAGCAACATGCTTCTGAACAGAGTCCGGCCATCTATATTCATGTCCGGCTTCATGATGGCGTGGTCAATCGTCAGTCTCTTGACCTACCTATGCCACGACTTCGGCACGATGCTGGCCTGTCGATTCTTGCTCGGAATTACAGAGGCTCCGTTCTATCCTGGAGCATTGTATATGATCAGCATGTTCTACACTAAGAAAGAGTTGGCAACCAGAATGTCCATCATGTACACTGGCAACATGCTTGCAAGCTCCTTCTCTGGACTCATCGCAGCACCAATCTTCTCTGAACTGGATGGCGTCAACAGCCTTTCTGGATGGCAGTGGCTGTGAGTTCACTCTTCTAGGCCATGGTACGACAGAAACTGACTGCGTGCAGATTCATTATCCAAGGAGCATTTTCCATCGCCGTCGCTATAGTTGCGATATTCGTGCTGCCAGACAGCCCGCTCAAAACTCGTTGGTTGACTCACGAAGAGAGACAGCTCGCTCATCATCGCATTTTCGATGACACCACTGGCCGAAGATCGGAAGACTCCAGCGTGTGGAAAGGCCTGCGTGAAGCAGTCATGGATCCCAAGACATGGCTGTTCTGCCTCATGGACAATCTCCACCTCTCTGCGAACGGTTTCAAGAACTTTCTTCCATCTGTGGTCAAGACATTGGGCTTCAACACGACTATCAGCCTTGCTTTGACCTGCCCGCCATATCTTGTTTCCGGCTTCATCAGTATTTGGGTGTCCTGGAGCTCGGGCCGCTACAACGAGAGGACCTGGCATACCACCATCTCGAAGCTTGTCGCCTGTGTCGGGTTCGCCGTTGCCGCTGGAACAACTAGCGTCGCAGGCCGTTACGTTGGCATCATGTTGTTCGTAGGAGCGACATACGGCGTCAACAATATCGTGCTATCCTGGGCCGCATCAACACTCGGGGAGACTGATGAGAAGAAAGCTGTCGCCATCGCCATGACCAACACTTTTGGCAATCTGGCATCTGTCTACACACCCTACCTCTGGCCGGATTCCGACTCCCCTCGCTTTATCAAGGCTTTCTCGGCCAGCATTGCTTTCTCGCTCGGCGTTTGTATCTGCGCGTGGGCCATGCGGATTATTCTGATGCGGAAGAACAAGAAGCTGCTGAGAGAGAACCCAGGGGCTGTCAAGTTGTGGGTGTACTAAGTGCTTGCGGCTGACCAGGAGTCGATGCTCGGACGAACGATGTCACTGGCAAATGCGACCTTGTGTGGGTATAGCTGACGCTTCAACCCTATTCTACGCACTGAGTCTCAAAAATTTGCTCTATCCTCAATGCTCTCACGATTGGAACCCACGATGCCTGTTTGCTTACACTGTCTTCGGAGACAAATTGGTGCCGTGGACGCCCTTGCGCCGATGATAATGGCTTTTGTGGGGTTTATCGTTCTTCAGCGAAATCGAGCAGGGCGTCGTTGACAGCTAGATGAACCGGACAATGATTTCGAACCATGCCGAATCTGCCAACGACGCACCTCTCTATGTCTATAGATACTAATCTTTCTCTCTCGATGCTGAGTGCCACTATCCGAACACTGCTGCTCTCAAATCCTCCAAGGAGAGCTCTTGCAGTTTGGAATTATTCTCCGCCACGAATCGAAGTGCCTTGATACAGATTTCAACCAATTCGACCTTGCATCCATTGCTCCTCTGTTCATCTAGCCACTTCTCATGAAAGCCGATTGCCACAGTGGCTCCATCTTCTCCATGGCGATTGGCATTTACGAAACACATGTGGAAGGCGCGCATGGACATTGCTTCTGCCTTGACACCGGCGATGAGGGGGCCGTCGTTGTCCGCGGAAGACGATTCATCTTCCACGTCGTTGTGAAACCTCCAGGTGAACGCAGCAGTATGGCAAGCGAGTCGATCCATCTCGTTGAGGCAAATCTTGCGCTCGCGGATCTGTGTCATAGCCTTGAAGTGAAGCAAATATGTCCTATTCACCGGGCTCATTAGCATGTTCATTGACATTCCTTTTTTCTTTCACAAAGCTCAACCCGGCGTGGACTCACCATAAATCTCTCGCTGCCAAATCCAAAACCAACGGCTGGGGCTGATAACTCCCAGTCACCGCTCTCACGCTATCCAGCCGCTCTCCGTCTCCTATCGTCCTCAATGACACTGCGCGGTCGTACACCACACTGCCGCTCGTGAATACAGAATCCCTCTGAGATAGCCACAAGGCCAGACTCAACGAAAATACCGCCTCCACGACAAGCGGAAGAGTCATATCTAGCACAACAGTCAGGTCACGGAATGGCGCATTGACCGACTGCATGTCACCAAGAGGCACCAATTGGTCCTTCGTCCAGGCTTCCGGATTGACGTACGCAGGAGCTTTGATTTCACTCCACTTCTCTTCCCTTTTCATCGAAGCAACTTCCTTTTCCCAAAACTCCAACGCCGATGCCGGATCGTGTCCGATTGGGAAGCGAGACACGTAAGCAGAATAAGGAGTATAGTGGTCCAGCTCTTCGTTCTGATAAGCTTTGGAAATCGTGTCGAGTATCAACCGCCGTCCCTGCCCTTCTGTGAACAGATGCGATTCGATGAAAGCAAGTTCCAGCTCCAGACTATCTCCTTCGCCGATCGAAACAATGTACAAGACAAGCGTTCGAGTTCCGACCCGATGGCGATACGTGGAAAGTTCTTCATCCATGAGCTTTGTAGCTTCCTCTTCCGCTGCACAGGAGAACTCCCGGATCCGCGGGGAATCTGGGTTCGAGTATTCCGGCTTCTCCTGTAGGATGATCCAGCTGGAAGCAGAGTCATCGTAGCCCAGCTTCCAACGAAAGGACTCCTCGTGCTGCCGGACTTTACCTAAAGTCTGCAGCAAGCGAGCTTTGTCAGTGCCGTTTGCTAGACGATAGCGGTTCATTTGCCACACGTCGTTATTGTCGAGATGTTCCTTCTTGGTAGAGCCTCGTAAAACTTTGAGATACATGTTCTGATTCGCAGAGAGAGGGATGGCGTCTTCGAGATCATCGATCTTGATGCCCGCTGAGTTGCAAATCTGCTCGAGCTGATCCTTGGACGATCCTAGCAACGAGAAAGGTGCCACTTTTGTCGGAGCGTCAAAGCCACCTTGAGATTTGGTTGTGCCTTGCTGAACCAGATCGACAACCTCCTCGACTGTCGGGTAAGCGAAGAGCGCTGCTACGCCAAGTCGTACGCCAGTCTGCCTTTCGACTGCAGAGGAGATTTTGGACAGGCCCATGGAGTCGGCTCCCAATGCAAGCAAGGTAGTGCTCTGTGATTCTTTTGCTTGACCCGACTTGATGCCTAGGGCCCTGTCGATAATAGCATAGACATCATCTTCACTTGACTTTTGCTTTCCATCGCCTGCTTCAGCTGAATTATCCTGTCCAAATAGCTGAGAAAGGACCTTTCTCTGGATCTTGCCCGTTGGACCCTTGGGTATCTTGTCCTCGCAAAAGTGTATCTTTTTGGGAATTTTGAACGCCGCAAGCCTTTTTTCCAGCAATTGTTGCAGTTTCGCCTCGTCCAAACTGGTATTCGGCTTAAGAACCACTGCGGCCTCCACCTCCTGCCCGTAAAAGTCATCAGATACAGAGAAGCTCGCCGCTTCCTTCACCTCATCACTGGCCAGCATGATAGCCTCATCGACCTCTACAGGCGAGATCTTCTCTCCACCCCGATTGATCATCTCAGACAGCCGCCCGATGAGTGTCAACCTTCTTCTATCATCGGTAGACAATACACCACGATCACCTGTACGAAACCATCTCGCCTCGTTGCCTCGCTCATCTGTGCCCTGCCAAAACGCCTTTTGATTGACCTCGTCGCTAACACCATCGTACCCACCCATTACATTGTCTCCACTCACACAGACTTCGCCTTCCTCTCCAAGTGCAACCGCCGTATTGCCTTCGCTCCATATGCAGATCTTCGTTGCACCAGATTCTGGCCCTACACTTCCCGAGCCAAAGTCGTCCAGTCGGTTACTGCACATCTGATGACTCGCTTCAGTCATCGCATATGCTTCGATAACAGGGCAATCGAATCGTTTTCGGAGGGCCTCAAATACGGTTGGAAGCAGAGGACTGGAGCACGATCGAATGAACTGAATATCCAGAGTACCGCTTTTCGGGTCAGGTGCGGCCAGAAGTGTTTGCAAGATTGAGGGTGTTCCCGTCACCCAGTTGCAGTCATTCTCTTGGAAGTCGGACCATGCTCGAGAAGCATCGATGGCTCCACCGGGAGGTATGACGATGCTGCCGCCTGTTACGAGCGGCGCGAGAAGTGCGGCTACGATGCCATGAATGTGAAAGAGCACTTGTAGGAGGTATGTTCGATGAGTTGAGTCGAGCTGGTAGGTTTCGGCTACGTTGCGTGCCCCACGAAGGAGATTAGAGTGCTTGAGGGGAACGGCCTTGGGCTTGCCGGTTGTGCCTGATGTGTGCAGGTATAGTGCTGTGTTGTCGTCTAGATTAGGAGGCGATGATTTTCCTCGGGTGTCGCCTTCTCTAAGCCCGTCGAGACTGATTTCGATGATCTTCTGGTTGGCAGAGGTTTCTTGCAAGGTGGCTTTGGTCTTGTCATCACCTCCTAGCACTACGACTTTTTTTATGCTCAGGTCTTTGAATAGAGGCTAGAAGCAGACCATGTTAGTTGCAATTCTGATCAGCAGTCTCAGCACTAACCTCGAACTCAGCTGCTGTATATGCTGGATTGAGCGGTACAGCGGCGGCTCCATCTGCCCAGAGAGCCAGTAGTCCGACAATCAACTCAGGACTGTTTGGCATCACAAGAGCCACATTCTCTTTGGACTGGAAGTTTGCCACAGATCTGAGAAAATCAACGTTTCCCTTGAGACTGTTATAAGTCGTCTTTGCAGCGCTTCCTCTAAGAGTCCGAATGGCCTCGTTTTCGGGCGATTGTCCATCATTTCGTCTGAAAACTGCATCGTACAAATTCGTCGATGTACCCATTATTGAAGAGTCTGGTGTACAGTTGTGCTCAAAACGATTGACGATAATGCGTACGGTTGGTCAGATGCGACTGACAACGGTCGTCTCGTAGTAGTGCCTGAGGCTATGCAGTCAGTCTTGTCACGCTGGCATCAAGCCTACCAATCCATTGCGGTTGAGTTGCGCAATCGTCATGTGGCTTGATTCTGTTTGGCAGTTTCGTGCTGGCCCGAATAGGGCTAACGTCAATCTGCTTTGCCTTAATAGAGAAATATTACTCGACGATCGATTACGTTGACGTATGATCGATCGGCGAGTTCAACGGCAAGCTTTTGGTTTCAACCCAGTGCAAGGGCATTACGAGTTTCCTGGATAAGCAGCAATTGAAGTGGGACGCACAGTGTATGGCCGAAGGGTGTGGGCACTATGGTAATCGCTCGCTATTCGAAGGGATCCACAGAGTCCCAGCAGGCCATATGTTAGTGGCATATCAAGGTGCACCCCAGTCTATCCAATTCAGACCTTATTGGGAATTGCAGTATCCTTCTAATGAAGGCCGTTCGGACAAGCGCACAGAAGACGAGCTCATCATAGAATTGCGAGAACGTTTAGTGGAAGCAGTGCGGATGCGACTGGTCTCAAGCGACGTTCCTGTGGGATTGTTGCTTAGTGGCGGTGTCGACAGTAGTGCGGTCGCAGGAATCGCCGCGCATCTGAGCCATCAGCAAGAAACACCTCCAGAGAAGTTGCCAACATGCTTCACGATTGCGTTCCCAGACGACAGCGATCTGGATGAATCGGCCATTGCTGTTCGGTCGGCAGAACATATCGGCCTACCGATCGAGAAGATTGTAGTCGATGAACAGGTTTTGGCCGATCAATTCGAAGAATCTTGCTGGCTCGGCGAGGCCCTCATGTGGGACCTGCAGCATATCGCTAAGAAGGCAATGAGTAAGCATATTCGCTCGCGTGGGCTGAAAGTTGTATTGAACGGCGACGGATCCGATGAATTATTCGGCGGATACAGCTTTTTCGTCGATAGCCGCCTTCAGGCTGAAGATCGACGTCGCGACCCCAACATGAAGGAGCCCGACAGTTTGGATGACTTGAACCAAATACGAGAAAAACAAGCTGATGCCTCGCGGTGGTTCGGTGGCGAGCAAAATACCAATGCAGAGCAGGACCCCGCTGCTCAGTCAAACAACATACCTGCGCCTTTTTGCAACCTGGCAGTGTTGGATCCTGCCGATTGGCTTCTGCCCGAGCTCCGCGACATAAGCACTCCCTTGACTGCAGTGGCTAACACCTTCACCGAGAAGGAGGCTGCGAATATGAAGGATCTCCATCCTCTACACCGCAGCATGACAGCTTGGAACAAAACAATTCTCCCAAACATGGTTATTGCTGCAATCAGTGACGGCGCAAAGATGTCGCACTCGGTAGAATCACGACCTCCGTTCCTAGACCATGTCCTCTCCGAGTGGGCACAAAAGCTCCCTATTGATGTGCTTGTCCACGTGGAAGAAGGCGGTGGAGTCACTGAAAAATGGCTTTTCCGTCAAGCTGTCCGGCCGTTTGTCACAGAAGAAGTTTATCAACGACGGAAACACCCCTTCTCAGCACCATTTCGGTGGAAACCCGGAGGACCGCTGCAGAAGAAGCTGGCATCTTTGATCACGAAAGAGAACGTTGCGAAGCTAGGCTTCGTAGACTGGGATCGATGTGAAGATCTTGTCGACAAGGTTTTCCATGACAAGGACGAGGGAAAGTTTCGTAGTGCCATTTGGCTGGCGCAGATCATATCGATTGGATCTCAATTCGGGGTGCAGACATGGCAGAGGTCAACAAATGGTGGGCCTTCAGAGGTGAAAACCAATGGCGAGCACACGAACGGAGACGAAACACACGGGACTGTCAACGGCCACGTCGAGACTTGACGGGTTCTATTGAGACTCGAACCATAAATCCGTAATTAGTTCCGACTCGTTTCTCATTCTGGCTCTAGCCATACATCTTTCCGTTCATAGCTCGATATGGAATGGAGCAAATTCCAGCAGCTTCTGCTCGTGAGCGTCTGTTGCAAGCGAAGCGATCTTCTTACCATCTTTCTTGCCCGAAATGAGTCGAGGGACGACACCGAGAGGGAAGTAGGCCGAAGGTTGCTGATGAACAAGTCAGTCGGTCTTAAATCATCAACAGCAGGTGAAAAGGAGCGGAACCGCGCTCGCAGCAGCACATACCTGATACTCCGGCAGCTCATTCGCCAATCGCTGCCTCAAATCCTGCTCATATCGATCCGTTGCTTGTTGGTATTCTTCTTTGCTCAGTAATTCGCCCTTGAACTGCATCGATGAGGCATGGTAAGCCAATACTAGGGCTGGCGTTTCTCCTTCCGCGAATTCATGCACGAATAGATGTGCAAAGTCGATGTCCGGGACACCAAATGCAGCATCCTCAGTATCGGCTGGCTCAATGCGAAGCGAGAATATAGACAAGCGATTGTCGGTCCGGCCTTCGAAGTGATATAGGCCGTATTCGTCTACCTTTGCGACATCTCCTGTCCTCATGGCATAGTATTCTTTCGATAACATATTCGGCGGTGGAAGAAACTCAGGCGACGAGCTCGGACCCATGTAACTTTCTGTGATCTGGGGCCCGGAAAGCACAATCTCTGAAGTCTCCGGATCGATCATGGCGAGATTCTCCCCGAATGGTTTGCCAATCGGAGGGATCACCAAGTCCTCAATGGGAGACCTGACATCGAACAACATGTTGAGAATGCCAGTCTCGGTCAAGCCATATGCGTTAACAATGCGTGTGTTCGGACATTGCGCAACCCACCGTGGGAACTGGCTTGGTCGGGGTGATTCGCCGGCACAGACGAGAATTCGCAGTCTGGCAAGAGCGTCCATTGGTATAGCGCCTAGCAAAGACGGAGGTAAAAGCACATATGTGCAATTATGTCGGCAGATCAGATCACTTCGGCAATGTCTTCCGGTGAGCCTTGATGACAGTAGACCACCGCACCACCATGAAGAAGCGGACCGAACAGATCGAGGTTACCGCCGTCCCAGATCCACGGAATCACATTGCAAACCCTTTCTTTGTCTGAGAATCCGAGAGCCGATGTGCATGCCATCAGCGACGTAGAGAGTTGCTTATGTTTGTATGGAGTTGCTTTGGGAGGACCAGTCGACCCGCTGGTGAAAAAGACAAGTGCCAGGTCTTCAGGTGAACTCTCATCTGTCGTGGCGTCGATTCCAGTCGACTTCAGCCATAGCGACGAGCAAGCTGTAGTTCCCAAGGCCTTGGCCAGTGCATCAGCACTCTTTGCATCGTCTTCGGTAGTTCCAGATACGATAATTTTGGGAGTTCGACCAAGGCTTGTAGCTTGTTTATGCAGACGCTGCACAGGTGATGAAGGGTCGAGGGGAACATGTATTCCTCCTAAGCGGAGAACAGCCAAGGCGAGCGCTGCACCTTCAACAGACTTTTTGCCAAAGAGAGGTATGATAAAATCACCCTTTTGGACGCCAGCATCTTTCAAACCCGAGACGTAGCGGCTGATCAGGGTGTCAAGTTGTCGATATGTCGTTCCATCGATGGCTTCGTTATCAGGAAAAGCTTCAATGCTGCGCTTCACCAGACGGGGGAGAGTTTCTGCGACCATTATTGCTGTGAATAGGACTTCATCAACGACTATAACTTTGTTGATGTTGTAGCATGGTTCAATCCCGCAGGAGGGCCTACTCTGGAGGAATGTCTAAAATAAACTTCGAGCCCAAAAGCTCCGCGCTGGCGTTGAGGTGGACCCTCTGCAGCCACGATCAGCGTCGTACCAAAACATCCAGCGGTGATAACGTACGAGGATCAACACAGCGTCGATGTGCTGATCGAGCCGCATGGTATAGCAACCACTGTGGCATGCTCCTGATCTGCTCAGTATTGTGCAACATTCCCAATTTGATCTCCGTCGATCTTCGGTTCCACGAGGATGCCACTTGATGAAGAGAAAGTCGAAGCAGATTCAGAACACCAAAAGTCTTCGTCTATCGATCCGCAACAATGGTCTTCTCGAATCAGACTGCGGGCGTCGGTCATCATGGGACTTTTTGCATTTCTCGAGCCATTTGCATCGTCAATCATCGCTCCGGCACTGCCACTGGTTGCTGATGAGTTCAATATCACTTCTTCCGTTGAGCGAAATGTATGTTGAGCAAACTCATCATCCGTTCAAGGTCCAAAGACTGACGCCTGCAGCTCGTGTTGTCCGCATTTGTGTTACCATATGCCCTCGGCGGCATACTGCTAGCACCCATGTCCGAGAACTTTGGTCGAAAACCCGTACTCTTAATATCGGCAGTGCTCTTCCTTGCCTTCACCATCGCTTGTGGCGTTGCTCAAAGTAGCGCTCAGCTCATTACGTTCCGTGTGTTCGCTGGCTTGGGAGGTTGTGCACCTCTGGCAGTAGGAGCAGCTATGATAAGCGACCTGTATACGCCTCGAGAACGAGGCTCACCTATGGCCATTTACATGGCATTGCAGCTCGCTGGTCCTTCCGTAGGTCGTATTTGCTATATCTTTGCATCAGTGACTAACATCTCGACAATAGTTGGGGCCCATAGTCGGTGGCTGGGTAGCACAAACGATCAACTCGTGGCGTTGGTCGTTCTACATTTGCGCCATTGCCACCGCTGTAGTCTTGCCCTTTGGAGTTTTTGGCTTACCAGAAACATATGCGCCACGCCTGAACCGCACGACCAAACAGCCAGTGTCTCATTATTTGCGCTCCATATATCGCCCGGTTGTGTTGCTTGGAACGCAGCCCATCATCCAGGTCCTTGCAGCTTATGCGGCCGTGATATTTGGTGTCTACTACCTGTTCCTCACGACCATCGCCAGCGTCTTTGAGAACACGTACGGACAGTCAGTCGGCGTTGCCTCGCTGCACTATCTTGCGCTCCTCGCCGGTTTTGCATGCAGTGTCTTAGCAAGCGGCAAAGTCATGGACATCATCTACAAGAAGCTGGCGTCGAACGGTCCTCGGCCTGAAGCTCGGATTCCATATCTTGCTGCGAGTGGCACTCTACTGCCTGCCGGCTTGCTTGTCTACGGGTGGAGTGCTCAGAAGCAAGTTTTCTGGTTCGTGCCGGACATAGGATTATTCCTCGTGGGACTAGGCATCCTGGCTCCTCTGGCAGCCATTCAGCATTACGTCCTCGACTGCTATGCCAAAGGAGGCTATGCTGCTTCAGCAATAGCCGGTATGAATGTCGCAAGGTTTCTGGCAGGTTTCGGGTTTCCGCTGTTCGCGGATGTTCTGTTTGATGCGTTGGGATTAGGCTGGGGAAATTCAGTTCTGGCTCTGATAGCGTTCATTGTTGGGACACTTTCCGTGTCACTATGGGTCATCGGACCACGTCTGCGGGAGAAGAGCTCCGTTGTAGCGTGCGCATAAGGCTTCCAAAACCAAACGCTGCCCTCCTTGGGCATCTCGGATTAGCCAAAATTCACGCTGCCAGCGTTTAAAAGGCATGTCCAAGGCATGTTCTTGAATTTCTTTTGGAAAAGGCCAAGTTTTGAACAGTTCTAGCTCCGATCCAGAGGAAATCGACAGATTAAGCAGTCAGGCCCTGCCGACAACCAGCATATTTTCTGTTCGGCTCCAGCTCGACGACTTCTTCACTCGTGAATGAGCAATGACCAAGTTCTTGTGTTCCCATGCGAGGGATCTCTCCCCACATGAGGGGCAGTGTTGAAGCTTTCTCATCCTCCTGCGGCCTGTGGACCGCGGTCGCAAGTGCAAACGAGCAGCTTCCCGCAATCGGCATATTGCTCGCAAGCTTTCTGAAACCCAGTCCGACAACAATTAGTAGCAGGCAAAACGCCAGCACGACGGCTACCAGCATAGGTACAAGACTGATACCTACGCCAGATTCGTCGGCTACGAGTGGTTCGATTGTCTGCGCTCCGAAACCAGCACGATAAGGCACGACTCGAACAAGAAACAGCGACTGCGAAATCAGCCAGTGCAACAACGCCGTCGTCACCAGTAAAGGCAAGCTGTATTTAAATGGCAGCTGCAGCCAGTATGTAGTGCGTTGCGTTCCTCGAGGCTCGGTGACCCGAAGGCCCTTGCGTACGATCGCATAGCCGCTGAATTCATAGGCCAGGTGCATACTCGTGAGGAGTCCATTGAACCCCAAATAGCAACACGAGAGGACGATCTGGGGGGTTTTGACCAGTAAGACCGAAGCGATGAAGCCTTTCGTGCCATTCGTCGGCAACTTCGTTTCGAGCGTCGATGTCGTGTCTTCGACGAAGAATTTGCCGGCAGCAATTGCCTCCTGGATACTGAGTCGCTCAGGATCACGAGTTGCCCTTATGAGGAAAAAGGCAGCGGCACAGAGGGACACGATGCAAATCGCGAGACTAGGCACCCATTGCTCAATGTCAACGGCAGCAGCCCATCGCCGCTTCTTGGTAGGCTTACGCGCTTTCTGTCCCAGGGCAGATGGCTGCAGATATCCTCTTCGTACTAAGCTCCGTTTTTGAGGTTGGGTAGCAAGCTGATCAAAGCGATCCTCCCTCTCGTCCCTGACAGATGACTTGTCAATGAGACAGTTTCCCATCGTGTTATCGTCGACATCTTGAAGCCAGCTAGCCAGTGCATCCCCGAATGTAACTAGAGATCCACTTCGCTGGTGCCAGAGATGCCAGACCATCACGGACATCTTGATAAAATTGCAAACGATGATGCCAACAAGAATGTACGTCGAAAATTGTACCTTGCAGTGCCCTGGTTCTCTTTTGGCCATGCAATACTCAAGATACTTCCCTGACAACAGCCAGCTATGACTATGGCTGTCACGCTGGGTCTCGTGGACAAGATCGCTAATACTACTCGGCCTATACAAGCTCAGTAATTGTGCGCACTCGCGCTGCTTGAATGATTCGGCCCGTGAGCTCTCGAAAGAGAGGCGAGCGCTTCGGTGACGTGATGACCGAGCCACTTACCAGTACATTGGCGTATTCTCGGCTGCAGCTCCTGATATGCCCAGATCAGCCCAGTTGAGAACATCCGAATACTCACCGCTACGATCGCTGTCTGTTTCGTTAACCTTCACGCTTGGATCGACAATCGCAAAAACGTGAGAGTGTTCCGTGAGTAGATCACTGCCGTAGACATCGAGGCACTGCTGAGCCTCAAGACGAACGAAAGCGGCCTCGTCTGCAAGGTGCATAGACCGCAGTCGAGTGGCGAGGGAGCTGTTGTAAGCAAACAGATCTGAGCTGTCCTCCAGTCCAGCTGAGAGCTGCTTCGAAAAGGCCTCGAAGTCGATCTTATCAGATCTTAGAATCCCAGCTGTTGCCGTAACCAGCTGTGCGTTCTCGATAGAATACAATTGCTTGAAAATTTGCAGAATTGTATAGAAAGTGGATCGGTACACTGCTGAGCGCCAGAAGCGCCCAGGCGATGCGACGTCGCCACGAGATTCGAGTAGAATAAGGATGCGGTGGCTTGACCCAGAATTCAATAGCAGGACTTGTGCATACACTTTGCACATGTACATTCGGACCCAACCCCACGCAGGAGAATGCACTCCGCCATGGGGAGCCTTCCTTTCAGCGTCTAGAACTGCTTTCTGCAGAGGGACCTGCACAGCGTGGCGAGCTACACCTGAGGCACAAGTTGCTGCCAAGTCCCCAAGGCGGCATCGGAGCACGTTCGCCGACGTCCGCCCCCGATCTCGGCGTGGTGTTCAGCTTGTGGCTTGTTCCTACCTCCTATTGTTGCGTATCGACAGTTTCCCACAATCTTGACCACTTGCTATACAGGGTTGATCGAATTGCACCTTGTTCGCGATGGTGTACTTCTCTCCATCAGCTAATATGAGACCAGTGCAGGCGTGGGCATTTCGACCCGTATTCGAACAAGACGTTGCAGAATCACCAACGTTCCTATCCCTTCATGGGCAGAACACACCATGCTCTTAGGAATGACTCAGGTCGCCGTCTACAACGCGAACGGTTCGAGCTTCTTCATGGATAATAAGTGTTCAACAAGAATATGCAAGCAAAGATAAGCACTCGCGACTGTGGACCCGAATCCAAGGCACACCATGAGCTAGCATGGTGGCGCAATAGCTGCCTCGATCAGATATCATCTCTAAGCTCGCACAACGCCTCACATCCTCGCAGACGTGCACAAGCAGACAGCCAAAGCTTCAGCTCCAAGCATTCAATGGCCATCGATCCCGAATACCCTCTGCTAAGAGTAGCCATAGTGGGCGCAGGCCCAGGCGGCCTCGCAACGGCAATAGCTTTGCAACAGATCCCCAATGTTGAAGTGACGATTTATGAGCAGGCCAAGGTGCTCCGAGAAGTTGGCGCTGGTATCAGCATAGGCCAAAATACGTGGAACGTCTTGGAATTGCTGGGCGTCGCGGATGACTTGACCAGTGGGCATCCTACTGTGACAGTGCTGAACCTGTGAGGGTGTCCAATGTTCCGACCTGGCTCGCTCGTGCTGACTGGGATCGCAGAAATGGTGCTACCGGTGAAGAGCTTTCGAGGTTCGAGAAGCAGACTGACACCAAGCGACTACCAATACGAACCCAAAGAACCAAGCTGCAATCTGCCCTGCGATCTCATGTGTCTGAGGAGAGACTCAGACTAGGCACCAAAGTTGCCAGCATCGAAGACCTCGGGCAGGGCGGAGTGCTCCTGAGATTTGCAGATGGCTCAGAAACCGCTGCTGATCTCGTAGTTGGTGCTGATGGTATTCGTTCTGTCGTTCGAGACGCTGCGTGGAGAGATTATGAGCTCAAGTTCACTGGCACCACTATCTGGCGAACTCTACTACCTTGGGACGCTGTGAAAGATCTTGACCCGAGATTCGCAACGACGGCATGGTGGCACACACCTACCACGCACGTCTACTTCTCACCAGTGGGTGAAGGCTTGTGGGAAATTGCAGCTCGAGCATACCAAGATCCTGCGATCCATGCTGCTGACAAGCACAGCTGGGGCGTACCTGTGACAAATGAGGTCGTGGAATCTCATTTTGGCGTGAGCATTGTAGGCAACGAAAACAGAGACGAGAGCTGACAACAAATCTGAACAGGCTTATCTACCACAGGTCCGCGAAGCTTTGCAGAGAGTGCCAGAAGGAGGTTGGAAAGAATTTGCAGCTTTCGCCGGCCCAGAGCTCGACGACTTGACAAACTGGAACGACAAGATAGTGCTCGTTGGAGACTCATCACATGCACTTTCCGGAGCATTTGGATCTGGTGCAGGATTTGCCATGGAGGACGGCTGGGTGTTGGCTCAAGCGTTGAAAGCGAGTCGTAACGACATTCATCAAGCGCTTCCCATTTTCAACAGGATACGCCTGCCGTACTATTCCCGAATGTACGCGCATCTCGCTGAAGTGGCCGAGCGGAGAAGCCAGAATTTGCAGAAAGTTGTCAACCCAACTGCGGAAGATTTGGTCCGCAATAAAGTCATCCAGCCGGGAGGACGTGACATGCAGTGGATTTACGGTAACCATATCGGTAGGGTGTGGGAACAGTCCACTGCTGGCATAGAAGCACAGCTCTGAAAAGACACGTCATTACTTGCTAATCTAGATCATCACAATATACCATCAGTCACCGATGCGAAGCCATCGCAGGAATCATACGCTAAGAACCCAGTCGTGTCGTAACAACCAATATATTCGACCTCCAGGTCTTTACTCTTCAAGATGCCCAGCTCGACCCACAGCAACAGATCTCCATGAGACATGGGCCCATCAGGACCATACGCCTCCATGAAATCTTGTCGCAGCTTCACATGGGTCTTGTCACGCCTTCCCACAGCTTCCATGTGCCTGAGCTCTTGTAAGTAGAATATCTCGATCTTTCTGTTCGTCTCCAAAGCTGGGAAGATGTCCGGATCGTCCTCGAGCTCAGAAGGCTGCACGTTCGTCTTGCCGCTCTCGGGTACATGGCACAGACGAGATACAAGCATTCCTTTTTCGTGTCCGGCACGGACGACGTTGGTGATCCAGCGTTTGGTCATGTAATGGAACTTGGCTGACCACATGCGCGTTTCTTCTTCGTTCATCGGACTGTGGTCTTGGCCCTCAACAACGTAACAGAGATTGTCGGGAAACTGAATCATTCGGGCTCGTCCTAGCCTAAGGCTTCCTGTAGGTTGGCGAGCAACCGGTGGTTCTACGAGAGTACTTCTCAACGGATCTTCTTTGGTCGCCTCTTTGATTCGGTCTCGATAGGCACCCCAGTATCCGGACTTCTCTGTGAGCGGGCTCAAAGGACCCAGATGGCCGACTCCACATGGCTGATCTTGTGTGACCTCGTTCAGGAATCTGTCATGAGAGAAATGAAGGGTCTCTCGCCATAATCCTGCATCCGAAGGTAGATTGGACCAAAATGCCTCTACATCTGCCGAATGGAACCAATCTTGGAAATCTGACGAAGATACCCAATAACTGATCCAAACTCTGGTCAAGCCAAGACTACGCTCAGTGTCGTCGTGAACGACTCGATCGACATGGGTTGCGTGTGGAGATAGGAGCTTGTCGAATCGATCGATAAGTAATGCCTTCGTCACAGAAAGTTCTGTGCCGTGATACTGTGCCCCGAAAATGGAGACTGTGAAGTTCTTGGGCAAAGAAGCGTGCAAGAGTGGCATGTTAGCAAGAAGACTAGATGTCGAGTAATTACATCGACGCTCAGTCGCTGCCGAACCTGATATACATAAGGCCTGCAATGCTTGAGGGAAGATTGCCGAAACCCTAACAGTGATGGCGGACGTGTCAGAGGGGAAAGCTCCTTTGATCCTTGCCGCGAAAGTCTAGATGGCGTTTGAGTAAAGGCATCAAGACCTATCGAACGGACCGTTATCTGTAAGATAGCATGAAGCAATGCGACTATCAGCGGAACCGCAAAGGTATCGCCGCTCCTCCGGCTCGTGAGAGGAGCGGCGGACAATGCCAGCGATGTCCTCTGATACAAGAACAGGAACATCACGCCTGTTGAGCTGACACTCTTCACCTCACCTCTTCAACAGATTTATCGAGATCGTTTCAACAACTCGAACCACGAAACCTCTCTCCTTGCAAGGCAAGCCTCGGTATCAATCATCACCACAATGGCCGATGGAAAGAAGATTCGTGTTGCTGCAGTCCAAGCTGAGCCAGCATGGAATGATCTCGAAGGTGGAGTCGACAAGGCAATTGCCATCATCAATGAGGCAGCGGCCAATGGCACGAATGTTTTGGGATTCCCAGAGGTCTTTATTCCTGGCTATCCATGGTATGTAGACGCGAGCATCATGACGAGCGAGCCACAGCGCTGAACGATGAACAGGACCATCTGGGCAAATTCCGTCATCGAATGTGCCGGGTTCATGGACGAGTACTACATGAACTCGCTCGAGCGAGAGTCGCCACAGATGGACAGGATTCGAGCTGCTGTTGCCAAGGCTGGCATGTTCGTTGTACTTGGCTACAGTGAACGCTACCGTGGGAGCTGCTACATCGCTCAGGTGAGGAGTTGTTTTCATTAAGGAACTTCGGCGTCGAGCTGAGCAAAGATCGTTAGTCGTTCATCGATCCTACCGGCACTATTGTTCATCATCGCCGCAAGATCAAGCCTACTCATGTAGAGCGGGCATACTATGGCGACGGACAAGTAGATTCCTTGAAGACTGTGGTTCCATCGAAGTTCGGAAACATCGGAGGTCTCAATTGTTGGGAGCATTGCCAAACCCTCCTCCGTTACTACGAATACGCCCAAGATGTGGAAATCCATGTTGCGAGCTGGCCATTGATTTGGGATGAGCCCGAAGACAAGAATATCCCGTCTCTGCAGTATCACATTACTGGCGAGATGAACGCGAAGTTGTCTCAAGTCATGGCCATGGAGGGCGCCACTTTTGTGGTGCTCTCTACACAGGTTCTAACCGAAAAGAACCGGGACAAGTGTCAGCTCAACAATTTTCCATACGCCACAACGCCCGGTGGCGGCTTCAGCAGAATCTACGGACCAGATGGAAAAGAGCTGGTCAAACCTCTTGGTCCCGGCGAAGAGGGGCTTTTGTACGCTGATATTGATCTCCATGACAAGGCTCTCGCGAAACACAACCTCGATGTGGTCGGACACTACAGTCGTCCGGATTTGCTGTCCCTTCGAGTAACGACAGAAGCAAGCTCTCAAGTCCATTTCGTTACACTCCCAGGTCGCGGCAGCCAACCACAGACTTTGACCAATGCAACAAAGCACAGCATCACCAATGGTAGCGATCATGGTCTCATTCAGAATGGCAGAGAGCCTTCGTCTCTTCCAGAGATCCCAGTCAAAAAGTTGATCGCGTGAAAAAGATTTCGAATTCGGTATGCTAGGAGGGTGTCGTCCGCGCTACGATCGATGGACCTGGGCAAGGGTCGAGGTGGCTGAGTAGAACCCAAGAATCGTCTGATTCTGTACAGTCAATAATGTAGTGATGGTATTCAAATGATAATTTCCCAGATCCTTGGAAGGCTTTCGAGAATATTTCTACAATTCCTCACCTGCGTTCGCGGAACACAAAAGTATAAGCTCAAGAATGGCCAGAGAATCTCTCAGTTAATTCAACTCGATGTCGACCCAGGTATCGAGCTCTCTTGGGCTGCTCGAGTGTCTCTTGCCAATTTAAGTCGCACGATGGAGGCCAGTCTGCTCTGAACCGGCTATCAGAAAGGACGCACATGCCCAGAAATTGATATATATCCTGTTTTCCGATCCCCGACTGCAGGTGAGGGACTGTAAACTTGACTCGTGTGCAGATAGAGAGTTGAGCCGTAAGTATCCGCAAAGTGTCTAGGGCCTGACCCTTGTCATCGATACCAACTAAGCACGCCCATAGGGTATTGGCTCCAGTTTGTTGACTACGCTGGCCAGAGGGGAGACACTCCAGCGTCAAACCCCGCTTGCCACTCGAAGAGCTCCGCGGACAACGAATCCACATTGTAGTTCGACTCAATCCGATCTTTGCCTTGCGACAGATAGCTGTAATCTACCAGTTGCCACAAGACCTTTGACTCATGTGTTTCGTCTAATATTGTTTCGTCGTTCTTCAGCAGAAAGTCCCTGACCGTGGTGACTTCTGTTGGGAAGTTCGACAGCGATCTTTTCTTTATGATTGTCAGAATATGAAAATCATGTAAAGATTATGTGTGAACCGACTCACCATCAAGGATGCATTGGGCCATAGATGTGTGAGATATGAAAGATGGTCCATGCAGCTTTTGAAGCTTCTCGATTCCTTGCAATCCCAGTGTCCATTTGTCTCGGTGTTGAGGGCGTGGAAAGACCCCGCTACCACCAGACAGTAGCCACTGAACGACCATAGCATGGGATAGCCGCACTCTCGGCTACAATCCAGTAGTGTGACCATTTTCTGAGCATATTCCAGTCCACTCATCCACGAGCGAGTGAAGAAGCTGCTCGAGCCTGCTGTGCCACTAAGCTTGACCAACCTTCTGATCAAGAACGGGTGGTCTAGCAGACAATGACATAGACAGCATAGCATAGCAGCAACGAAGTGCGGCGCGATGTTCTTCTGCGCGAGGTCTCCGGGCGAGGCTTGGCGTTGCTGCAACAGCTCAGCGGCAGTGACGACAAACTGTACGCCCGATTCGATGTACACCAGGTCGGAGTAGATAGATGCCCATTCCGACCGAGGGTCCCAGGGAGGATCGCAGGGTTGCTGATTGCTGGACTGCAGCATCAAACTCGTACAGCGCCCGAGGACAGAGGCTATCGTAACAACTACCTTGAATTCGTTGATTTTGTCCGACTCTTTGCAGTTTTTCCTACTTGAAATATGCTCCAATGTTGATGTTGGTTCCTCAAGTCCGATGTCCCAGGAATGCTCACTACTCGGCAGATGAAGAGTGCATGATCTATCTGGCATGGCCGCTGGTCTGTCCCTACCACATGTGATCAGGCGGCCAAGGAGATAAAGAGACCAGAAAGTTCGTCGTCTTTCTTCCTGCTCAATATACGAGATTGGAGTCGTTGCTTCATTCATAAGCCGCAGTTCTTGTGCAACACGTACGGCAACCCCGAGTTTGACCCAAGCCAGTCGATGTCGTTTCTGACCGGCTGGATAGAGACTTCGTTAGCATAGCACGAGACCAGTCTGATCGAGTCATTCGTACAAGTGAAGTCGAAGATACTCAACAATGTGACAGCTTGCACCACGGAAACGTCTCCGTGCTCAAGATCTCCGAAGCATAACGGCGCTAGCAGCTGCCATGCGCGGTCTGCGCACGCTTCGGCGGAGAATCGACAGTCAGAGCTAGCTAGAAGGCCAGTAGCGAAGCGCATTGAGGTCGCTAGAATAGCGCAAATCACATACTCTGGCAACTGGCCATCGAAGTGCTTTTGCCGTAAGCTACTCGCGTGGAAGAAGGAGTAAGGCTGATTGTGGCAGAAGGTGAAGTATATGTCCAGGATAGACTGGAAGGTGGATGATGATGGGAGGCTGCGATGAAAACGGTCAGCTAGCAGCGGGTACCAGAAGGCACAAACAAACTTACGAGTAGGAGCCTTTCGGACTGGTAGTCACCGTAGCTGACGCAGGCGACTGAGGAGCGTGACTAGCAGAAGCAATTCTAGTATTTAGGGCCAGTCAGTGTCTATGCTTGCCTTGGGCGTGTGAGGCATTTAGACGTACGCATCGAGCTTGCTCTCAATCTCACCTAGCTGATGTTCCAGACTATCAAAACGAGCTTTAATCCATTCGAGGTCACTGTTCGGATTGCCGTTCACTCGCTGGCGGTCCGAGCTGCCGCGACCTTGAGCTTCATCACCCTGCTCGGAGGCAGTAGACGACCGCCTGCGAGGAGTCGGCTGAGCATCGACAGGAGCATCTTTGGCGAACCGACATTCGAGTCCGCTTCGGCGGCAGCGTCTGCAGACTGGTCGCTCTCCAGTGCAGCGAGCTTTCTTCCGGCTGTGCACAAAGATGTGAGTTAAAGCCGAGGGGGTCGCGTGCCTTGCACGACGAAACTTTGAAAGGCTTACAGACCGACAATTGGTGCAAGCGAGACCTATTCGCCGAATGGGCTCATATGTGAGTTCCATGTAGATGTAGATCCACAGCAGCTTTGCTATGCTAGAAGTTGGAGGAATTGTTATTAGTGCAATTATCGAATTAAGTGGACTCTCTGCCAGCATCAGAGTGCACTATCATCGACATTTGATAAGAATGGCGGCTACCCCTCTCACGAGACTTGCCATTCCCTGTAGGCAGAGTGTATCGGGGTATGCGGCGTCGCTCAGGGAAATCTTCCAACGCGCCTTCTACCGGACTGCGCTTCAACGCGTGGCATTGCATCTGAGTTCGTCTCTACATGTAGATTCGCGTGCCGACACAAAATCGTGCAAAATCTCATCATGCAAGTAATGTCGAAAGAACAACCTGGCCCCGTCGCTCGCAGAGGAGAGTGGTCGCCAAGAAAGTTGAGTGACTCTGACTGAGGCCAGGGGTTTTGACTTTGTGTATCCTCTCGGCCAGCGCCAGATCGTTCAAGGTCTGCTCAATGTCACTTGTTTGCGAATTCGAAGTTGAGAGTGATGCTCGTGTCGCTGCACATGCCATCGGATGAAAATGCAGCGGATTGGTTGGTTGTAGGAGTGATCGCACCTGGAACATGGTTTCCGCGATAACCGGATCTTGGCAGTGACAGGTCTGCAAGGATGCGAACGCGCTCCTTCGCTCCGAACTTCGACGGTCGACTTCACTCTGAAATTTGACCATGGTCCTACATGCACTACTACACTATGGACGAGATACCATGCACATGGGTCAAAATTCACCGCTTTGTCATCTTATGTCAAGGCAGCAATGGCAACAATGCGGCGGCAACGAACGGCATTGACGTCCATGACGGCCCCATAGGGACTCATGGTTTCTAATGCGCTTGTCTCGCCCATTTCCATTGATCACTATACCCTAATGTAAACTAGAATACACTCAGGCGCTCTGAAGAAGGAGGATAGGGCGAGGCCAGACGAGGCCGAAGACTACGATGGCGCGAAAGACTTACCAAGTTTTGACTGCATTTGTGGTGCCCAGCTACGCCAGGACGGATCCATCTGTGGGGAACAAGACCTTTTGGTCCGTGCCAGTAGTCCTACCGGTCCTGGTTGACTGCCGAATATCATGAGCTATTGCTGTCTGAGTAATCGGAACAAAGACGACCAGCCACCCAGGATCAGCGCAAAGCCTTGCGTGGTCAATGGCCATGCTTGCTGTTGCTGTTGAGGCTAGCATATAATAGATGGCTGTGCCGTACGCGAGACAATTGCTTCTCGCAGTTTGTTCACGGCCGTCCTGCATTTCCCTTGCCAACAGCAACTCGTTTACCCAAACACAAGCGCGACGATCTAAACATGCTAAACAAATTTCACGTTCTTGTAGCATTGGCACTCGCTGCTATCGGGGCATCTGCGCAAGGAGAAGCACAGTGCCGAGATAAAGGAGTCTGTGGCCAATGTGTCTACGCGTATGATGGCAATAACAATCTGGAACCGATTGTAAGTGTTTGCAACCACAAATTAAAGAGGCCTTCAAACTTAAACTCGACTGTAGCCCTTGGGCTGACTGTTCTCTAGAAAGGATGGTGTCATCATGTACTACCCGAAGAGCCAGATGCATTGTATTGCGGACAGCAGCACGGCTGCGCGGATTGTTGAGGTCGCGTCACTGGGTAAAAGGCCTTGCGTGGCGTCGGCAGGTTGGCATTGGAGCCTTTCGAAAGACCATTGGTGCTTGAAGACGAGATTGAAAACTCTCTGACAAGCAAACCAAGGTGTCCGCCCAGATTGGCCAGTCTATAGCTCTGAGAAACCAAGCATAGGCGGAGGATGGTCGAGAAAGCAACGGCGAAATAGCGCCCTGGCCGACGAATGGACGAAATATCGCAGGAACGCGAAAACAAGTCGAATGTATTCACATACTGGGATACATATGAGCGTCCGAATCATGAATCTCAACAGTACTTGGACACAGAATCAGTGTTGAAGGTCCATCCATGATAGACTGACGTCCACTAATCGTCCAGAGTCTCGTATGCATTCCTCAAGTCAACCAGATTACCGAAGATAATACCCAAAGACGTTAATCTCCTCAGAAGACACAGTGCGAGCAAAATGGCAGACTCCAGGGGACAATGATCGTACCTGATCACTAATCGTCAACTGATCAATAGACGTCAGTTGATGCGGCACAGCCAAACCACGCCCTGTAGAAGCCTACCTGTATTTATCATCGGAGGACAATGCTTATGACTATGATCTTCGGTCCACCCACGGATGCCGTATATTGTTCGGTTGGCGATCGTACATCGGGATGATTGTCGTAGCCGCGAAAGAAGAACATCCGCTTAATAAGGCGCACTAAATACTTATTTGGAAAGGTCGGCATCACTCAGCGGAGGAATGAATTTGTATCAATCACGTCTGACCAATGTTCGCAGCTACTAGCTTCTGCCATTCTTCGGAGCTCAGATCGGTGGCAACTAGTTGATAACAATCGTTACTAAGAAGTGTCAGAGTACGAGCTCAGTAAGCTCTAGAGAACGGGCGGTCGACCATCACGGGCTCGAGCAAGCCGCTCTAAATCTCTCATGCTGAGATATAAGTTGTCAGCATGACTTCAGTGAGCAGCGACACCCTTCTTTACAACCGAGTCCACAGTTTCTCGTTCTCAATTGCCATTTCTCAACAAGCTTAGAACACTCTTCCGAACATGCCAAACAAGCTTTACGTTCTCATGACAGTGGCCCTTGCGGCCATGGGAGTGATTGCACAAGGAGACGCAACGTGTCGGGGCAAGGCAGTGTGCGGTTACTGTGTAGTTCGTCAAGAGCCCGTGACTGGCAGAAACATTGTGAGTACTGATTTCAGTTTGACTGGCAGCGTTGAATCTGGGCTCTTCATGATTGTTGCAGGCACGGATGCTAATTAACGTTTGCGATTCAGGGTGGATGGTGTCACCACAAGGAGGGTGACAATTCTGGAGCGCTGTTTTGCTTGGACAATAAAGGTTGTCCATTGGATTTCTAGTCTCCAGATTTTTGTCACGACTAAAGTGTAGTGACTACGACCCCAGCAGCACAATTGGTATCCTTGCACGGGGAATGGATCTGCTTCGGGAAATTTGCGAGATCGGTGAATCTTGAGTGAGCCTATTAGGTCACAAAATCGTCCGATGTAAGGATTCTAGTACATATTGAAAAAATCCGCAGTCCGTTCACGGCGGACTGAACTTGGCTTACTCCAAATTCTCGAACCTGTTGACTCTGTTGCTGGCCGTGTGTCTCCCAATTTGTCCTTCGGATCGAGATCTATGCCCTAGGAGAAGGTATAGCTTTTCAAGACACTCTGCGGAGTCTGCGATCCCAGTATATAACCATCTGCATGGGCGACATGCCATTGTCGTGGCCAGAGACAGGCCAGTCAAGGTAAGCGAAGTATGATGAAGCTCGTATCGCGAACGTATCTTTTCGTAACGATCAATGCAATTGACAGTCGTTGACATATGTTTGCGGTGTCTTGCCTCTTCCACCATGAATAATGAAAGAAGTCTCTCCACTGGCCCGCACTTCGCCTTGACCACGGACTCGATATTTCTCGAACCTCACCGGCACTCCAAGCCTTTCGAGGACCGCTTTGATGACTCTCACAGCGTCAGGAAGCGCTACCTCGTTCTCGTGAACGGCAGCCAGAACAACACCGGTAGCATGGGGAAACAGACCAGCAGCTCGACCCAGGCTGGAGTGGCAAACGACTTCGGCCATCAAATCACGAACATTCTGATCTCCGTTTCTCGTGCTCGTGCGTGGTGCGATATGAGCAAGGATTGCCCCATATTCAGACATGACAGCGACCGCGGTGCAACCATTGAGTCCTTCTGTTGCAAGGAACTGCAAGTTAGCGGACCAGGGACCGGATCTGACTTCGTTAATTGGAACGAAGACCGTGTCATTTCTGTGTCGAATCTGTTGAAGAGTGACTGCCATCTTGTCTCTGTGTAGGTTGAAGTTGTGGGAGTGACATAATTGCCGACATACGTAGGGTGTTTTCTGAATGGAGCACTGTAGGTGAAATGAGGGAGTCGACTTGTTCACTAGCAGACACTAACTTCAACCAATGGTTGGTTCCACTGTTGATGTCAGCAGCTGAATGGGTTTGACAGGCCATAGCAGCGATAAGTAGATGTCCTGCCTGTCTGAGTCCAGCTCGAGTATCGTCTCCTGCCACATCACTCCTTGCCTGGCCTTTCGCCATGATTCTTTCCTTCTGATCAAGATTATCAGGTGGCGTAAATCGTTCGCGCCGTAGCCAGTTGCTGTCTGATAAGTTCGAGGAGAGAAGTGCCCTGAAAGTCGTCAGTCTCAAGCGCCTCTCGTTGTACTGTTGGGCTCCTGTGACCACTTCCATTCCTTGCACACGAGTGAGCAGAGCAAGTGCAGTTTCTGATAAGATCAATTGCATTCTGGGGTATCTTAAGGATGATCAGCAGAGCAGACGCACAAAAATCTCGTCGCGTTCACTAATTTGAGGCCCCAACATAATCATCTCGAATCTCTGCGACCAGTCGCTCGAGTGTCCGAATATCTTGCGAAGCACCTTCGTATTGCAGCTTTGCGACGATGACAGCAGTCGGATGTTGTCTGCCAGACTGATTGGGTGCATCCGCGGAGAGCTTCAAGTTCCTCTTGACGGTCGACTCCAGTACCTTGACCACACCACGATCCATCTGCCCAGCATGCTGTAAGTATGGGAGAAGAAGTAGAGCAATCTTCTCGGCCATGTTCGGCCGTCCAGTGTCCACGAGGGTCTCTCGGCCAGTCTTGATGTGGCCCAGAGCTCGCGTAAGAGCAGCTGGAAAGGCGGCGCTGCGTGAATCGAGGCCGTGAAGTTCGTTCTTTGCTTCGCAGATGATGTGCTCCGCTGAGGTCGATGCATCTGTGCGCAGCCATTCAAGGATGTGATCTCGCACATTCTCAATTGCTGGAACCTGTTCAAAGCTTGCGACCAGGTCGTACATCTCTTCTGCGATCCCAGCCGCTTTCGCCGCAAATTGCTTCATTGCAGCATCGAAGATGGCCATAGGTATCCCACCCGTGAACGCAGGCGCATCCTTCAGCCTCTTTAGCAGATCCGTATTGACCTCTTCGACACCTTTCCCGGCCTCGTCGTCTTCGAAGTCTGCGGCTGTCACTGCAGGTAGTTTGACCTCGTCACCATCTCCTCCCAAGCCCTCCTCCTCGCCCGTACCCGTCATCTGACTATCCTCATCGATGCCCAAGATCTTTCTTCTGGCCGCCAACTTCGCCAAATACGTGAGCTCAAGCCTCAGGTACTCAATCCAGATTCTCTTCTCCTCTTTACAGAATCGCAGGCCTCTCTGGAAATATGACCTGGCCGTTCCCATATCACCTTGCACTTCAGCGTAGTGCTTGGCAGCGAGGACCCAAAGTTTCCAGTTGCGCGTGTGCAATCTCAGCATTCTGGTAAGAACCTTTGCCAGCTTCTTGTTCGCTTTCTCTTTCTTGCAGAAATCCACGTATTGCATCCAGAGCCCAACATCGCCTGGAAACTTCTTCACTGCACGATCGAGAATGAAGAAGACAGTCCGTTGGCCATTAAAATTCGTGGTGGCGGTCTTTTGAATGCCAAGTCGTTTACAGCGCTTTTTGAGCAGGGAATACAGGTTCATCTCATGCTGAGCATATCGAGCATAGTCGGCGGGCGTGCTGCCACGGGCGTTGAGGGTATGTTCGAAATCGGATCGCTTCTTGGTAATGGCGGCAATTTGATCTCGCGTGAAGATTTCTTTTGCTTCATACTCTCTCAGCTCGGGCACGTACTGCTCGAGGTAGAAGCGCGCTTTGTCGGACGCGGCGGCCATGTTGTTGTCCAGGAATGGCGGTGGGAGCGGAGTGGCGAGGAGAGGTGATGGTGCAGACGACGCGCAGGATGCAAAGCTGTAGGCAGAAGTCTCCCTAGCGTCTCGCTTGTGATAAAGCGCGATAAGGCAGCACGGATAAACTGCTCTTCCGGCGCGCCGCGCATCCCTCGGCGTGTCGCGTGGTTGGCGTGTTCAGGGTGAGCTGGCTTCTGGACTTTCTGACATGTGAAGAAGAACACCACCACCACCACTCTCCTTTTCTCCTTCTGTTCCTTTCTTCCTCTTCTGCCCACTTTAATGGGAGCAGCTTCGCCATAATGCCTCCCAAACACCGCGACGGCGATGTCGTGGCCATCGTATGCATCCCTCTCCGCTGCTGCCAATGGCTTCTCCGCTGACAGGACGCGACAGATTCCCGGCTCGTTCATCACACACGCGCATACCGCAGCTGCGTACGCCGCTTTCATCAGCGCCTTCATAGTCGGAGTCTACCTGCATTACCACAAAATTGTCGAGAACGAACACTTTGGGTACCCCATCGAATGGTTCCCCTCTGTGTCAGCAACCATTGGAGATCGCTATCCCGAACGTTCCTTCTTCCAGGTCTTCATCGCCATTTGCTCTGGCCCGCGATTCGCTCTGTGCTTCCTCTGGTGGTGTCTGGGCAAGAAGCCTAATGGCAGCAATAGACTTGTCAACTTCGTTGCAGGCGTGGGAGTTTTCAGGACTCTGACTTGTGGAGGCTGGACATACGTGACTTCGACCGATGATCACGATTGGCATGACATTTTCATGATCAGCTACTTGGTCGCCACTTTGCCATGGACCATTGGGTGCATTGCGCTCAGTCCGCCTAATCCGCAGGCCATAAAGCTGCGAAAGTACCTAGGAGGCACCTTCTTTGCGACTCTTGGGCCCCTCGTCTACTTTTTCATCCAGCATAAGGTGCACCGCGTTCCTGGTGGTAAGCTTGTCTCTGAAAATATCGCTATAAAGTCAATCACTGATGAAGCGCAGCATACACCATCTACGCTTTCTTCGAGTGGTCGCTTGTGCTCCTCGACGTGGCCTTCGACGCAGTCACTGCATACGATTTCAGCAGCTTCGAGATTCAGATCAAAGATGTCAAGGGACTCAGCAAGGGGTACGTCCGTTGGCTTCCGAAATAGCTGGTACGATGAATGTGCTCGCTTGCCCTTGCCGGTAAACTGACAGTCAAATCCACAGAGGCAATGTCGCAGAGAGGACGCTGGAGAAGCAAAAGAATAAGCCCATCGGCAGCGTCTTCGATGCCAGCGCATTTACCTGGGACGAGATGCTTGATGCAGCCGCTGATGTCTACCTGGGCTACATCTTCTGGACGATCCTCACATCGCTCGGTGTTGTGGTGTGGTACTTCCCACTTTGGCACATGGGCATCTCTGGCTACGAAGTCGCTGTTATGTCTACTGTCTCGCCTGCGCTGCTCGGCATTCCTCCACTCCGACGATTGGTGACTCGCAACATTTCACTCGTGATGCTTACCTCAGGAGTTGGACTCCTCGCATACCTCGTGGTGAACCCACCAAAGCGTCTCGGACTGGTCAGCTTCGGTGTCTGGCAGGGCACTCTTGCCTGGGTTGCACTTTGGTGGAGCAAGAGAAACCAGCCAGCGATGCTCGAGGCGAAGATTTCCGCCTGGCTTCTTGGTCTCGTTGCAAGCAGCATCTCCAAATTTGCATTCTGGACGAACAACCCGCTATGGCCAATTATGCACGATGCCAATGGAGGCCTCAATAAGACTGGTATTGTTTTGTTCCTCCTTGCCGTTGCACGTGCCTACCAAAAGCAGAATAAGAACATTGGTAGCGAGCGCAACTTGGACAAGCCAAAGGGACCTTCAATTCTCGCTGCAATGGGTGTCGCAGGTGCCACTTTCGGTCTTCACTCTTTGCTTTCCGACTCAAGTACTATGATCTTGTGGGTTTGGGAAGGCTTCCCTGTTCGCGGCCCTCTCGCCTCGCCCCACGGAGCATGGACTATCGGTGCCATGGGCCTAGGGCTGCTCATTGGACTCTGGTACCCAAACTTGTCCCGCGGCTGGGCAGCCTACGGCATTGGTTCTGTCGGCGCTGCACTACTTACACTCAAGTCGCATTGGACGGGTTATTATGGCGGCCTCACTCTGGCAGTCTATCTCATGGCCGTCACTCCTTCGTTGATCACGAATGCCGTGCGCTTTGCACCAGGACGAACATTCTTCTTCGGCTTCTTTTTGTACAACTTCCTGGTTCTCTTCCACGTCTGGGTTGTAGCCTATGCTTTCGTACCCGGTGGCCCTGCCGTTCGCGAGCATACCGATTGGGTCATGCTCACCACGATGCTTTTTATCGGTGGCGGTGTCTTCTCTTCAATTCACAACAGCAGTCCTGCGAAGCAGAGGTCCTTCCAGCCGCCACCAAATCCTGCTGCGAAGAGGCAAAGGAGCTACTTCATCTACGCGCTGCTCGGCCTACAACTCATCAGTGTGAGTGTCGCCTACCTTCGCTTCCCTACATACAACTACCAGCCATACCACAAGGATAGCAAGCTCATCACTGCCGGCATTTGGACTATTCACTTCAGTATTGACAACGACATGTGGAGTTCTGAGCGTCGCATGGAGGCTCTCATTCGCGAGACGGAGCTCGATGTGGTCGGTCTGCTGGAGTCGGATCTCCAGCGCATCATCATGGGCAACCGCGACACCACTCAATACCTCGCAGAGGAGCTCGGCATGTACGTCGACTACGGTCCAGGTCCAAACAAGCACACCTGGGGCAGTGCGCTTCTTTCCAAATTTCCCATCGTCAATTCGACACATCATCTGCTGCCATCGCCAGTTGGTGAGTTGGCTCCGGCGATTCATGCAACTATTGATGCTTATGGCGAGCTGGTCGACGTCTTCGTCTTCCACTCTGGACAAGAAGAGGACCCAGAAGATCGACGTCTGCAGACCGAATATCTCAGCAAGCTCATGGGCAGCACAAACAGACCTAGCATTCTGCTTTCCTACCTGGTCACGAAGCCCAAGGAAGGCAATTACAATGGCTATGTCTCGGAGACCTCTGGCATGAGAGACATCGATCCATCCGACTGGGATCGCTGGTGCGAATACATCTTATACAAGGGCCTCAGGCGTACTGGATACGCCCGTGTCTCAAGATCTACCATCACAGATACGGAATTGCAGGTCGGAAAGTTCGTCGTAGGCCAACCTGAGGGTACTGATGATCTCATTCCTGAGGATCAGGTGCCTGAGCCGTTGCGCTTCCCACAAATGTTCAGAGGCAATGGCGTGAGAGATCACAGATATCATGTGTTTAACGAACCCAGATACTATGCTTAAAGGCTGCGAAAGTACTGATGATCGAAGAGTGAAAAGAAAGCGGAATGTACAAAAGGAAAGGATGTATTGGTATCGATTGATTGAGTAGTGTATGATCGAAATATGAATTGTTCGTCAAAGGTCATCTGTCGATGGACAGACCCACAAGTCTCGTACAGTACAGGGAAGCCGGCTGTTGTTCGGAAACAGCTCCAAGCATGATGCAATTGCGGCGTATGTTCGTGTACGCGCACACTTCTCGAAGACCAGCTTACACGACATCCGAACATCAAGTCGACGCAAGACGCGCAATGAAGAGCGGAGATGTCATGCTGTGTCGCCATTAGCTGTCGACTCCCCGCAGATCCCGGGAGCACGATTGGAAGATGTGATTCTGGGCTGGAAGGACTGTCAGCCATGAGAGCCTTCTCCAATGGGACCCGCACGTCGTCACAATGTTGGCATGTGCGTTGCGTGCTGCAATGCCGTACGCATAAAGGAACGTACAGCAATGACGTTGACTGGCAGATCGCTACAGCTTCTACGACTTGATGTTGAATACCTCCCAGTCTCTGCTTGATTGAAACAAACTCATCTCTGATCAATCAATCCTTGGTCCTGTTCGAAGCCACTCCAAAGAACGCCCACTCACAGACATTATTGACAAGCTGTCATATTTTAGAGTCCAAGCTGAGAAGATGTCAAACCCTCTTTCAACCAAATATCAGGACGATACTATGACCGTGACCCAAGCTTCAAGGCCTGGAGCAGAAGACACTGCACCAGCAGGCGTACCTACTATGACCGACCCTTCGTCCAGACAATCAGACACGTCTGCCACAAGCCCCGACACCAGCTCCATACCCGGCGCTTGGAAGTCCAGCGCAGTCGCAGCAGGCGGATTGGATGCTACGCCACAAACCGCATCGAGCGAGCAGCAGCCTGCATCTGGTGTTCTTTCTGGCGCCAGCGTTCAGGCCGGTCTGCACCAAGCAGAGGAAACAGCCTACAAGGCTGCCGAAGCTGTACTGGGAACCGTGCAGTCCGGCCTCGAATATGTGCAAGAGACTGTAGCAAACCACCAAAAAGCACAAGAGAACAAGGAGATCCATGAGGATGGAACGAACTACATCAAAGAGCAGCTGGAGAACAAGGAAACAGAGACCGACAAGCTGACTACACTACCGATCGTGGATCAGAGTTCTATTCCAGAGCCGACAGGTCAACGAGAGGAGCCCAAAGGTTTCGGTATCGGCATTCTACGCGACACAATCGAGAGCTCGTCGGCTGCAGATGTCAGCTACGAGCATCGTCCCAAGACACTTCCTCAAAGCGAGATCACCGCCCGAGAACAGGAGCGAGGAATCAAAGAAGGGGCCGATGGAACACCTGCTCGGGTGCAAGTCAGTCGCGTCCACGGTGCTTGGCCGGCCGAGGCTTCAGGTAGTGCAGAAGCTGTGCACGAGAAGAGCCAGGTTGAACATGAGCTGCTGAGCAAAGTGGGTGCCGCGCCAGTCGCGAGCGAAGGTGTTGCTCGGGTCAATGACAGTCGTACTTCGAACAACACAGCACCTACTAGGGCAGCTGAGGTTTCTGACATCGACGAAGCTCTCCGCGAGAAGAGCCAGGTCGAACGTGAATTGCTGAACAGAGTAGAGGCAGCTCCTGTGACGAGCGAGGGCGTAGCGTCGGGCAGTGAGAGCCGTACTTCGGGCAATACAGCACCTACTGTCGGTGGCGACGTTGAGGTAGTTGGAAACTGGGGCAGCGAGACTGCCCGTGTCTTGGGATCTGCTGCAGTGGCGTCCGCGGCGGGTGCAGGCATCAGTGCTGCCAACACGATAGGACAAGGTGCCACCTCTGGTGCTCAGTCTCAAGCCCCAGTCCAGCCACTAGGAGACGACCCAGCCTACCCGCACGTGGGCACCTCTCAGACCGGATTTGATGGCCGTCCCGGTCAACTAGATGCTGTCCCTTCAACGGCGGGCGCAGGTATCAATGCTGGCGACACGCCACAGCAAGGCATCACGGCTGGTACTCAATCTCAACTACCAGATCATCCTCCAGGACAAGACCCATCATATCCACACGTGGGAACCTCTCAAACCGGAACTGATGGCCGTCCTGGCCAGTCGGATTCCATTCCTCCGGTGGTGATTCACACTCACGGACCAGAACCAGGCAAGGGCGTTGCCCCAATTCAAGGCTCCGATCTCGACTCCGCGAAAGAAGAAGTCTTCGGGTCCTCCAAGCCACATGAGGAATTGGGAATCACTCCTCGCGGAAGCGTACAGGAGCCGCCCAGAGATTCAATCGTGGCCAAGGATCTGGGTCCCGCGAGCGCAGCAACCACATCTGATCCCTACGCCGAAGAAAAACAGCGGAAGAAGTCGATCTCTTCTGAACTCCCCATCCGCCCAGCTGATCAATCCGCCGCTCGAGCAGGCTCCGTAAACCCAGTCGAGACTAAGGCCGGAGAGGGACTGAGTGCGCCACCGATTACATCTGACGACTCTATCGACGACAACACTACTCGTTCTGCTACCGATGATAGACCACGTAGCCCCAACAAGACTCAGCCAGACAGCGAGAACCCAGGTCAGACGTTCGATGCTTCAGCTCACGCCGCACCGGAGCACTCTGTTACCAAAGACCCGGGATGGAGTGGCAAAGAAAGTGTTAGAGAGCATTTGAGAAATGATACTAAGGGTGGTGTGAGGGAGAATCCGTCCGCCATTCCCATTGCGGGTGGGCAGAAGGTGGGTGAGGCTCACTGGGGTGAGAGTAAGAAATTGGAGTGAGATGGAAAGGCGGAACACTCTTATTATATGATGTGATATATGTTATTCAGCCATGGTTCATTCTCCCTCCTCCCTTTGCCTTGTAAGGATGTTGGCTGTAAGCTGGCCTCTTGGCATTGTCTTGAATTGGTGACCCTTCGAAAGCATCACTATCCTCTGGTGCTCTGCTCGTTACTTCCGGGGGATGGAGTTCGAGGAGCGCCCTGCATAACAATGCTAACACGGCTGACGGCATTGTTTTAGTGGGCTAAAATACACCACCGACACCACTAGAAACTCAATCTTGCATGCAAGCGCCTCGCCAATCCGGAAACAGTAAATGCAGAAACGAGGAAGATCAGCTTTGACGATCCCCTCGAACGTCATTGGTACCGACGAATTGGGGCGAGAAAAGCGATGGGCTTCGTCCTGCCGCAAAATGTCAGTGGAAACAGATCAGAGAAAACAATGGCACTTCTGTTAGGTCTAGATCATGTGTGGAATATCTTGTATCGTTACGCTCAAAGGCACCGAGCCGCAGGCTAAGAAGTCATTGTCGTCCCAGCTAACAGCCAGTCTTGAAAACATTCAGCATCGAGGACCAGACAGTTCAGGTCGGTGGGTCAGCGAAGACGGGCGCGTAGGTGAGTCCGGATACATGTCCGCCTCTCCATCAACGATCTCAGCGATGCCGGAATACAGCCAATGCACAACACCGATGATACGGTTCACGTAGTCGTCAACGGCGAACTGTACGACTACGACGGTATACGAGAATCTATCAGCAAGAAAACGTCCTACCAGTTCCGCAGTCACAGTGACTCCGAGCTCATCGTGGCACTCTATCAGTACTATGGTCTCTCTTTCATCTCACACCTTCGCGGCGAATTCAGCATATGTCTTTACGATTCGGCTCGGCAACTGTTCATAGCCGTTCGAGATCGGTACGGGATCAAGCCGCTGTTCTGGACGATTCATAATGGGAGGCTGTTAATCGCGGCCGAGGTGAAAGCTTTCTTGCCATTGGGTTGGAGACCCGAATGGGACGTGCGGAGCTTGATCGAAGGTGGCTGGAGTAACGATCAACGAACTTTGTGGAAAGGTGTACAGAAGGTGAATCCCGGAGAGTATCTGATCTGCAGAGGACTAGAAGGGCTTGAGAATGTGAAATATTGGGATATCGAGTATCCAGACAAGGTGAGTGGAAGACTTCCACTCAAGTTTCATCATGTAATCTTACTGATGTCACTCGCACAGTATTCTGTTGAAACACGAAGCGAAGACGAAATGGTTAAGGGGGTCCGTTCTCGATTACTGGAAGCCGTTCGCCTACGTCTGCGGGCGGACGTACCTGTGGGGATATATCTCTCAGGAGGCATAGACTCGACCGTCATTGCTGGCATGCTCGCGCACCTCCTACGAGAGGTTAAGCAGAATGGCGAGAACGAACATGACTGCAATACTGAATCCCTAGCCCGCATGTCCTGCTTTACAATAGCCTTTGATGAGGACAGTGGGTTTGACGAATCCTCGATTGCAAAGGAAACTGCTGCTTCCCTCAACGTACCACTCCACACGAAGCACATGTCTGAAGCCGAACTCGCACGTTACTTTTCTGATGCTGTCTACCATACAGAGCACCACTGGGGCGAGCTCAACTTCGTTGCAAAATTCGCCCTCTCCGAACTTACGCGCGAGAAAGGCTACAAAGTCGTGCTTACAGGCGAGGGCGCAGACGAGGCCTTTGGCGGGTATAGATTCTATGTGAACGATTATACCAGGGAACCGGATCACTCGTGGCTCCCTTCCCTCCAAGTCATGCCAGAATCAGACCGCCAAAGCATACACCGTCAACAAGAAGAAAACTATCGAAAGTTCCTCGAGCTCTTCGGATCTGACAACACAAACCGAGACGAGGGGATCGCCTTCCGGCAGACTAATTCTTCCATTGTGAGCTCCATGTCATCAATTTTCAGCTTTGACCTCTGGGCACCTTGGACCAAGGTTCTCGGGAAGCTAGATCCACGCGAGACCATTGCCAACAATGTTGATGGCAGAGTCCGCGATAAGATGACATCCAGTTGGCACCCTCTGCACTCAGCGCTATACATGTGGGCCAAAGGTCACCTACCCAACATTGTCTTGAGCTGTCTCGGTGACAGAGCAGAAATGGGCCACAGTGTTGAAGCTCGAACGCCATTTCTGGACCACAAATTCACCGAATACGTCAATGCTGTTCCACCGAGTATGAAGATCAAGTACATTTCGCCCACGCAAGCTGAGAAGCAAGGCGGTGATACTACAGAGGGCGAGTTCCAAGAAAAGTACATTCTGCGTGAAGCAGCCCGACCTTTCATCCCAGACCGACTCTATCGCAGGAAGAAGCAACAGTTCGCTGCGCCACGGACGTATGCACCGGGTGGTCCTCTCCACCAGCTGTTCAGCGAGCTGGTCACAGAAGAAAATGTGGCAAGGCTGGGCTTTGTGGACTGGGATTCGGCAAAAGACTTGCTACAATCTGCTTTTGAAAAGCACGAGCAAATGGCATTCAGGAGGATCGTGATGTTGGCCGAATGGGTTGTTTTGAGTCAACGATTTGATGTGCCTCCAGCAACAGCTGAATGAGTACGGCTCGAGACAGATTTATGTGGTGCTTAGAAGAAAACATACATCATTACAATCGCGCATGGTGCTCTGCATTATGCATCTCACGATCGCCCACTTCAACCCAGGTGACCCGTTCAAGCACGGTGCAATCCACCACAACATCTTCCTGGGAATGTTGCCGTTGCTCACTATCACAATCCTCGTACCCATTCTCTGAAGCGCGATGGTGGACTTCGTGCGGCACATATCCAGCAACCTTCCACCCAATGCTTTCATAAAAGTTCAGTATTCCACGATTGGCCCCAGTTACACCGCAACGCCATCGCACATTCACCCATTGCCGGCCATCGCGCCTTGCTCGTGGTCCCAAGCTTTTCCTAGTCTCCCGGTTGACGAGACCGTCGACAACAGGCCGCATGCGCATCGTAAGTCGCTGAGGTCCGCGGTGGCCAGGTAGAATATAAAGACCGAAAACGTGCCAGCGGGTCTCCTCGTCATCCGATTTGAGACCGCCAATATTGGGCCAGGAATAATTGCTTAGCGGCATGGGACTGCTCATAGTTAACAAAATTACCCTTGACTTACCCAGGAAGTGATGAATACTGACCCAATGAGATGTTGACATCCAACCCATTCGCCATGCGCCAAAGCTTCGTTGTCATCTTGTCGTTGTGCTTCCGACAACAAAAGGACAGCTACGACAACATGTCTATCTTTCCTTGCGAGGAGTTTACGAAAATGGCTCAGGGGGAGTTTCGATTCGATTTCGTAGCTTCCGGCGATCTGATCTCGGGCATTTTTGAGGACATGAAGCCGGAAATCTCTATACCTTGTAGTACATTGATCGAGCATGCGGCCGCTGTGTGGAAGCTCGATGATGCTGTATTGGCCTCTATTTCCGGATTGTGTAGCCATATTGCTTGGCGGTGAAAGGTACTGATGCTGTGAAAGTCAAGCTGCTCGAAGGATCAATCTGAGACCCGGAGGCGTGAGGTAGGGCATAAGCTCTGAAGGACAATATCGAACAGAGGCTTGATTCGAGCTAAGGCGGTCGGCGGCCTCGAGATAAACGGCAGGTGACTACCGAAGAGAACGTCGATCGCGTTGGAGCCTCTTTGACTCGTCTCGATGCCGGATATGCGACCTTTCTTGACAACGATTCGCGGGAACGAGCATTGGGGCTGGAGCTAGCCAACCGATTATGTGTACAGGTGTAATATTTTTGAGGGAATTCCTACTGGGCAACAAGGCGGGTCTGCATTGCTGGCCATGATCCGCACCGGCACATCAATCGCTCATGTCTCTTCCGCCATCCTATGCACCGGCAACTTTTCTGCCACGATCGGCACTGAAAAAAGCTTCGTTGGCCTGACAAGCCGTGCAAGCTTAGGAACTTACCAAATCTGTGATTTGTGGAACTGCGACTCCAGCTGGACCCTATTGCACACTGCATCGTGGTGACGAAAGTGCATCCCGCTAGCTCAAGATCGTCGACCTGCATTGTCCACTTTCGTATAGCAGAAAACTACTCTTTTGAATCCACGCTTTCCATAAGCCGCGTAGCAGTCTTCAAATCGTCATGATCAACAAGCTCATGCGAAGACAGTACAATGGTGATATCAAGTAGCAGTTGAATAGAACTTTGCAAGCCGAAGCTTCCGCCATGTCATGGGCATGAGTTATCCTTGTTAGTCGTACACCCACAATGCCTCGTTCGCGCATGTAGTCCTCAGCAACAGTATATCCACAACCAACCATGAAACCTCAAGAACCGCAAGAGACAGTATCCCAAGATGCCGAAATCGAGAAAGGCTCCACGTCCCACCACCAACTCGAGTTTGGGAGAGTCACCGGAGCCCCAAGCCCAACCAGAAGGCGGTCTCCTCGCATGGACTGCAATCTTCGCAGGCTGGCTTCTCTTCGCAATAAGCTGGGGTCCATCCCTCGGCTATGGCGTGTTCCAGGAGTTTTACCAAACGACCTACCTACCTAACTTCTCGTCCTCCAGCATAGCCTGGATAGGCGCAATCCAGGCCTTCTTCCTCCTCGCAAGCGGCTCGCTCCTTGGCCCACTATTCGATCGAGGATACTTTGTTCCGATCATGATAGCAGGATGCTTTCTGCTTGTGCTGGGACAAATGATGCTTTCACTTGCGACGCAGTTCTATCAGATTTTCCTCGCGCAAGGAGTCTGTATTGGGATAGGGTCCGGAGTGGTTTATGTCCCGTGCACGTCGATGGTGGCGAATTTGTTCAGCAAACATCGTGCCAAAGCGATGAGCATGATGCTCACGGGAGTTAGCACAGGAGGGGTGATTTATCCTGTGATTTTTCGCAGCCTGCAGCCACGTGTCGGCTTTCCATGGACAGTACGGATTATGGGATTCATCTCCCTGGCGATATCATTCATCGCTCTGCCAATTTTCTGGCGGCTTCCAAAGAAAATCAGCAAGCCGCGAGCCTTGTTCGAGGGGCATGCCTTCAAGGAACCGGCGTTTATGTGCTTCAGCGTCAGTGGATTCTTCAATTTCTTGGCCTATTGGATCCCACTGTTCTACGTGCCGACTTTTGCCCAGGCGGCGACCGGAGCCAGCACAGACTTGTCGTATTATATGATCTCTGTGGTCAATGCCGGACAATTCTTGGGGCGGCTATTGCCAGCATTTATCATTCCACGCACCGGTGCAATGCAACTTGCCGTGCCAGTGAATTTCGCTGCCGCTGCGGTAATATTCGGGTGGATCGGAGTGCACAGCACTACTGGCTTCATTGTGTGGAGCGTGTTGTACGGCGTAGCGACAGGACTGTTGACAGGTTCAAACCCGACGGCTGCGGCACATCCGACCTTGACCACTATAGACGTGTATGGAACTCGATGGGGCATCGCAACGATGATCGCTGCTCTTGGAACATTGGTCGGTACTCCTATTGCTGGGGCATTGGCAGATCCGGCAACGAATAGTTTCCTCAGTGCGCAAGCTTTTGCAGGAGCGATGATGATTGTTGGAGCGTTGTTGTACGTGTGGCCACTAATCGCTGCTCTGAAACATGACCGCGCAAAGGTCGGTGTTCGTGACGACTGAATTTCCTGTATTTATGTGGCGAGAAAACGCAGCCCGCCACCAAGAATCGCACACAAAGGCTTGCCTCCGCGCATTGGGCTTCCACAGGTGATGTGTCTTATTCTTGGTCTGCTGAGAATTAAACTTCCTGAACAAGCAGCCCTAATTCATCGAAAGTCATGTCTTCCAGTACATTGTTGTTTTCGGTTCTTTAACACCCACGGCCGGACTATCGCTGGTGTTACAAGCACCCTCAAGCACCACTTCCCAAAACCAACTCCCCATCTCTCTTAACAGGGTGCAATACCATCTGCGGCATACACTTTCCCAGAACCACATAATCATACCAAAAACTCAAACCCTGCCCACCCCACCAGATATAACTACTCGCCAACCACTGCTTCATCTTCATCTTCCATGTTCTCCCACACCATAAGAAACTCGCACGTTTCCCGCCCGCCAGACTTTCTTTCGACCCCTTGTGTACTAACTTATCCAGCTCTTTCGGCGAAAGAGCTCCAGTTCCAAGATTGAAAGATATGAGATGGGGAACGTAGACGGCTTTGAAACCGTGCAGGAAAGCGTAGGTTTCGGGTGTGGCTTCACTGACCAGCCAGGCACCTGTTTGGCGTTGATGAAGGGAGATAGTTTGCAGCAGGCGGCGAGAGGTGCGAGTCATGCTTATCATGGCCATGCGGCGTGGGAGCAGAAGGTTGGTTTTCTTGGTAGGAGAGAAATTGTGTACTTCATTTTCGAAATCCCATTTGTTTCCTATGGGGTCGATCATTGGTGAGAGAGTGATAAGGTCGGCGGGTTCGTCGATGCCCCAGGTGGACTCGGAGCGAGGTGGTGGCGGAGGACCTCGAGGAGTGATGTAGGTCTCTGCATTGGGCGCTGGTCCCCAAATGGTGGTTTCTGCGTCGGCGAATTCTTCATCGAGAGAGGCTGAGAATGCTGCATAGTCGTTTTCCCACAGACCAGGGATGAAGAACCGTGCATTGCGTTCCCAGAGATTCTTCCGTGGTTGCTCTTGTGCCCATGTAGCAGCGTCTTCCAGCATCTGTCCAACATGTCCTGTGAACCGAGCATCCATCTCCAACTGCCAAACATAATCGAATTCGGGGAAGCTGTAGCTGAAGATCTGCAACGCCTGATACATCTGGTCTTTTGCCTTGTGGTTGCTGACTTTCGGATACCATTCCTGGAGAAGTCTGTCATTGAATAGTATAGCCATATCGTGAAACTCTTCCGGTACGCTTCTGTGGAGTATTTGAGCATACAGCGCTTCATTGCTAAGAAGATTCTCTGCGGCAGGATTCTTGACATCCACAAGAAGAAAGACCTGAAACTTCCCTGCGGTATCCAACGCCAATTCTGTAACAAGAGCTCTCAGCCACGCCTTGTGGTTCGGGCCATATTCATAGGTGTCCCACGTCCTTAATACAACAGCCGTTCTTCCCGTCCTTCGCTCATCCTGAATCATATCTTCCAACTCTTGATCTAGCCCCTCACTCGGCCGTTTCAATTTCCTGCCTGCAGACGTATCCTCCATCTTCCCACCATTGCTCCCCGCACAACCGTCTTGCACGCTTCCCCATCTCACTTCACTCCACGGCAAATTTTCGAATTCTTCTCGAGCTCCGAGGTGTCCGAATGGCGCAAGACGTTCGAAAGCGGAGACACAGCCGCCGGGATTATGTCTTGACACGACATCTGTTGTTCCAAGTATAGTGGAGGGAATGACATCGGGGGATGCGATAGATCCGAGTCGAATGGTGCGTTGCCATGGGATATTCGGGCGTGAAGTCCATGGTGAGCAGCCAGGAGCTATCGAGATCGTGGAGTTGAATGCCTCGTCGACGTTGGCATTCTTTGCGCGACTGCTCGTAGAGCTGGATCCTGTTATCGGACGTGGACGGATTCGAGAAGGCGGTAATTCGACATCGACTCTGGCTTCATCGTGCTCATGGTGCTCTATTCCAGGATGTGGCCCAGATAGCGGATCCTCCAGAGGCGAAGTACGACCTGTGAATAGCCTCGCACCCAGCACCAAAATACCCAAGAAACTTGCGAAGAGAATCGAATTTCTCAAGAATTGCTTCACTCTGCTCCTTCCTCTAGCCATGCCTTATCTCGAAGGCTCTCTCCGGATATGCCAGTGATCCATCAGGCAGAAGCTGGAGCAATCATGACATGCTGGCTAACGGGCCTCCACGGGACACGCTGCTGAATGTCAAGATGAGTGTAAGAGCGCAGTGAGGGCAGAATCATCGCCATCATGGATCATGGCGCGTCAAAAGTGCTTTGCAGATCTCAGCTCCACAGACGTCTGACAAAGCAGCGTCATCATCGGATCTTGCGCCGTTCGGGCATCGTCTGTCATTTGGGAGAACCTTACTGCACCTGTGCACGGCATCAAAAATCGTAGCACACAGTTGAGTGTCGTCTAGTCTGTACAAAATATGCAAAGGAAAGCACGGTGTAGTAGAAGGGGAAACGACCCACAGAAGGTTGCACACCTGGTCCAACTCAAGCATCGCCAACCCAATGATCCGAGTGCTTAAATTGCTTGGTTTTGGCATTTTGACTTTCACGAACTCGATAATGATGCTATGTAAGCAGCAAAGAGACGGCATGAAAGTAGTAATTCTCTCCTTTGGCAATAAATTCAGTTTCGTCTCTAACATCACACAGCTCTGATATGCCGCAACAGCAACGAGCTCAGGGTATTTTAAAATCTATCACCTCTAGGCAACCCCAGGACTAGCCCAACAATATGAGCCGCGTACTTAGACGCCCACTGTAGAAGCCATCGTCCTCGCCGCAGGGTCACGTTCGATCAAAGGAAGTATGCGCTGCTCCAGCCCAGGAATGGCTTTGCTGGTGAATAATGTTTCGGACAATAGCACTCCAGAGTGCTTCAACCACACAGTACCATCAAGGGTTTCCATTTCCATTCGCAACCACTTGTTGGGGTGGCGGCGGTTGTGTAGGCCCATTGTAATTTGTCGGCTGAGGCGTCGTGCTCGTTGGGCGTGGGGCAAGACCTTGCACCGGCCGTGCAGGCGGCGGATATCCATTGACCGGAGTATGAGGGTTGCTGGGATAGCTAACAGGAGTGGCCCTTCCAGATCCCGGCTGCTGTTGTGGTGCGGGATACATGGGCCGTTGCACATTTGCTTGGGGCGCCGGAAAGCCGGGTTTCGCAGGTGAGGCCGTACGGTTGTACGCTTGCTGCTGAGCCCCGTTGGTCTGGTAGTTGCCCATGATGGGCGTGCGCGCGTACTGCTGATTCTGCACTGGGGTTTGCTGGTATTGCTGATTGTAGTTGTTGTAGGTTCCTGGAGTCTGCTGGGCTGGACGTTGGGCATAGTATTGCTGGGCGTTAGTCTGGCCGTATCCCGGCTGCGCGGCACCGGGTCTGGTGTACTGCTGCGGCTGGGTGCCGTACGATTGTCGCATGGTAGAATATGTCGATGGATTGCTTTGTTGCCTCTGGAAGGTTGGCGTGGCAGCTGCTGGCGCACGACTGTTGTAAGTAGACCCATATCTAGTGTGAGCCGCTGCACCGATTGCCGGCGTACCTTGAGGTGTCTGGCTGTACCGCTGCGCCGATGTGGACGAATTGGGCCGAGTCAAGTTGGCAATGCTGTTCGCCGTTGTCATTGCGGCGAGCTTGGCTTGTCTGGCAATAAGATCCTCCTCCATGCTGCCCCTGATATCCTTGGTCTCATAAGGGATGAGGGTCTTCACACCGAGGTCCGCCAATTGATCGCCATCGAGTTTGGCAATGGCATATGGCGGCAGTTTCAACAACAAGTATGCCAGCTCACGACGAAGGTTGTGGTATGTCGCGGTCTCCTGTTCGGACGGCTCGTCAGGCTTACCGATCTGAGATGTCACGATGGGTCCAGGGCTGATCGGTGTACGTGCTGCGGTGGATGACGACGATAGAGTCGTGTTGCGAATGCGTTGATGAGAAGCCAGCGTTTCCAGGAGTTCAGACACCTCTCGCAGCACTTGCTCGACGTCTGTTTTATCCTTCTGGGCCTGAACAGATTGCTCCTCCTCGGCCCTCTCCAGTTCGTCCAAATCCTCCAACACTCGGCTGAACTCATCTTCCTGGAGCTCAACGGAAGACTGAAGTTCGAGGACTTTGCTCGCCTGTGCATCCTCGTCAAGCAAAGCAGGATCAATGGCAAATATTTCGTTATATCGCTTCTCGCCGACCTTGTGCCACCATACCATATTCTTAACCTCTTCCGGAATGATGGCGTTAGAGTTGTCCTTTGGTGGAGCGAAGCTCGAATACGCCCTCCGAAATAGGGCCTCTTCCCGTTTCTTCAGCGCCTCCTCGGATGAGTCTGTCGCATCCTTTCTGTGCACACCATCACTCGAGCTCAGAGCTCGGTCGCGTTGTTTGCGCTTTTCTTGCGCTGTATCAAGAGGATCAACACCACCATATCCCAGCCATGTACCCGTGCTCAGCGGCTGTACTGTGTAGCCTCCCCTCTTGTTGCGCTGGATGGGATCCTTGAATTCCCACGTCACCGATTGATCACGGGTCGCCGACCGTTTGTGCGTCTTGGGCGGCTGTAATGTCGCAAGGCTGTATGGAGGCGCGAAGGCCTGCTCGAAAGTCGGGGCTTTTTGCGCATTGTCCACGGCCACAGGCGCGACCTTGGTCGCGGATATCCCATTGGGCAAGCTCAGCTCCTCCACCGGAAGTTCCGTCTTGATCAGTGGATCTCTCCGATCGGCAGGCTGTTGCAGCGAGGAGAACAATTGCTTCGCAGTGAGTGCGTTGCCAAAGAGCGTGAGCACCGTTCCTCCTCGCGTGCTATCTGCAGTTGCACTATGTCCGTTCGCGAGCCCGCTGTCCTCCTTCTTGAGCTGTTGGTCTTCGACATCATCAGACCGATGTTCCCTTTCCACGATTTCCTGAACCAGATTGTCCAACGATTGGATCTTGTTGATCTGCTTCAGCTCTTCCACCGTCGGCCTTCCCGCGGTGAACCCGGTCCGTTCTCGCGCCTTCGTCCTGATGCCGGTGATGAGATCATCGCTAACGGAGTTGGCGTCCTTGCGCAGGCCGTGGAGGGATGTGTAACTCGTGCTGCGAAGTCGGGCTGCTATGCTCGTTTGCTCGTTGTTCGTTGCGGACAGTTTGGCCTTTTTCTGGGAGGGTTCGGCGGGAGGAATGTTGTGATTGAGGAAGGAGGGTTCCGTGTCATGGCTATCGTGTGTCAGTCTGCCTCTTTTCCATCCTATGCCGTGTACACGTACCGTGATAGCACATCCAAAATGTCCTTTTGCAGTCGCTTTACTCGCGATGCTTCTTCCCCGCTGGTCGTCTCGTCGTGCCGCTTGCGCTTGTTGGAGACGGCATCCGTGGGAGCGGTGTCGGTGGTATCGGCGGCGTGGGCGGCGGCGTCGCCGTTGGTGAGGGTAGCCATGCTGCAGGCGCGTGTCGGTGCTGCTCGAAGCCTGGGGTCGCGCGCGTCTGGTGGAGGGTTCAATCAAGCAAGCCTACTTTTCTCGCTCCATCAACAACACGTCCTGCCGGCGAAGTGGTGCACGTGACTTTTTCGCGATTCCGCCCTCAGCGCTCCGCCAGGTGCCGGTCAGCAGCGTCTCGGATCCAAGTGTGTCAGCGGGGAGGGTGCGGTGTGGTGTTGCGATGCGTGGGCGTGAGAAGATGGGCCTGGGTCTGGCAGTGGCCCGAGTTTGTCGCTAGCGAGAACGGGACAGCAGCGAGCAGCGGAACGCTCAGCAATGCCGGTATTCAACAACGACAGTATGCTGTCCAACGATATGGTGTCAGTAGATGGACCAAGGTAGTATCACTGTTCAATCACAGGCACGAGTCACAGTAACGAAACAACACCTCCTGGCGGGAATTGCTTTCTGGGAAGGCAGCAAGCCCGGCGAAAGTCGTGGCCGCGGTGATGGCAGCTGCGCGCCTCGAAAACATTGAACATACAGCTCCGTTCCTCTCCTCCTCCCATCCCCTCCTCCTCCCGCTCCGCCCCGGTTGATGCATGCCACATGGACGACTGACGCCGCTCGGCAAGCAGCTGCGCTCTGTGCTTGTCAACTTGTCTTCACTCCGCACGCCGCCCGCCCGCCGCCCAACACCACTTGACTTTCAAGCTCTGCGCGCAGGAGCTCACCATGGCATTAATACCTCAGCCCTCGGTGGTCCCCCGGTTTTTGGACCGCGATCGATCGTAACGGCTGCTGCTCCTCAAGATGGATGCCGAAACGAGGTCTTCATAGCACCAAGAGCGCGCAAGTCCAAACCCAGCGCTCGAGTAGTGCGTCGCCGGACACGCATCGACCATGTTGGCAATGCATTGGAGGCAACGGGAAAAGTATTGCAAAGCCGTCGTCCGTCAAACAAGCCTGATTTGACCTATCACCATCCCAGGAGGGTCGAAGGCTACGATCAAGCTATCGAAAATCGCAAAAGGCACGCGAGGAAAGATGGGCCCAATGCTCCGTATCTCACTGCCGTTTCGCTTCAGAGCATCTTGGCCGCGTATTTGAGACATGAGGCCAATCAATCGGAGCGCTTGACTGCGGACTGGGAAGCTGTATATCGGCCATCACCTCAGGAAGCGCAGCTCTTGGGCTCTCAAGGCTACGCCATCGAGGACGTCGCCGCATGGGCGAACATCGTTGCCGCAGACGACACTGTTGAGGCTGCAAAGAGGCTGCAAGCCCGCAATGAGACTCATGGTGTGCTTGCCACTCCCTTGTTCGTTTTTCTGAAGCTCCTGCATAGGCCCTACGTCTCTGGCCCCGCGCTGCGCCTTCTACTCCTTCTGACCTGGTCCATATTCACGCAGCGCGCTGATATCCTTTCCAATCCCGGCGTGGACAGCGAGCCGCGCTTCACTGCAGTCGTGCGCCTGCTTCGTCATGCGCGAGAGGTCTGGCCAGCGTGCATACCCAGCATCGTGCAGTTCGTGCTTGAGGAGCCGATCATCCACAGGGAAGAAGCCGACTCTTCGCCGAATGAGAAGTTGGCTGCAAAGACTTTCAAGCTGAACAAGCTCATGAGTCTCGTGTCGCTAGTGTTGGCTGAGCAGCCGAAGAAAGACAGCGATTATCAAGAGGCGTCAGTGATACCAATACTGCGATACATGTCGGAGCACCAGCCACCGTTGCACATCAATCGCGAAGGCTACCGAGCTGTTGTGCGCATCCAGCTGGCGCAGCGGAAGACCTTCAATGAGCAACAATGGGCAGAGTTGAAGGCACTTTCGTGGCCCCCGTGGAAGGAAGACCGCACGGGGATGGACGTATTGATCACGAAAGAAGAGCATGGGATTTCGAGGGCTGGTCAGACGCTGCTGCGTATGCGTGAGGCCGGCTATGCTCCTGGCCGCTGGGAGCAATTGGCTGGTATTTACACGGGCTGGGATATTGATAACACTCCAACTATACAGACACGAGTCTTCCTGGAACAGCCTGGTCTGCACATTTCCGATCACATACCATCCACAACCGCCGAATCGCTGCGTTGGGCAGCACGAATCACATGCACTCGCACCATTCAGGAAGCTTGGGCATGCTATTTGGCGTGGGAGGAGAAGCGGTTACCAGCTTGTCAAGATGTCTTCTTGGCCATCGCCATCAAGCTGCGCGAGGAGCAGAGGCGGCCGCATGTTGAGTCCAGAGCGACACGATCTCCAAGTCTCAAGTCGTGGCCACTCTCCCCCGGCGACATGAAGGAGCTGTCTCCCCTGCCACCTTCGACACATCTCGAAACTTATACGCGTACCCGGCCTCCTACTCTGGACAACTTCTATCTTGAGCTGCGGAAACGAAAGATTGCTGTCAAGAACCACGCCCTGGCATTCTTTGTCCGTCACGCACGTACCCTTCAATTCGGCCTAGAAGTGCTCAACGACGCCATTGCGGTATATCCTGGCATCAAGGACATGCTTGCGCATCGACCCTCAGACGCGCTGCAAGACGTGCCTATGGCAGTCTACGTGGCTGCTATCGTGCTGTTCACGCGTACGACCAAGACACCTCAGTTCTCCGACGAAGTTTCGCTGGCTACAGCTCGCAGTCTTGCCGACACTGTTCTGTCCGGCGATTCCTACGATGCCTACGAGCTGAACTATAAGAGTGGCATTGTCCGTGCCGCCCAGCTCTTGCGTCTCCGGCCAGACCGTGATCAGACCGCTTGGAATGCGGTGTATTCCGGTTTGTGGCGTGAGGCCAACGTCGCTCATTTTGCAAAACTCGTTGTTCCGCGAGATGAAGCTACAGCCCAGCTCCCTGATGAGTGGCATCATCCTGAAGTTGATCTTCGCTCTTGTGCCGGCGCCTTCCTCGCATATCGCTTCTGGTGGTCTGTGAGCAGACTACAGGCACAACAAGGCATTGATCTAGATGCTGCTGGCTTCTACAGTTTCTGCCACGTGGCGGAGAACAGGGCGATTGCGACCTGGCTAGTCCTACAATTGAGTGAGGCCAAACAGTCGGACGAAGAGAATCGTCGCGGAGCCGAAATGATCGATAAAATGGCATACACCGCCAGAGAAGCGTTCCATGGCCGAAGTGATCACCGGTTGCGTAGAAGCCCTCACAAGCTGTTCCACCGACTGGTCGGCGCCGCCGCCGACCGCAAGGAATGTAAGCACGGCCTACCACGTCTGCTCACAGTCCCGAGCCCAGGTCTGCTACACGCTTATGTACGTGCCATCGGATGGCTGGCTCGGTATGATGACATTCTCGATCTTGCGCAATGGATGAAGGATTACCATGAAGACTTACTGGAGCGTAAATCGCAAGATCGCAATGGCCACGCCATGATGCGGCGAACAATTGTGGCGATGCGAGTATTTCTGGAGAGAAGTTGGCTGCCGCGGGAGCAAAATAGCAAGACAGTCAACGCTGGCTTTGAGCGCGAGAAGGAGATCCGAACTTTCGTTTCACCCGCGAAGGCGGGACTCATTGATGACGTCAAGGCTCTGATTGAGGAGGTCGAAGAGTGGGAAGGCTGGCCAACGGATGAGGAAGTCGCGGTCTACGCGAGTGACAAGAGATTCAAGCCTTTTGCTGAGTATGAATGTAAGAGAATGGTGAGGCAGGTACGATATGTTCCTCCGACAGCTGAATCGTAAGATTGAAGGGACGCTCGTTGCAGTCTTTTCCGAAACCGTTTCCGGGAATGCGCGGGAAGGCGCATTCGCATTGATCTTGTTCGAAATTCTCGTTGATTTCTCCGTATCGCAATTCCCACGTTGCTGATCCGGCCGTGTCAGCTGCTTATATAAAGCTCTGTTTAGTCAGAGGTCGGCTAGTGCTTTAGTCCTTGGCTTGGCTACGATACTCCTATATTACGAGACTTGGCATATCTGAGTTTCGTTTTCCTTGCGTGAAGAGCTGACAATGACGTGCAAACATGCACCCATCAACTCAGGTCGCCAGCCTTCATCTACCTCTATCGATCGTCTTAACATCCGCTACATTCTCTTTTGACACTCATCAAAATCGTCTGCTGCATTGGCTTGGCCTGAACGCTCTGGACCTTCATTCCGGCACGATCCGGCTAATCCCTTGTCACAACACCTAGTCAATTCAACTTCCGTATCATCATATTTCGCTTTGGTGTCTTGCAATGACCATGCTTTCCCTGTCCTTTTGCCCTCTTGGCAACTGAGCCGAGCCTCGTGTCCAGTGTCCGCCGCGCTGAGAATAGAAATTCTTGCGCTTTCTCTTGCAGCTTTTGTGGCACAGCTGTGCGTTTTAGGTACCGGATTACCAGACGTGTGAGATCATTTTGTGCATTGGTGCGGGCAGACTTGGGGATAGCCTAGTCTGGTTTTTGCGAGGAGGCTACTTGGTATATAGCTGGTAGGCCCTTCTCGAACTTCTTCTGCTGGCTTTTTTGGGTGTGCGATATAAAGTTCTTATTTGACTGGACTGGGTTCCTTCGATCCTTGCCCTTCTTCTTGCACTTAGACAAGCAACAGATTCCACCATCACCAATTGCGATCAAATGGCCTTCAGAACCTTCTTCGCGGCTTCGAGCCTGCTGCTCGCTTTGGCGTCCGCTGCGCCGCAAGGAGATGGAAGCTGCACAATCTGCATCGACAAAGTGAACGATTGTCAAAAGTAAGTTCAAAAATCCCTTCCCTCCGAATTTTGGGTTTCCGTAGCCCACACACACAAGCTCATGCTGACGTTCGCCCTTACTTTCCAGCATGTACGGCGCATGCTACGACTACTGCGTCGAGACGAAGAAAGAATTCCTGGTTCCAGAATGCAATGGCTTCCCAGCATACAATGAGACCTGCGAATACGGGCCGAACAACAATGGGCCTTTGGCTGGCGAATGCTATCCTTCGAACACCACGACAGTTCCTGGTCCAGTGCAGGATTGTATGGTTTGCGTTGATCGTGTGAATGAATGCGGACTGTAAGTTCAAAGCCCTTTTCTGTGTCGCTGTGGCCCTTCGAAGTAGACTCTGGCTGACATTCGTTGTAGGAAATATGGTGCATGCTACGACTACTGCCAAATGCCACAATTCGATCTCGGAATTCCAGAATGCAATGGCGTGTCGGGCCAGAAAGTCTCCTGCCAGTTCAAGAAGAACAAGGATGGAAAGTTGATTGGTGGATGTCATCCTTCGAATACGACGCAGCCTACTCCACCAGGCGAGACTTGCGACATTTGCATCGATCGCGTGAATGATTGCGGACAGTGAGTGCTCCCTTCCCATCTGACTTCTGTTTATTCTGGGCTCCGGTTAATTTGACTGGTGTAGGATGTACGGTGGATGCTACAACTTCTGCAATGAGCCCCAAAAGACTTTTGAGGTTCCAGAGTGCAATGGCCAGAAGAAGACGGAGATTTGCGAGTACATGTCGAATGACTGCGGAAAGGTATTCGGTGGATGCTATCCTCCTGAGGGACCGATTCCTGGCTGGGCGGAGCCACCGTGTCCTTAGATTGAACGCACGAGAGAGGATGAGTGACAGCCATGATTATGGAGCGAGCAAAGCTTGTTCGAGTTGATTTCAACCCGAGCCTTCGTCTCTCTCATATCTTCCCTCCATATTTTTGCGCTTGGCAATATCCCAATGCCTTGCAACTCATTGCCGCGCTTGTGGAATCACAACTCGCGATCCATTCGTTCCTCTCCTCGGATCCACAGGTCTGCTTTAGATCTCTCGGCTTCGGGTTCTTCCAGTTGGCCAGCATATTCGGATCGGACCCCGTACCCGTATATATAAGAATATCGTCCTCGCCAAGAGCACTGGACGCTGTCGTTGACATCTTGCTTGAAGACTGTGTTGAAATGCGATTCCATGTTTTCAACGAGCGTTCTTCTTGTGTGAAGCGGGCTTTGGTGAGGGCTTCGCCACGAGCTGTTGATGTTGTGCTGAAGGCCGGGCCGGTGGCTTGCCGAGTGGCTTTCCAGAGGAGGTGCATATTTGGCAGTTTTCTTCTTCGAAGTTGCGATCCAGTGTGTACTCTGTATTGATCTGCGAACGCCGTGTAGTTCCTGTCAATGCGTAGTACTGCTGTAAAGGGAGTGATCTGCGTGTGAGTTCAGGAGAATGTTACACCATATGTTGAGAACTTTCCTCATGCAGGATACGGGACTTTCTCGGCCACGGAAGCCGTGAGTAGCCGTCACGCGACACTTCGGCGTGTTTCACTTCTGGACACCTCATCTGAATGGACGTCATATCTTATCAGTGCGTTGTCCCCAAGTGCTGCATAGTCTTGATACTGTAGACTCGTCGGTCAGGTCATGTGGACGGCCACTCCAGCAATCCTGCTGCTGTGAGGATGCGTGACCGATCTTGGCAGGGCTTTCGAGGTCCGGAGAATTCTTGCAACGTTCCCTCGCACACCAAATACTCATCAACATGAACTGGTCTCGCCGACCTGATCTGGTCAAGCAGCAGCCGAGATGAGTGTTGTCGGCGCAGAATGCGAGACCGAGGAAGGAACAAAGTGGGATCAAGTTTTCAAGCCTGAGAGTCGTTCCAGAAGATTTGGAATATGCGGAACGCGTGCTTCGACCTGTCATTGACGCGTGAAATATACCGCTGAAGAGAGATGAAGTAGCGACACCTGCCAGATCTCGTCGTACCCATGTGCGGCCTGAGGTTTCAACAACGCCAAGAAACCAGTCATGGTGACTCACCTGGACACCGCAGAGACTGGAATAGATAAAACTTTTGACACTTGTTCAGTGTGAATACACACTATTAGGGAGTTTTGATCCTTCGTTTCCTGTGGATGGCAAGTTCTTCCAATCAGATCGCGCCAACAGGTTGGATTGTTTGACGTAACGGGCAGGAAACAGATTGAGATGCAGCGCTCCCTTCTGATCCTTTCAGCTGTCCTCTGTCTGGTGGGGGCCATGACCTGATTCGCCCGATAGCTTTCGACCTTTTTGGCTCCAGATGCTGTGGTCCTTCGATACCCGGTTGTCAATGCGGAAGGCAAGCTTAGATTGAGAAATTGTCCTGGATGCAGTGGATTGAGTACGGGTACGGGACAATCGCTTGTGAGGTAAAGGTATATGCCCTTTGCGTTGGCTGTTCGGCGGCACCATTGCCAGTCCAGCGGCCGGGGCATATGCTGGAGCCTGAAGCGGACATTCTTTTCTTTTCAATCATTTCTCGCGGATGTCGGCGGTGGTCAGATTCTCGGCTACGCTGGGAAAAGGTCTTGTCTTACTGACAAGCACAGGTAAGCAATGTTTGACGTTGCCACAGTCCTTTCCGTGACTTACGCCCTGTCGTGGATGTGCTCCTTCTAGTGTACCTAATGCCTTGCTAAAATTGACACTGTTTCCATGATCAACGCGTATCGACTCGGTTGCAAGAGCACAAGTTCAGGGAAAATTCAATGCAGCTGGATGTGGTGAAGACTTCAGGGTGGACATATCGCGCTTGGTATCGTAATCATGATCTGGGGAATATATACATGTTTCGTACAGCGCGAGGCTCTACACTTAGAATGAAGGCGCATTGAGAGCCATGAGGCACAGCAATCCAGAAATGAGACCAGCAGCAGGAAGAGTGAGGACCCATCCCATGAAAATGAAAGCGACCTGTCGCCAGTTGACGGCACCGAGATCGTAGTTCATCAAAGCCACACCAACGGCAGCACCAGTCAAGCATTGGGTGGTAGAGACCGGCAGACCAAGACGCGAGGCAAGCAAGACGGTGATGGCCGCGCCGAGCTCGATAGAGAAACCACGGGTTGGGGACATCTGCGTAATCTTGTTTCCGAGAGAGCGGATGATGTGGTAGCCGAAGAACCAGAAACCCATACCAAGGAGGAGACCACCAATGACGAGAATCCAGATGGGTGTGCCGGACTCAGTGTCAACGGCGCCGGTCTGGTAAGTCGAATAGACGGCTGCAACTGGGCCAACAGCGTTGGCAATGTCTGTGCAGACGTTAGTCAAAAGTTCGGCTAGGAAATGAAGTTTGAGCTTACCATTAGAACCGTGAGCAATGGACATCAGCATAGCAGAGACGACTTGGCAGTAGGTCCACAAGTGCTCAACGCGAACATCGTAACGATGAGCGCGTGCGTGAATGTCGCGAAGTTTGCCAGAGTCGTGGGTAACGCAGTCGATGAAGACACCGCGAAGAAGCAAGAACTTGAACCACGCCCAGTGCTTCTTTGGGTTGAACCAGGAGAGTTCCTTGACAGGTACAATCCATCGCTTGTATGGCGAGACATACGCCTTCTTGCGGTGGTGTTCCTCTCCTGGGTTGGCGGCTGGGTCGAGGGAGTTTTCATCAGATGGGGCTTTGCCGACTGGAACGGCGTTGGCACCCTTTTCGTTGTCACGGTTGGAGATGTCGTCCGAATCCGCGTCGTTGTTGACGCCACCGTAGGTCCTTCCACGCTCCGCATCCTTCTTGCCGGCATTAACGTTGCCATAGGCATCTTCGTAGTAGTTGGTGACGTATTCCTCGCCCTTACCCGGCCAGTAGAGCTTGACGTCCTCCTTCTTGAGAAGTGGGCCCATAGGGATGTGCCACACTCTCAGTCTCGCATCCTTCTTGATCAACTTGCGCTCGAAGAAAGGCATGAAGAACACATAGCAGATGAGCAAGACGCCGAAGAAACAAGCGAGGACGATGCCGACCGCGCGTCCCGGTCCCAGAGCGTCGAGATCGGAACCAGGAGTCTCGACAGTGATGAAGAGCGCGAGGACAGCTGCAGTGAAAGCGAAGTAGAATGGGATCAACCTCATACCCCACTTGAAGCTGTCTTTGCGCTCAAGCACAGCGTACTTGACAGTAGCGAAGACCAGAGCAGCGAAAGCAGCGGCAATGGCTGGGGCGATACCCCACGAAGCCGCGACTTGACTGACAGAGCCTGAAGTCCATTCCCATTTGATTGGAGACTGCGTCGCGAATCCAATACCAATGAGGGCGCCGACAATTGTCTGAGTTGTGGAGACCGGCATACCTTGACCAGTAGCGAACATGAGCCAGGTTGCGCTTCCAACCTCAGCGCATCCCATTGCCAGCATCAGGACGCCCGGTCGGCCTTCGAATCGATCGATGGTGATGATGCCGTTCTTGATGGTGTCCGTGACACGTTCTCCAAGCACGACAGCTCCGAAGAACTCAGTACACACAGAGAGGAAACCAACTTGAAGCATGGAAAGGGTCCTGGCAGCGACCGAGGTGGCGTAGGCGTTGGCAACATCGTTTGCTCCATTACCGAACGCGCTGAAGAAGTAGGCAATGAATGTGATGGCTATAGTTGATCATCGACCAAAGGTCAGCCTTCACTCCTCCGAGTTTCCCATGAGTTACCAGACTTCACTTACCTAAGATCCAATCATAGCGAGCAGTAGCCTCGGGGGCGCGCTTCAAGAGTTGATGCAGCAACATGTTGCACCAAGTTCAGTCCAGAATCGAATGTCTTGGAAAGTGAAGAAACTCGGCAGGTCCTGAAGGACGACACAGGTAATATATACCCACATCTTTCGCCTCCCGCAGTTGCACGTTGATCTATGCGCTTGTAGCCTGAGATGGATGCGTAATTCTGCGCACGGCATTCACAGCGTCTCAGATCTCGCAGCCATTCGGCCTCAGAGCGATACCAAGCTCAAACCCAAGGCATGGCAGACGTTAAGCGATCCGCTGAATTCGATTGGCCTCTCAGCACCGAGGCCACATTTTGCGTCTACTGGACCTGCGCTTCATCATCGCGAGTGTTCGAATCTTTTGCTTCATTGATGGGTATGCGAAGGACTTGTCGGCCCATATTGTCGAATTTCGGGCTCATATCGACCTGCGACTGCTATGGTGAGAGAGTGTCAGAAAGGGAAGAAGTTGCAAGCCAAGCCCCAAGCATGCGACCTTAAAGCCAAGATGTCCACGAGCCTTGCACTTCCAACACGTGGGCGAGCATGTTTACGTGACTGGCTTTCACCTCTTTCAGCCTCTGCATGCCATGCACACTGTACGGCGTGAACCACGCGCAGCGAGCTGAAACTTTGATGCAATTCCCATCCTATGGGCGCTGCACAGAATGTCACTGACGGCCAGCTTTCGTCTTGGCGTTCACCGCACACACTCGTTCAGTCCGTTCAAGGCATCGAGAGATGGCAATGTCCGAAAATTTCAGCTCCACCGCACGGCCTTGGCTATGGTCCTGCTCGCCACGCGTGCAACTAGCAACCACCTATATGCATCCCGAACAAACGCACGTGGAGGCTCTGCCGGCGTAGTATCTTCATGCGGGCGCCGCAGGATCAGCCTACGCGACTTTTGGACGAACGAGGCGGCAGAGGTGGCGTGAAGGGTGTGATTTCCGGGACTACCTATGGCACGACTGATCGCGCGGACACGTCACGCTCATGTTTTCACGTGAGGCATAGTCCTAGCGCAGTCTCGTCTTGCCCCGACACGAGAGGGTCTATTCATGTGCGATGTGAACGGGTTTGCTTCCGCCTGTGATGATATACAGAACTGAAGTCAGTTCGCTCAGCATCAGGGATCCGTGTGCAAGGCAGTCAGATCCGGAAATAAGCTCAAATGCGAATTAGCCATGATTCTCTCTCTTCCCGGAGCGGCTTGAGAGCATCGAAGGGAATCCCGCTCGCCTTATACCAGATCTAGGCCCTCGACTCTGACCTCGTTCCAGTTTTGAGTAACTAGTGACTATACAGTATACGCCGAAAATAGAGTTTGAACCCCCAGACTCGAGAGACAACATCACGGGCCCGACCTTATTGCACTGCTGCAAAATGCACATGGAGGCCCGCAATTCCATCTATTGTGATATACTCTAACTGTGATAGCGATGATACAGCATGTTTTGAGTCCTGCCATCACCAAACCACAATGACCAGCAAGAAGGTTTGGCGAGAGCCCGCCGCCGCCTCCGTCGTCATTGCCAAGGAACTTCGGTACTGCACGTCTGGAAACCGACAGTACATGTAGTTCAGATCATGTAGCAAACAATATGACCTCTGAGAAGACTCATCAATCGAGCAGTATCAAGGAGGAGTCGGCTCGTAAGCGTCCAAAACCGTGCTGAGGGGGCATCGCCATGGAAGCTGATACTCATAGTAGCACCCTCGTCCGATGGAGCAGGCTTCACATTCTTCAACATCTCCCATCCTTCAGAAGCTAGAAGCTCTCAGTATCGCAGAAAAGTCCGCAGTAATGTCACCAAGCAACAACATCGCGTCCGAAAACCCCACACCACGGCTAAAAGCTTCAGGCCTTTCCAGCCTGATGCAAAGACGGGCCTATCCTTGACCCGACAGGAGATTGTGGCAATAGATTCCCCCGAGTCACAGGAATTTCAAGACGCAGTGCAGAGCCGTGTCGGATGGGTAGATGAGAGCTGGAGTAGCACAAACGCTTCCCAGACTCCCACAGTGGCCTCGTCCAGTTCCACAACCACACCTGATGCCAAACCTGAATTACCATCTTCCTCTCGGCCCCGAGTTCAGATTAAGCGGGAACGCGTGATCACACCTCCGGAATTGATTAATTCGATCAATTCAGAATCAACTACATCTGTCACAAATTCTGGCTTTGAGAAACGCAGAAAGATTTCACTGACTTTCATAAACGAGACTGGTCACAGCTTGGACGACCACGAGGACGAGGATATCAGCCCAGGTCAAGCCAACGAGCAAGCCATTGTACGCCAGCCACGAACTCCTTCCCCAGAAAAAATCAGCGTCGCTCAACACGATCCCTTCAATTGCTTCACGGTTCCATGGCAACCCTGGTACGACGGCCTCCTCCACTACATGATGACAGTCTTCGCCCGACGCGCCTGGCCAACCCTCAAGATCACATCAGCAGAAGGCATGAAATGGGAAACCTTCATGACTCAACACGCAATGGAAGAACCCGCACTCTTCTACGTCCGCTTACTATTCGCCTCAGGCGAACTCGTCCAAGTCGGATCTCTCCGCCGCGAACGCTCACATTGGCTGCAAGCGCAAGCGATAGCAGTCATCAATGAAGCCCTTTCAGATCCCAAGCGGTCAATATCCGATGGCCTCATACTGGCAGTCGGTCGGATTGCCCTACACGAATGCATGTATGGGAATCGAGATGCTGCGACTCATATGCATCGACCAGCGCAGAAACGAATGATTGATTTGCGTGGTGGGATGAAACAGTTGGATTTTCCGCCTTTGGTGAAGAGGTTGATGCGGTGGTCTGATAGGGTCATGTCAATGTATGGTAATACGGAGCGTATGATCCCGGATAAGGACGACGATGATGAAGGGACGTATGATTTGAAACAGAGTCTTAATGCTTTTGAGGTTTGGGCACCTGAGCCGGGAAAGGCTTTGCGGAAAAGAATTGCTATTGATGATTTGGTAAACTAATGATGAATGAAAGACGGGGAGGGAGGTGTAGAACATAATGCTGGTCATTTTGTGGCGGAAGACAGCCTGATTCGCGAAAAAACGGTCTCACATGATCATTCTTAGAGTCAACAAAGTAGAGTGATTCGGTTCCTTTTTGCCCATTCCCAGGCAAGCTGTCCGTGCTTTCCATAAAGCCGTGTCTCCAAACTCCCGGCATGACCACTAAGCATAGCCCGAACCTGATCAACCTCTACCAGCAGTGATTTCAACCGCACTCGGAGCCTTCAGCATACCCGACGAGAATCTTGAAATTGGCATCAAGACTGCACTATTGCCTCTCGATAATCTCTCCCTACTGTCTATTCCACTGGGAAGGGGACGCCCACCACTTCCTCTCGAGGTCCGTGGAGGCCGGGGAGTCGATGTGGTTTTGCTACTTCTCTGCACCCCGACTGGCAATGGGAACTCGTCGCGTTTCGTATAGCTACTGATGATAGAGTCAGAGAGAGATCTCAAGGTTTCGGCACGTTGGATTTGAACGTGGTTTTGGGGTGTCGAAGTCGAAGGGGGTGAGGATTGTTTAGTTGGGCCCTTGCGTTCGAGTGGAGGAGGCAACGGTAGTTGTTTATGTATGCTGAGCGGCGTAGTAGTCTGCCGACGCGGAGAGATGCATGTCAAGCCCGATTCACGTTCAGGCTGAGGCTCCGAGGGCTGGGGCGGACTCTCAGCATGCGAGTTGCTCAGAGCGCTGGGTGTCGATGCCGATCGTTGCTGCGTCCATGCTATGCCGAGACCTGGCTGCTGTTCTATTGGAAACCGCGAATCGTCTTTGAGCGGCATATCGGCTCGATTATCTCGAGTCTTTTCGTGAGAGCGAGCTTCCGCAGTTGTGGCGCGAAGTTCTGCCTCCAGCGATTCAATCTTCGCAGTCGCAAGCTTTAGATCCTTCTTGTAGCCGCTAACGTCAAGCTTGTACATAATGATCTCCTCCACACAATGCCGCAGCTCTTGCTCCCAAGCCTGGTCCTTTGCAGAAAGATTAAGAGTGGACTGCAGCTCCGTGGAGCTCGGCGACGCGGAAGTTCCTTGCAGCCTGGTCGCAAGCGACTTCGATATCTCTCGTTGGAGTTCGGGCGTCGCCACCTGTTCTTTCGGGCCGGCGATCTTCGACTGACGCCTCAACTCTATGTGGAGAAGAGAATTGTAGCGCTCGCGATCAGCTTGTGCCGCCTTGAGGTGCTCCTGACAAGTAAGAAGCCGTGCTTGCAGATTCTGTACATCTGTCATTGCGATCTCGAGCCGGTCGTGAGTCTGCTGGCACGCTTCACGTCCACATATGAAGTCGCCGTCGAGCTGCGTAGTCGAAATTTGCTGTTCAAGTTCGCTCGTGCATACCTGTGGGACAGCAGAATTACGCTTAGTCGTGTCGGCTTTGAGTTCACGACAGCGAACGAGCTCTTCCGCTGATTGCTGCATTGGTTGGATGGGCAAAGCAGACGTCACGCATCCAGTCGCCCTTAGATGGCTCTGCAGCTCTTCGCAACGTTCCCGCAGTCGTGCTTCCCGCTGGTATGATAAACGGAGATCCTTGTAAGCGTCATCCAGTCCTGTCAGCACGTCGACTCGCTGCATGTTTGCAGCGGCCAGATCTGCCTGAAGGCTCATCACGGCGGTCCTTTGGGCCTGCTCGTTTTCTTTGGTCTTGCGAATGATATCTTTCAATTGCGTGATTCGTCGCTCTTTCTGGCAGTCTGAGTCCTTCAGCCGATCCCGTTCACGTCGCAGCTCGCCCAGATCGGCATTAGTCTTGTTTGCCAGATCCAGTTTTCGCTTCAGTGCCTCAGCCTCTGCAACGGGTTCCGGAGAGGTTCCCGCTAGATCCATTGACAGGCTGTCTAATGACTGCAAGGAACCCGTACGACTGGCAGTCGAGCCGCTTATGGCCCTCCCACAATGGCGTGCAGTGTCAATCGAGAGTGATTGTCGAGGGTCAGAGAGCCGAATTAAGCTGTGTTGCTGCTCAAGGAGCACAACGTATGCACGAAACGAGGTGATTTCTTGATCATGCGCAGCCTTCAGAGTCGCGATATGAGCCTCGTGTGCAGACCGCATATTTGCCACTTGTGTCAACATTCCTGAGACCTTGGAAATGTCGCGTATGGATTGACCGGGACTTTCTGGAACGAGATACGCATCACATTGGGATTGCAAGCCTGGAATTCGCTCTGCTGAGCCTGTTGGCGACTCTTTCTTGTCGTCTCGACGCGGCGTTCGTGGCAATTTCCAATTTGGTGTGCCGATTTTGACAGACGTGTCCGAGTATTCCAATGATTCCTGACTTCTGTTTGGTGTCCCAAAGCATTCATCGCTTTTGCCGCATAGCGTTGAGTCAAGGGAAGGACGTAGCACGTTCGACCCTTGATCATTGTCAGAATTCTGCGTGTTCTCATATCCGGGCGGCTCCGTTGATCCTTGTGGTGATGAGCTCTGTGGTCGTCCAGCTTGCGTCCTGTGCCGCTCATTGGTCGCAAGAGAAGTCTCCGCCATTATCGATGCGCCGCGTCCACGGGAGGGCCAGATAGAGTCAGTGGCAGGGAGCTCGACGGGCTCGGGACATGGTGCTTCCACCAGCGGCGTTGCTGGAGTTGGTGGGGCGGTGTGAGAGCGCAGTCGGCCCTGTGGTGGACGCAATTCGCATGATCTTGGGCCGCCGTTGAAGTGGGGTGACTTTAGCATTTCCGACATAGCTGCGATGAGGCTCGTAGCGGATTGGACAGCGGCCTCATGCAACGTGAAAGAGTCATGCGACTGTGCGCTGTAGTCTGACTTTGTATCGCAGAAGCTGAGGGGTAGTGGTTTGCGGCCTCTTTTGCGCGAGCCCTGTAGCGATGTCAGTACTGCCTTGCGCCATGTTCGAAGGTATTGCCATCGATGCTCCTTTCTCCACGTCATGATGCATGGCGCGAAAGACTGACGATCCACAGGCGTGTCGCACGAAGGGAGAACTACCCGAATGTTGCGCCCATAGCCCATGCCTTTGATCTCGATGCACTCTACGGGTATCTGGACCATCCCCGAGGAGACATGCTTGCGATCACCCTTTGTCCATGTGAAGAACTTTGATCCTCCCGGCGTCATATTGTCCTACAACATACTCGACGCGGCCCACGGGTTGGCAGACGCCATTCCCAAAGGCATTCGCTTTGTGTACGGGATAGTGAGGCCGGTGACTTGAAGCTTGCTAGAACTCGCAGCTGCGTGGAGCAGACTCGTTCGATGCGCGAACCGATAATTCTTGAAATTTGAAGGACGAGCTGAGTTGGTAACCGGTAGGGAGGACTCGAAAAGAAAGGCTTTGAAGGGCAACTAGCGGACATGGTCGAATATCGCTATTTCAGCTCTGCACCTCTGTATGCATGACAGGTGCCCGCTGGCTCGCTACCGCAGGTACGCGCCAACATTTGGAAGTGGCTTACGGCACAGACTCCTGCTAAATCTCACGCTGCAGCTCTGGCTCGTGATGTGATTGTGCATCTCGCAGAGAGTTTGCCTGGAGTTGGTGATGAGGAGTCGAGGATTCGATTGCATGTCTGATCTCTCGACACTAGCAAGCACGAATGGTCATCGTGCTCGGAAATGCTGTCTTTGAAACATATGCAACGACTGACCAGACGTATCGGAATGGTAGGTGGAGCCAATGGAAGTTGTGGCTACGCGCTGGAGTCTTGAAGGAGTGAGGTGGACTTCGAATGTCTGACAGAAGTCGCTGTCTGTGCTGCGACTTCTGACGCGTCCTCAATTTTGCAGCACCTCTCTTTCCAACGGCGACAGCAACAACATCCGTTCATCCTCTTGGCAGAGTCGAATCTAAGTACGAGCGCACGCAGAGGCAACATTCGGATTTCAGAGGATTCGACGCGCAACTTCGTCACGAAGAAGAGGTCCGCGCGGCCCGACCAATTACTTGTCACGAAAGCACGATTTGTCCGTGTGAAAACACATATCGCCGCCTCCATCCACGTTAAAGGGGCTTGAATACAAATGGATTCAGAAACCAGAAGCTGGAGACGAAATGCGCGTGACGACGATTATCGATCAAGCAAAGATGTAGATTCGCGCACCAAAAGACGAGATCGGTCTGCCTCCGAAGATGAGCGGAGTCCTCGAAAACGACGATACTCCAAGTCAGGAGATGAAAGGCGTCGCTCCAGGTCAAGATCGCGTTCTGAAGTAGACTCAGAATATGATGAATCTCGCCGCCGGGGGAAGGCAGAAAAGGACGAAAACCGCGATCGTGGCAAAGATCGCCGACGTGACCGAAGAGACCGCAGCGAAGACTATGCCTCAGACGAGCGCAAATCTTCAAGACGTGACCGCAAGTACCGCGACCGTTCACGCTCTCGCTCGCGCACCCGCCGAGAAGACGAGCGTTCCCGTCGGCCCAACAGAAGGTCCAGATCACCCACCTCCAAAAGACGCCACTCCCGCTCCCCTTCACCACACCGAAAATCCCGCGCCCCTCTCCCCTCCCAACTAGACTCCTTCCAAAAAGACAACAATCTCCCACCCGGCGAAGCACCAATCGAAAAGCAAAAACCAAACTTCAAACCCACCGGCCTCCTCGCCAAAGAAGCCAACACCGTAGCCGGCACAACCACTGTCCTCAAATACCACGAACCACCCGAAGCCCGAAAACCTCCATCGTCGGCCCAATGGCGCATGTACGTCTTCAAGAAATCGGACCTGGTCGATACTATTCAACTGCACACCCGCAGTGCCTGGCTCATAGGCCGCGACCCCAAAATCACAGATCTGCATCTCGAACATCCGAGTATTTCAAAACAACATGCTGTGATTCAATTCCGGCATCGTACGACGACGAATGAGTACGGGGATAAATCGTCCAAGGTGAAGCCGTATGTGATTGATTTGGACAGTGCGAATGGGACCAGGGTGAATGGGAAGAAAGTGGAAGCGAGTCGGTACATGGAATTGCTGGACCAGGACGTCTTGAAATTCGGAGACAGTGAGCGGGAGTACGTGATGATGTTGCCAGGCGCTGCTGAGAAATGAGAGATGGCTCTTCCGAAGCAAGAGTCAACAATGTAATCACGTAGATGGACGTGAGGTAGAAGAAGGGCGGACGGCATCAGTCCATATCAACTCACTAAGCTATGCCACATCCACTACAACGACTGGTCATTCCCCTTTCCATTCAGAATCGTCGGACTCTCACAGCCTTCTTTCGTCTCTACTACCTACATGCTCGCGCTGATCGAATTGTTGCACTAAAACCTCGTATCGTAAATCGTGATAAAGATGAAAAGAAGAAAAGCCACCTCTTGCGCCACAACAAACACCTGTACATCTCAAATCTCCCCCAAGTCTGCCACAACGTCAGAGCAAAGCATATACAACAGGTGGGTATATATAGATTGCATCTCAAGAAACGCAGCAAATATCAGTCCGAGGTTGCAAAATTTTCATGGATTGGGTCGAATATCGCAGAATCCAACAGACAAATTTCTCCTCTAAAACGCTCCACGAATCTTGGCATAAAGCTCGGTATCCAAGAAATTGTAATGCGGATCGAAAATGCAGAACGGTGCTCGCAGTAACGTATCGGCCGTAGGACGCTCACCAGGATCACTAAAACAAAGCGTGTTAGTTAACGTCACCCATCTTTCGCATCACGCCGGACAAGGTACTCACATCGTGAAACAATCATACATAAACGACAGCGCCGCAGGCCCAACGACCGTGGACACATCATCCGGAATCGGAGGAGCCTGGTTCAAGCTTCCCAATTTGTAGATGGCACCAATAGCCTCTTCTTTGCTCCAAGGACGTCGACCAGCGAACATCTCCAAGACCACGCATCCAAGAGACCAAATGTCCACTTTGGCAGAATATCCTTGGTTGGAGATGGTGTCCATACCGCCATTACTGTTTCCGCTGCTGCCACCCGACACATTCAAAGCCTGTGACTGAGCGCGAATGACTTCTGGCGCCATCCAGAAGACAGAGCCTTGCATCGAGTTGGTGATGTCGTTATTGTATGGGTTTGCGCTGCGTTTGCTGATACCGAAATCGGAGATTTTGCAAGTTCCGTCGAGATCGAGGAGGATGTTGTCTGCTTTGAGATCACGATGTAAGATGCCTTCCGAGTGCAAGTAAGCCAGGCCACAGAGAGTCTGTCGCGTGAGAGATGAGACGACTGGTTCCTCGAATTTGCCATGCTTCCGGAGACAGGAGCCGACAGAGCCACCAGAAATGTACTCCAGGAAGATAGAGATGGAGTATTCCTTCCTTTCGCAACCCAAATACTGCACAATGTTGACGTGGTCAAGATGCTGCATGGTGTCGATTTCTTGATCAAGTGCCTTCACCATCTCCCGAACCTTTTGGGGATCTGCATTTTGGGCCTTGGGGTTGACTTCGACCTGTTTGACAGCGAGCAGCTCACCCGTCGTTGTATTCATACCAAGGTACACTCGACCGAAAGTACCCTTCCCAATAAGCTGACCTCGCATCCATTTGAAAGTGGGCTGTCGCTCAGGCTTCACGACACCAATGTGATCTTGAGGGATTGTCTCGAGGTTATTGATGAGTCGGCTGCCTCTTTGAGGTTTCACTTGTTCTATCTTGGCGCCGAACATCTTGGTGGACTTCCGTCGCACGATGCTGCTGGTCACATCGTTGCGCAAAGTGCTGATCCTATTCTGAAGCGGCTGTTGGAAAGTGAGGTTGGAGACACTCGGGTGTCGACTAGACGCATGTGAGGAGATTGACGGATTGTGTGACAACATGCCGTGGGCGTAATTGTTCTTCACCACATCACGGATACTCTTCGTGCGGCCCAGGCCTCCAGATTTGCGCACACTGCGATGTGCCACGGAGTTGTAATTGCTCTTGAGCGTAGACTCCTCACTGCCCAGAGTGCCATCTTGGTCATCAATACTGGATGCGGGTGTCACGCTGCGGCTTGCGCTGGTGTCAGAGGACGAGGCCTGCGGGTCCAGTCCAACAGGTTTGTCTTCTGTCGGCCCACGTCCTTCAGCTTCTTCGCCTTCTTCTCCCATGGGTTGATCAAGATCGACGTTTGGGAAGAAGTTGTCAAGCTGCTCAGCAATGTCTTCAACGGGGGGACGGTTCGCCCAGTTGTTGCTATCGAAGGCGACGCTACCACGGCGAGGATCGAATTGAGCAGAGTCCTTCGGAGAGTCCGCAGACCATGGACCTGTGGTTGATGCAGAGTGCGGGTAGTGGCTGTCTCCACTATCAGTGCCTTCGCCAATGGATCCGAGTTTGTCGCTGGGCGGCAACTTCGGCGACTCGAATTTGACTGTCGCCCTGGATGTTTGTATCTTAAGCGGAGGTCTGTTCGGCGATCGTGCTGGAGAAACTTGAGGCATGCCCAGGATTTCACGAGCCTTCTTGTCTGATGGCTTCCTGGTCGAGAGTTTGGTCGACAATCCTGCAGACATGCCTACCTTCTCCTTCTGCTTAGCTAGAGGAATGGCGAATAGACCGTCGTCGGAGTCATCGTCGGAATCGTACAGACCGGCATTGGGCGATGTAGCGAACTCAATCGTGTTCTCCGGCACATCAAAGCTTGGTCCATGTTTGCTGACCGCCCTGCTCAATCCACTAGGTGCAGTGTGCTGTGAGCTCGGACTGAGTGGCGGGCTGTGGCGACCAGGTTGATCGCGCAGCCTGTCGAACGTAGGGTTCGATGGCATCCGCAGTTGCGGAAGTCCTGGTCGCTGGCTCGCTTTGAGGGTATCCTCATCGTCTTCAGGTTCAACATATTCTGGCACACGGAACGTCTGACCTCCTTTCGACCTCGTGTAAGGACTTCGAGGTGACTCGGCACGACCGTTCGGGCTCGCTCGACCAAACCCAGCGTTCGCTAGTGAGCCAGCAGAATTGCCATTCTGGCCGTTGTGCAGATCGGGCGCGGTGGACGACTTTTGTAGACCAGAAGGCATCGTAGGTGCAGTGCCGGCAGGTGCACTGTGTGGGCTAGCGCTCGGGTGAGCGATAGCACCAGCGGCTTTGCCAGCGCCCGCCAATGCTGCACCGATACCTTTGACGCCAGGCTTCTTGCTGTCCTCTTCCGGAATCGATCCATTTGAGTTACGCTTCCATTCGTCCCGTCGATTGGGCCAGCTCGTCCGCGTTGTGGTAGGTCCCTTCTTCGTCAGACTGTTCGCCTTCACTAATGTGGCAGTCGGCTCAGGCACGGGCGGAGCTTTGCGAACTGGTTGCAGATCTGTGCGTCGCTCGAAGTCGTTTGAGCCAGAGCCCGAAGACTCGGGACGAGGAGCCGTCGGAGCGTGCTGCTCGTATGGCGTTCGAGGCGAGTCGAAATCGTGTACTTTCTTGCCATTGCCCATATCAACCAGCCTGCTGGACCGTTGAGCTTGGTAGTCCTTTCGTTTTCGCTCGGTCTCTCGCCTGTGCTCCTCGGCGCGCGCTGCAAGCAGCTCTTGCTGCTTGTCTTCTGGTAGCATTTGGAAGTGATTCTGCAAGAACTCCTCTTGTCGTTTGATAAGCTGTTCGCCATCCTTTTTAGGAATGATCTGAGCAAGCCTGTTACGGTCGGACGCCGGGCTATCTCCTTTTCTGATCGAAGGTATCGCGAATGGTAAGTCTGCACTATTAATTCCCTGCAAGCGCTGCAGCGTATCCTCGTCCAGAGGTTTGCCGGAGAATGTGGGCTTGGCAGAGGCTTCTTGTGGCACGCCTGAAAGACCTAGTCCTGAACTGACGGGCGCTGGTTCTGCCCCGGTATTCGGCCCGCGAACGTACAGCTTTAGACTTCCATTTGGATCAGCAATGCGAGCCCTTGCGGCAAGCAACATGTCGCTGTTTAGCTCCTCCTCATGCTCCTCTTTGCCTGGAGAAGTGATGTGAATTGAAATCTCGTCGCTTTCGGGGATTCCAAGGTTATAGCAAATGACCATCCGCAGCTGTGCAGCATCTTCGACATCAGTAATATCAATAAGCCGGTAGTTCCAGCCATCAGGTGTGACAAACACGAATTTCTTGTCATCTTTCCTCGCAATAGGCCGGCCGCGCTGCGCTGCGACACTATCAGAGTCTGCGTGGATCTTGCCAGAGGATCGGTCGTTCAGTGAGACATCAGAACCCGCAACCAGCTGCCCATTCTTGTATACTCCAGGGCTCCTCGGACCGTGTTCATCCTCAGGTGAGGCGTGATCCGCGTCTTTGCCTTTGGCACCACGGCGAAACTTTGCCCACAGACCGCCACGATGCTCGCGGGCAGTCGCACTCTGTGGCGTATCTCGACTGCTACCACGTCCGCCATCAGATGGTGGCGGACGGTGGCTATCGAGACCTGTTCTGGGGGTGTACTCTTCACCATGCCCGTTACCTGACCTGTCGCTCATTGCGCTGATGCTCGTGCCTCGGAAGTGTCCGCCTACACCGCTGCTCGTTCGTGCGTGGCCATTTGGCTGTGGCCGCGCATTCGTCAAGCCAGGACTCTGCTGCGGGCTGGCTGCAACAGCTCCACTAGGTGAGTGATGTCGCTGCTTCAAGTCTCCCGCAGCTCCCAGAGCACTGCGAGACTCCGCACTCCGCTTCTGATCGTAGGAGTCGAGTGTGATTGATCGGAAACCCGCCGTATTCCCTTTCGTGATGTTAGGCATCCTCGCTCCCGGAGAGTCTTCTCCTCCACCGGCCGTGGAAGGCGTTGAGCCAAAGACTGTATTGTCGGTACGCGACATGCTTGGCGAGCTCTCCACGTTACCTTCTGTGCCTGCGCTTGTCGAATTTAGATTCTGCTGAGACTCCCGTCGATTCGCCCGTAGAGGCAGACTCGCAGTGCTGCTGGTCGCCGCAGTGTGTGGTGTTCCTCCTCCACCACTCCTGATGACTTCTCGCACCAATCTTCGCAACCTCTTCCCCTCGTCCCGCTCTTTTGCCTGGTCCCAGACAACTCCATTCGAAGTGCATTCTCTTGCGACTTGTGGGAGGATAGTGTGCGTCATGAACCCAATATTTCTCTGTCCGCCGCTCCTGCCAATATCCAAAAAGGCACTGCCATGCACACCCAAATGCTGGAATGCTGCCTGCCACTCTTTCGAAAAGCTGTGCGCCACAAGCCATATCTGTATGCGATCTGCGGGCCAGTTCTGGTCCGCTGGAGAAGCAGGAGTATCGCCTGATGAAGAATGGTCGCGGTTGGTACTCGTCAGGCCACTG